GACACAACACGTAACAAGCTTTAATTTTTTTATATTATTTTTAATTATTCACAATGGCGTCAGCCTTGTTCAAGATCAGTGCCATATTTATGTTGTTCGGAATCTGCGTTGCCGACATCGGTGAGTGTGACAATAAAATATACATAATGAGAATACTTAATAACAAAATGGCGGTATTTACAGTATACAAACATATTTTTTTGCAAACAATGTAAATTAGAGTTGAAAAAAAAATCATCGATATTAAAAAACCGGACTCGATTCTCATTATAAATTTTTGTCATTGCAAAGATTATATCGATACCGGTTTTTAAATCGAATAACATTATAAAATTTTGATCATCACTTGAGATAATTTATTATTTTAGGTATCTTTTTGATTATAATATATTCAGGAATGTAGACTTAATAACTGGTTACAAGCAGAAAGTTGTCAACAAAATTTTATTTCATATTTATATTGTTTACACTAAATTTACTATTAACTTTACTAAAATATTGTGAGAAGGGTAAAAATAAGTAAGTAAGCATCTTGAGTAAGTCGCACTATTCTCAAACACCCCATAATAAAACGCTTATAAACTAACTTAAATATTTTTCAACGTTAGAATTCCTCAACAATCTTATTTCATTTTTCTTAATATTATATAAAATTATCCTAACACATCGTATTTAATGAGATCTAAGGCTTTCACGAGTATTCATTTAAATGAAACCAATATTTTTCAGATTACTCCGCATATTTTATGACATACTAGTTTTTGCCCGCGACTTCGTCCGCGTTAATTTCGTCATAAGTAATATAGGTTACAACTAACCGGGCAAACTCTATTCCGTCTTAAATAACCAGGTATTGGTATTTATTAAATTTCTACTGTTTCAATCGAACAGAATGATTGACATATTACATAGTTAGTTGTCAAGTCTAATGTCAAAAAATCGTTTGTATGGGAAATAGAAAAGGACTGTTTTTAGGGTTTTCCCGGCAATTATTCCAATTTTCTCACCTTTTAAACCTTCCCTGAACCTCCACGAACATTTCAAGACTAAGATAAGATAAATCCGTTCAGTCGTTCACGAGTTTTAGCGAGACTAAGGAACAGCAATCCATTTTTATATATATAGAAGAAGATAACTGAAACGTCGGAAGTATGTGGTTTGGAAATAATAAAAACCGCGTAATATAATCCGATAAATATTAGTTTCATTTTAATCGCATTTAATTTCAAAATAATAAAAATATTAAACTACTTACTATCTATATTTTTATTGTACGCATCTATGCGTTTTGTTTTAGCATTGGCTTTACTTCATGGGATTTATTTCTAAATAATCTATTTAATATATTCTCATAGAAACAAATTATTAATCGTAAAAATCAACTTGTCAAAATTATCTAGATTTATTATAGCAACACTGCAATTATATAATTGCAAGCTAAGATTTATTTATTTATTCCACAATTAACTTTTTTATATTACAGCTGGTAACATTATTTATAATTGATGGGGATAGAAAATTTATTTATAAAATCCATATTGATATAATAAAAAATAATTAAAGCAAATATTTCATAATTAATCCTCAATTATTACATGATTGAGGTTCCGGGAAACTCAACGTAAAGCTATTTCTTATTGATTATTTAATTACTATTACAAATTATAAATACAATGAATTAATGGTATCGCAATATATATATAATATTTTTAATATGGTTAATATTATATTGGAAAAAAATCACGTTAGATAATTTTATACGTTTATTTTGAATGTTACTTTATATGTATAAACATATAAATATTATTATTGATAATGAGTTAAAGTAATGAGAATATATTTACACCGGTTATACAAACCAGTTAATTTTAATGTATAAATATTACTTTTTATTTAAAAGCAATACCTATATAAATTTAATTTAATCAAAATATTTTGTTCAATTATAAGTTGAATAACGTACGGTGTAGTTTAATTCGTATTAACATTAAAAATAAAACAGAAATGAACATTTTGAACAAATCTTACAAGAATTAATAGTTAAGTTCAGGTAGTAGATATTATATATATTTTTGATATATTTTTGAGCACAGATAAAATTTAATTCAGAAACTTGTTAAAAAGGCTATAACAGGAACCGCATACTATAGGGACACTTAGATTACCGTTATACTATCCGTTATCCGTTACTTGGATCTCAATCTAAGAACCAATTCACTTTATATCAGAAGCCTTGTTGATAACGAGAACTTTTACGGAAGAAAAACTGCAATGTTCGAAAAACTTTGTAACTTAGAAATATTGAGTCATTTTAGGTTATTAATATAGAAAAAATATATGCTTTTTGTTTGTTTTTGAGATCAAATTTCGTTAAAGTTAAACATTCTGAACAGTTGTTGATTGACAGGCTGAATGAATTATGATCAAAATCTAAGTGTCAAAAACAATGTTTAAGAATTAATGTCATTGTTAAGTCATTTAATTATATATGTAAATAATACCATAAATAAATGTCATATATGACGTGATATGTAACAATCAGTAATAAATAGTAATCAAATGCTTTAATGATAATTCATATTGATTTGCATAACGGAATAATATAAAAACATCATAACCTTGCTTGTTAAGTCCTGTTCTAGATCCCACACAATGACGAATGTCAATTAAACAACGTTAACAGATAAAAAAATTATAATAATTTACATTGGACTTCCGTAAACTTTGTGATGATTTTTCTTAAGAAATACATATGAACATATAACGAAAATTTTCTTGTTAATACTATATAAATGTTGATTAACATTAATGTAGCAATTTATATAAATAATGCATAATTATTATCTGTAACTTGCCAGTAAACTGTACCACGTACATACTGATCATCTGAGATCATTGCAGAATTCATCCGGTACGCTTCCGCATCTAATAATTGCACTGCCTTTGTTCTAAATTGAATACTATTACTAAGAATTACAATTTAAATATTTATTGAAAACCGTGAAAACCCATATTGTATGAAAAGAATGGGACATCACTCAAAGTATACGGCAAGAAAATCTGACATGAATGACATAATTGTCTAAATTGGCTGTAAATTTCAAATCCTAGCACAATAGGTATGTCAAGGCAATTGTTTAGAGATTGTTATTTACGTTAGTTTCGTTTTTTTTTACTCAAATTTATAATATTTACTGTTATTAATATATAATAGGTAATATAAATATGATAATGTGACTTTTAAATTAGTTGTGTACCAACATACAATGCAGTTTGTGACAGTGACATTGTTTGAAAATTTACTTTAAATTAAGCAAAAGAATACTTGAATTAAGGAAAACTTTAATGTTATTATTATCGGAGACATTTTATCGATTCACAACAAGTACGTAGACTTCTCAGTCTTTACTGAGAACCGTATGTAAGAAGGTCAACTGAACACGATAATTACATCGCCTTACCGGATCTAAACATACAAAATAATATAAGAATAGCGTGAGAATACGTTAATAATAAAATTATTATTTTACCTGGTCATAACTAAATATCGTCATATCGTCAGCCCGTGATCACGGTTGCTGCTAAGTAACCGAAATATCGGGAGTATGTAGTTCTAAAAATGATAAAATAAAGCGTAGTAGTCCGAAAAATATTAATATTTAAATGAATACTCGCGAAAATCTTAGATTTCGGAATAACTACATATTATCTTCTATATATATAAAAATGGATTGCTGTTCCTTAGTCTCGCTAAAACTCGAGAACAGCTGAACGGATTTATCTCATCTTAGTCTTGAAATGTTCGTGGAGGTTCAGGGAAGGTATAAAAGCTGAAAAAAAATTGATTCATTACTGGGAAAACCATAAAAACAGCCCTTTCTATTTCCCATACAAACGGTTTTTTTTTACATTAGATTTGACAACTAACTAATATGTCAATCATTCTGTCGCACTTCAAAACACGGAGATTTATGGCTTACAGGTAAACTCCAAAAATATAAATAAAAAAACGTACTAGATATTTCTTGATTATAGGGCGATACGAAGTTCGCCAGGTCTTCTAGTAGTGAATAAATTAAAAGTTGTACATACATATATGCCTTAGTGCCAAACTTGGAAATAAAAACACTTCTTACTCCCGAACTTGTCTTCTTTAGAGAGTTTTAAATTTGTTTCATTTATTTAAATTTAACTTTACATGAAATATTTAAGAAATTAATCTGAATGTATTCATCATTTTCATACCATAAGATATTCCGAACTGATAATACAAATCGTTATTTTCAAGATCTCTCCTATAAACATTGACGAAATTATTGACGTCAGCATAAAACAACCCATCAGTCGTCTGGTCATTAACATAAATAATTTCACGTATATCCTAGCGAATCATGTTTTTTATTCCCCATATATTAAAGTTATTTAGGTAAAGGATATATACAAGACACGCTTTTATATTATCGCTTATATACTAGATTCCCCTATATAAGCGAATCTAGTACAGATTCGCTTATATACTTAATTATCTATACGAAGTTGACGTATATACTGGATTGATTCTTTTATATACTTTAAAACAAGGACGAAATATATTCGCTTAACCTATATACGAGATTTGTTTATATTCCACATTTCTTTATATACTAGATTGTATATACTAGGTTGATTCATTTATATACTCAATTCACGTACATACAAGATTTGCTTATAATTCCTGTGTATAAAGTGACACAATAATATTACTTTTTTTAATATTACTGCGTTGTATTATAAATTATAATTATATGTAATTACTAGCTGTGACCCGCGGTGCTACCCGCGGATATCCGGGATGTAAAGTAGCCTATGTGTTATTCCTGGACGTCAGCTTGCTGTATACAAAATTTTATCAAAATCGTTTCAGCCATTAAAGTAACAAACATACACACACAAACTTTCGCAATTATAATATTAGTAGGATATCAAGAAAAATTCCTTGGTGGTAAATAAGTGTTTTGTTGTTGCCAGGTCTTCAGCCGGTAACAGATGCTTGTCTCGGATGTATCTGCGAGGCTGTGTCTGGATGTAAACAGGGTCTGCAGTGTGATGGGGACTCCTGCGGGCTCTTCCGCATCACTTGGGCATATTGGGCTGACGCTGGGAAACCAACGTTACCGGGATATTCACCGGATTCACCCGATGGTATGGCTAATATTATTATGACAATACGTAAAATATATATTATTTAACTTGAATATTTTATTATATATAAATCAGATGTTTTACAATATTATTTTTTTTGAAAACTAGCTTTCCGCCCGCAGCTTCGCCCGCGTGGAGTTCGGTTATATCGTGTTTCCAAGACCTTTCAAAAGTCTGGGATAAAACTATCCTATGTTCTTCCTCAAGGTCAACTCTATATCTGTACCAAATTTCATTAAAATCAGTTCAGTGGTTTAGGCGTGAAAGCGTAACAAACAGACAGACAGAGTTATTTTCGCATTTATAATATTAGTATGGATCACTATATGTGTCAGATAAAGTATGGTTGTTCTGTCAAAAAAAGTTTATGTCAAGAAGGTTTCATTTTAAATGTATGTAGAATAAAAAGAGTTTGTTTTGAAAAAAAATACACATAAATATTCTGCTTTTATTTTCCACCAAAACCGATAAACCGGTAGAAGCTAAAGGACGTTGAATCATTTTGACATCGGTTAATACTGACCGTGAATATGATACGAGGTTTAATAATTATTTACGACCGCCTTGAAAAACACTTTAACGGAGGTCATTCTGTATGTTCGCTGTAAACCAAAAATACTTCGATGACTCGAATTTAAAAGCTTCATTATGTACTTAAATCAATATAGATACTTTATTTGCAATTTTTTACGCATTTTAAAGAAATCGTAGACATTTTTATTTAGTAATTATAAAGAAGCCTTATTTTTTTTTCAGCGTATCCTAAATGTACCAACGACCCACACTGTGCTGCATTAGCTGTTCAAGGATACATGAGGAGATTTGGACAAGTAAGTATATATTTAATAATATACATATACTAGCTTTCCGCCCGCAATTTCGCCCGCGTGGAGTTCAGTTATATCGCATTTCCAAGAGAACCTTTTAAAAGTCTGGCATAAAACCTTTCCTATGTTCTTTCTCAAGATCAACTCTATCTCTATACCAAATTTCATTAAAATCAGTTCAGTGGTTTAGGCGTGAAAGCGTAACAGACAGACATACAGAGTTACTTTCGCATTTATAATATCAGTAGGGATATATAAATTTTAGTTCTTTTCTAAATATAAAATTAATAGTCTGTACATATTTCATTACATCAAAAAATATAAACGCTATATTAAAATCGAAGTCATATATTAGTTATTTTAATATATTATTATTGTACATAATAAGACAAACAATCAGTATATATCAACAGGGTCAAGAGAAACGATGAACTCATACCGCGAATCGAGACTGAATTATTATAGATATAAAAATAATATGAAATATTATTACTATAAAAAATATTATTATTGTAACATACAAATGATTTTAATGAGATCTAAGATTTTCGCGAGTATTCATTTAAATGAAACGAATTAGTTTCATTTAAATGATTTTAAGACTTATAAGAGTTTATATGTATTTTGAATCACTAAAGATTTTTTAATGACAAACGTTTGGACACTATTATTGTTGGGAATGCAAATGAATGCTAAACAAATAGATTGGCGCAAAGACTTAGAGCAAACATGGCAACAGTTTTAAACAAGGACGAATATAGAAGAATTTTGTTAAAAAATAAGACGAAAATAATATGAAAGTTGTTATTTACGACGCTTCGTATATATAATTTTTCGTTTTAGAATATATCTAAATTAATATTGCAAATATTCATTCAAATTAATACAGCAACTTTTGGCTGAAAAATGCATCGAATAATCTAAAATTTCTCGTAAATCTAAAGTATATAGGTATATTTTACAGATATAGAAAAGGTAAAAAATAATGCTAATAAAACAATATTTTCGTTTTGAATAAGAAATTCTGGACTTATGTATTCAACAGAATAAAACCAATAAAGTTTATTTCAAATATTACTATCTGATATTCAAAAAATATGACGCTGTCAAAGTTATACATTATTTCGTATTAATAAATTTGCATAACCCATGTCATTGTTAAATATATATAGCATGATGTCACGAAACTAGTTCTGATGATCAAAATGTCGAACTTAATATTTTTTATTTATGTTTTATTGACTTTAAAATACATTGTTTTTTGTGAACTGCTCGTAATATTAATATAATAGTGAAGATACGTTTTAAGTCAAATCAAAGTCAAAAACATTTTAGATGAAGAAAAGTAAGATTTTTTTTTTGTTGATTGCGATGAAAAAGAACGACAAAATTGTAGTGTATAAATAACTAGCTGCGGCCCGCTATATGTTATTCCTGGACGTCAGCTTCCTGTATGCAAAATTTTATCAAAATCGGTTCAGCCGTTCGAGCGTGAAGAAGTAACAAACATACACACACTCACAAACTTTAGCAATTATAATATTAGTAGGATGATAGACGGTAAAAGAGGGAGAGGGGGAATAAACAAGAATGTGACTTAATCATAAGAGAGAAAGGGATGTCAAAAGTTATAACTTCAAATGATACTATATATTAAAATATACAAACGCGGAACTTGTACGTGAATAAGAAACTTAATTATTTACAAACTCTAACAATGGTTATTAATAATTAATACGAACTCAATCTATTTAATGAACACAGTTTGTGACAAAGCGTCTAAGTAGGGAATTAGTGTGACATAAAATATTGACGACACCAAATTACATTATATTACCATTTACCCATATAGCAATAAAAACAAATTTATTCGATACTTTTGAAGTTTTTATTACTAAGTTCCTTATAAAATAAGGTTTTTTTTCTTATTTTATTTTATGCTATAATTAATAAATATATTTCTAGGACTGCAACAACGATGGCGTTATCAATTGTTACGACTACATGGCGATCCACAAGAAGGGAGGGTACGGATGTACTGGGGAGCTGCCTTTCCAATACGTGAATGTGTTCAACCAATGTGTAGCTGCCGTCGCCTTGAAACAACAACAGGGAAAGTAATAAAAACTTAACAATAATACAGCAATAAAGACTCAACAGCACAGTAATAAAGACTCAACAGCACAGTAATAATGGCTCAAAAAAACAAATATAAATGTAAAATAGATTGTAACCATTCAATGGGTTTTATTTAAACTGTCAATGTTCATTCCATCATTCATTCGTTCTTTCGTAACATTTTAATTATCTATGTGAATGAATGATAAATATTAAAATCTTGAATAGTTTAGTTATACAATAAAAATAATACGTAAGTAAGAGATCAATTTTAATTAATATATTAGTCATATCTGTTAAGGAAATAAATATTTTTTATGAATATACTTTTATTGTAAATAAAGATTATATACAATAAGGGGTTGTCTTTTATTTTATCTGTTCTGTATATGTATCTATTAATATAAGAAATATGCGTAGTATTTCAGCGATAAACATTGATTACAAGTCTACTATGTCGTTAAGTTTACCATCAAATTGAGTTCCCTTAAGTGTTCATCATGTTAAAATGACCTTTTTACATTTTTTTTAACCAGTACCTCAAAATCAATCCCATATATACTGATGAAGAGTTTTTGGCTTTGGAAGTTTAGGAATAAGTTCCCAAAAAGGTCGAGATTTTATAATATGTAGCTAAGTAGCGCTGCTTTTGTTTTCAAAGATTTTTCAATACAAGAGCCAACAGCCCTTCAAACAACGATTGACTACACCTCTCCTTCTGAAGCAGTGAAAAATATCACAATTGGTACACAGTGTGATTTCATTTGTGGGAAACTAATTCATTCCGCTTGTTTCTATAAACTGTGGTGGCTAAACAAATACATGTAGATTTGATAGTTTTGTGACGTCATCAAGTCTTCCATATTTTTACTGATTGTATCAAGTGATAGCATCAAAGGACCCAAGTCGGAATTTATTAAAAATAGTTTAATTAACTAAGTTAAACGCAGCCTAGCCCAGATAAAGGGTTTATTGCTCAAATTTTCCTCAACTTTAGGCAATATACAATAGAAATCGCTGATTGAATGAGCTCGCTATGAGCTTCTACTCCACTACTGATTTTGAATAGGAAACAAATAGATCACGAGCTCGTCAACTCTCGCTGCTGTCAGCTACAGTTATGGATCACAAGACATTTCTTAGGGATAATCTTAAAATGCCTTGAAGAAGCCGAAAACTAAACAGTGTAATCCAATCAGAAAACCAATAAGTGGTTATCTACCAGTACAGTAACTTCTCGAATAATACTCATTCCTTTAGGGTAGGAAAGCCAAGTGAGAAATTAGTGACTGTCTTTTCAATCTCCATCTATGTTTTGTGAAGAATGAGTATCAACAGTCTGGTGCTAGCTTTTATTCTGTGGAAGGTTAACTTGATTAAATTTTACGAACCACATCTTCTTCTGTATAAGCTATTGCCCATTATTATATGAAGATATTTTTCTGAGATAATTCTTGAGCTTTTCCCAAACACCTTGGTTTTATTGACCATCATCGTGAAGGGTTCCTCGTGATGAGGGTATGCTTTAACAGCCTTATGCATGCCATATGCATACATGTGTGGTGGCATGAAAAAAAAGCCATGCTCGTATGCGAAAATGATGCTCATTGTGGCTCTTTTTTTAACGATGCAGTAACAGTGTTTTAGCGGGTATAGTGGACAGGGGTCGGTGAATTCCATAATTATCTACGTAGACAAGTATGTATTAAACATTTTCTAGACGAAATAACTTCTTCTTTGGTATTACCGACAAAATCAATAAAAAGTAACTAAAACCAACATCACTGAGTCGTAAAATCAAATATTAAAATATTAATATTATTATTATAACGTACGTAGTTTGTTAATGTTTAACTGAGTAGTATCCGTATACTACGAACTGATATTACTACTTAATAGCAAAACTTTCCATACATTATAATGTTATTTTAAAGCTGAAAAATTATAAGTAACAAATGGACAAATTAAATATTTAATCTAGATTTTTAATTGTAAAAATTTACATAATTAATAAAATTGCTTCGTTTACTAATAATAATTAATTAGTCAATTAATAAATATTCATATTTATTTGTAACAAAGAACAGAAAATAAAATTTAGTAATATTCGTCTAGAGTTTACTTAGAACCGAACTTACAAGATCAAAACAAAGACTACTCGGATCTTCTAAATTTTATATTCTTTGTCACTAGAACAAATAAAATATTTAGATTCTCCGAATAAAAAATAAAAAAACATCAGCGCCTGCCAATAATATAACAGCAAAACAAAAATGGGTACATATAAAAAAATCTTAATGTATATTTATGTATTATGATTTATGATTATAAATAAATTATAAATATTTATTACATGAAATTGAGAAAATAAAAACGATTTAGATATAATTTTCAATAAATAATTGCACAGCATTATCTTTCCATGCTACTTGTTTATGTGACCCGCGGGTGACTGATAATAAATAAAACAGTGCATAAATAAATAAAAATAAATGTAACATTAATTAAAAAACACCATACATATATAATCTTTAAAATTATTACTCTATATAGTTCCACAAAAAAGGTTATATATTTTTTATAGATCGAATGTACACGATTAACCTTCTGAATGTCCCAGTGTTTCCGGATGTATTAATGCATTCGTACTGTGAATTTAACTTCTAAGAACATCAAGGAGGTTATATATATACTTATACTATATGCTTTTATGTATTGACCACTTGGTCGGTATATAAAAGCATGGCTTTATATATAGTTTCGCCTACGACTGTTTATTTTTTGCACCAGAGCCTAATATATTATGTCATCGTCAAATGAATTTCTTACGCTTGTTTATGGTTTGTTTAGTATAGTTTTGTGTTCCGAAGTGAATTGTATTCCATTAAAATAAGTTCCGAAAATGTTGCTTATACTTTTCCTTAGTGTATTTCTGGTGTTCAAAGAGGTTACAGGTACGTGTTATTGCACTGATTTTCATGTAATTAACTTGATATTTGTTATAAAACGAATATATATTAGAATATACGTTTAAATTCGTTATATCCTGTGTCATATTACAATAATAGTGCTATTAATTTGCGTAAAAACAGTGATATGCACAAACAGACATACTAGTCATACTTACTTGCAGATTAACAATATTGCATATAAGTTAGTGTCTAGAATATTATCTACAATTATAACTTGCACAGTATAAAATTTGAATAAGAATAAAAAAAATATTCAGAATCAATTTAGATCGTTTCATGCTGATGCAAAAAAAAAATAGCCGGATATCCGTATGTCAATAAGACAAAGCTTTATTTACATTCAGCCCTTCACGTTTCAAATTTGAACGAGTCGTGTCTGCGTTGTCTGTGCCACGTAGCGGGCTGTGATCTCGGTCATAGCTGTACCGATGGTTACTGCGGACCCTTCTACATCTCCAGGGTCTATTGGGTGGACGCCGGTAAGCCAACTCTGCCCGAAGACAGCCCGGAAAGGAAAGAAGGTGAGGTTTTATTAGATATCACATATTTTTTTTGGGATTGGATCATATTTATTCTATTGGTTATTGGTGTAGAACATAATTTTTAAAATTGGAACAAATTTTATTCGTCTTTCTTTCAGCAAACAATTCTTTTTAGCGATCCGAGTTATATGTTATTGAACTTAATATTAATTTTTGAATTAAATTATATGAAAATTAAACTAATATTTTTGGAAAACCGAAGTTTCGGTTACTTCGCAGCAACCGTGATCATGAAAGTTTGAACTTCTCAATAATGAAACAATAAGATGTGCAAGATAACTAGTTAATGATGTCAATAATTATGGCCTGTAATAATACCTATGCTATTATATCAAAATTTTTGACTAGCAATAAAGAAAAAGAAATTAACCCAGAATCTTTAAATTTAAATTCAAAATCGGCTAAATTTACATTTTTAAGTAAACATGTATCAGAACAGTTTATTTTCCTTTTGTTGTAGAATTCTTCAGTTGCTAGGCAGGCTTTCGTATTTCGGATTTTTGCTCCTTTGAACTCAAACGTCCCTAATATTCTAATATATTAAATTTCTATGTCACAATGTTACCTTACTCCTCCGAAGCGGCTTTACCGATTTTTATCAAATTTAATATTCGTATTCAGTAGCTCTGAGAATCGGCTACTATCTAGTTTAAATACCCCTAAGTGATAAGGATTGTTAGCCCTTAATTTATTTTTAAATTGTGGACTATATATATATTTTTTTTATTTTTTTATAATGTGGTATTAAAAAAATACCATAATCTAAACAACCGTAAATTTTTACTTTTTTATTACCAACCCCTATTTTTATGTGGCAAAACATTGTTTGCTTTCAGGTAGTTGAATTTATATACCTATTTAATTATCCTGAACTAATTTTATTTAATTATTTTATCCAAGTTTTCTATAGTATATATATTATTAAGTATTTCTTTTTAATTCAACAGCGTACGAGGATTGTGCGAGAGATTTCTACTGCTCCATGAAAATCGTTGAAGGATATATGGCGAAGTTTGGCAAGGTGATTTTAAATATAATAATTATTTCAATGCAATATTTTTATTCACTGATATAACAATAAAAATATATAAATTATTACGTATTTATTATCTGCGTATATAGAATTGAATCGGTCATTTCAAAAACCACTTAAGTGTAAAAAAAATCCAACATGCTTTTTTACCGAAAATGATTCCTCAAAGGTTGATGCTTATTCTGTATGACAAAAATTTAAATCAATAACTGTTTTAATAATTCCTCGTAAAAGTCGTTCATTGCATAAATAACATTAGTCATTGTCTTAAAAGGTTTTTGTCACGCACCACTAGATCATGTTTTTTATGCAGTTTCTTTTAGTATGGATTATCCCTACTATGTACATATAATATTATAAATGCGAAAGTAACTGTCTGTTACGCATTCACGCCTAAGCCACTAAACTGATTTTAATGAAATTTGGTACAGAGATAGAGTTGAACTTGAGAAAGAACATAGGATAGTTTTTATCTCAGACTTTTGAAAGGTTCTCTTTGAAACGCGATATAACCGAACTCCACCCGGGCGAAGCTGCCGGCGGAAAGCTAGTAATGTTAATATATTTAAATCTTGTTTTTGATTGATTCCAGGACTGCAATGAAGATGGCGTGACAGATTGCTTTGATTACATGATGATAAATCATCACGGGTCCACTTGTAGCGAACCATTACACCTCACACCTCTAGGGCGACGTCGGTTAAGATTATTCCAGCAATGCCGTTTGACAAATTGAACGATTACTTAAAATTTCAAGAGAAAACATACATACAAATGAAGACTATATTTTTCGGACATTGCTTAGAACTCGCAATTTTTGTAATTACAATTTTCTCCCGTTACTTTTACTTTTAAGCTATAGTTTACGGGATAGCGAAATTGCAGTCCGAAAAATGTAGTTTCATTTCTTAAAATGGACGTTTTTGATGCATTTATAATCATGCTTAAAAATTATCTTTTATATTTCTATATTACCAATACGATTGACGCTTGGTGAATTAAATTAAATTGGTGTATTAAATTGTTGAATTAATTGTATTAAATTATAACTTACTAATAATATTTTAAACGCATAATAAGTTATATGGTGATGCTAACAATTCTAACAATAAAACAAGCCAGTTTATTGTAATTTATCTAAAGCGAAGATCCAAATAGTTAACCCTTACCAAATTACACGTATACTAAATACGAAAAGTTTGGAGTATTCACTCATACTTACGTTAATACTGTCCTATGATAAACAGGAAATTATTTGGAGAAATATCTTCGTAAAAGTTCAGTATAAAACAAACAACCAAAATGAATACAAGTATATAATTTAATTTGTATGTGATTAATTAAAATAATAATAAGTAAATATTATATTGTATACTTCTTCTTCTTCCTGGCAATTTCCCAGCTTTAGCCAGGATCTGCCTTATTATATTGTAAACATAATTTATTATATTAAAAATATGCCTAATATTATGTTAATACTGCCTTCGTATGACTGATACACATAATTTAACTTAAAAAGATTTTGTAATATCGTCTAATATTTACTAGATATTAATATCTTTAATATGATTAAGTCTTTCTAATAAAAATATAATTCTGGATGTGTACGATATTATTATTTATTCCATACGTATTTTATGATTCCAAAAAAAAACGGAAATTATTTAAGAGCGTGTTATTTTGTGATTTATTTTAAGTATTTCATGTCATCCATAAGCCTACGGAAATTTGGTAAATTTTTTGGACAACGTACATATGTGTTACACTTTTTTTTATAAATTCAAAACTCTTTTTACCTTAAAAGAAAAATCTATTTTATAGAAAGAACAAACTTATGCCCAAAGCCTGAAATTTGCAATAGCGTACCTAATAATAGCAAAAATTAATAATTTTTTTAAAAATGTTATTAAAAACAGACATGTATTATATTTACTTATATCAATTATCAATAATTGCGTACCTGTTGTGGTGAGTGGAATTTTCTAATCCTTAACACAAGTTTTTATCGCTACACTACATACAGAGACTATCACGTAGAAAATGGAAACGCTACCTTTGTAGTCTAAAGCAAATTTGTCGAAAGGATAACAGTCAAAGTGATTGACTAATTTACATCGACCATTTGTTTAGAGGATTTTTGGAATGTCACTGAGACTTAAAATAAAGTTATATGAGCTCTACGGTCCTTATTTTCAGAATATAATGATTATCTATTACTTTATTAAAGTTCATTTAAAAAAAAATAACAAAATACAAAAGTTGAATATTAAAATCCTCATATACATAAGTATATTTATATTTTTTTATGAATTTCGATTGAAGAATTTAGATCAATGATGCTTTGATGAAAAAAATATTATTAAGAATATCGTAATTTATTATAGAAATTTACCACTCGATTCCAAGACAACTTCTACAGTAGAACGACTATTACCTGTGGATATTCGTTGCAGGTGTAATATTAATTGTATTTGATGAATTCTCGTAACAATATCATTAATAGATAATAATCTGTGCTGAAAATTTTCGTGTGCCAATATTTATTGAATCTTTTCAAAGGTCATTCATTATAAATGCAAAAATTTATTGACCTTAAAAAAAACAAATACGCAATTATAGTCATTTAACCATTATGATAAACACGATAAAATTTATTAAGTAATCATGCACCAAAAACGACTTGTATCATTTTAAAAAAAATATGTTACAAGATCGAAACAGCAGACACGCAGAAACACAGGGAATAGAAATTTTAACGAATGAAATACTTTTCTATTATATTCATATATTTTAATTATACAATATTATAAAATTAAAACGAATTTACAAATACTTTATTTCATTAAAAATATTCTTACATAAATCTAAAACAGTCGAAATATACTCCTTAAATTATAAGTATATAAAATAATTAGAATAACAAATGATTAGTCAATATAAGTTCCATCATCATAAAAATCATTAACACTTAAACACAATAAAGCTTTCTTCCGGTATAATTATATTTTTACATATTATGTATAAATTTTATAGTTTTTTACTAAAATCTAAATGAAAATATTATAAAAATATCTTATTAATTATATATCTTAGTGTAAGTTTATTATTTAATTCTAGTCGAAAACTTAATTTAATTTTGAATTAAAAAAAAAACTACAAATGTATAACATTTTGATACTCGTAGCTTGTGAAGGGTGACGTAAAATTTTGTTGCATAATGTATATTTAATGAGAATTTCTTAATATTATAAAAATTTTACCTTTACAATAAAATTTGTATTATGCTTCCAAGACGTCCGAAGTCCATTATGAGAGTACATCGCAGTCTTCGCCTCACTTGGCCGCTAGATGTCGCTACTAATGGTCGGTAACTGATTACCGACCACCTTACCTGTCACTTCCGGTGCGGACTGTAGTCTAGCTTTTAAATCCAAGCCACCAATTTCGTCATTGTTAGGCTCATAATGACATAGCACCAGGAAGACATTACTGGGACTTCGGACGTCTTGGAAGCATAATACAAATTTTATTGTAAAGGTAAAATTTTTATATTATGCGTTCCGTTAGACGTCCGAAGTCCATTATGAGAGTTTGTTTGTTATCTCCTGGTGGCTTGATTAATATATGTTTATATTAAAATGCAACAATGTGATTAGCAATATATTGTAAATTTAAAATCATAATTATTACATAAATCAATTATTGATCAGGCTGAAAATATTGAGACAGAGACTTCTCTGACGTGATATTTGTATGTAAATCATCTATATTTTTTAGATAGAATTTTCTAAAGGTACATTCATGCTGCCAGTTAGCTTTGGCTAAAATCTCATTAATAGGGTAATTTTCTACCCAATTTAAAGAAGAGACTGCTGATCTACAACTTCCAGCTGGCGCCTGAATACCAGCTTCAGCCAGAAGTTTCTTTATCCAACCACCGATCATTGCTGCAGTTGCTGGCCTTGTAGGACTTCTAGTCGCTAAGAATAAATTTGTTATACCTCCTCGGGTATTCCGAGTCAGATTTACTAATGTACGTAACCAATATACTGCATCAATGCTCTTGTCTGGTGAGGATAAGAAGGTCCAGCTAGATTGTTGGTAGGAAGAAGAGTCCGTCTTAGAACCGAAAATGGGATGCAAGGTTATCGAATTTATATTATCTACAAAGTGAAGTTCATCCACGTGCAAAAGAGTGAGGTCGTGTACTCTACGACCAGATGATAATAATAATAAAGCTGCTGTATGTCTGGATACTTGATACAAACTGTTTAAATTTATATTAAGACTTTTTAAAGACCTAATCAATATCCTGGCATCCCAAATCGGAAGTTTAGGGGGTTTAGGTTTTGCCAACGAAATAGCTTTGAGTATATGTCTTACTATTGGATTTGTAGAAACCTTAATATCGGATATCGTTTCACAAACGGATGCAATGACTGATTTATGCACAAGAATGGTTCGGTAGGAAAGACCATGGGTTAAAAATAGATAGGCTAAGTACCTTGCTACATTGGCTGGCTTCGGTAAACGAAAATTAATGCTATTTCCTTGACAAAATCTTACCCATCTACTCCAAATTGGGGCATATGTCTTAATGGTAGACTGCCTCCAGCAAGATGACAATAACTGTTTCTCTTGAGGCGTCCATGTCTCTGTTAAATCGTCCCACCCAAAATCAGCCAGGCTTCCAGGTGTAACTTTCCGACTTTCGCTGGTGGTTGCATTGTCGCTGTGTCGACCAAAGTTTCGTTCAGATTTCTGAGTTTCACAGGGTGCCTTATGGCACGATTCTTCACATCTGGCCTCCAAAAACATTTCTTCCACTTGGGGGCTATTAGGATGAACTGACCCGAGGCTGAATTTAGATGATCCAGAACCCTGGGTATTAAGCTGGGTGGTGGGAACAGCCATGCAAGTCTGTAATGCCACGATTTGCTGAAAGCGTCGTGAAAGTAGGCGTTCGAGTCTGACAAGTCTAGAGAACAATAGTTTGCCACGACATGTGCCGTCTGCGAAGCAAAGAGGTCTAAATCGGGTGTGCCCCACAGGCTGAACAACCTTGAAGTTTCTTTGTCTCTGATATGCCACTCGACGGGAGCGCGGTTTCGAGACAGGCGGTCGGCTTCGGTGTTCAGGAGACCTGGCAAGTGGTGCGGGCGAAGCACAATGTTGAAGTGGTCTACTAGATTCAGGAGTTGTCGGGTCAATTCTAACAATTGACGTGATCGTGTTCCGCCTTCGTTCTTTATGTAGGTCACGACCGTTTGGTTGTCGTTCTGAAGAATCACTGTCGAGTTTCGTAGCTCTATCGCTTTGACTGATATCGCGGTGAACACTGCCCACATTTCTTTCAGATTGCAATGCCAATTTGCCTGATGTTGTTCCCATGCACCTTTTATCAGTTCGTTGTTTACAAGGGCTCCCCATTGAATGTCTGACGCGTCGGTGATGACGTGGTTCGTCAACATTCTTTTGGGATGAATCGGTGACTGTCCGCCGATATTTTCTGTCCACCAAATCAGTTCTGTACGTACCTCTTCTGAGAACTGAATCTGGGATTGTGGACACTGCCTGAGCCTGTTGCTGTGTAACTGTAATAACCGGCAATGTAACCTTCCCCTGGGGGTGATGAAGGTTGCAAAGTTTAGGTGACCTAATAGGCGCTGAGCCTGTTTTAGGTTCCAAGTACGGGCCACGAGCCGCGTACGTAATATTTGCCGAATTCGTTGGACCTTGTCGGAGGGCAAGAACTTTGTGTTGGTATTGGTGTTCCATACCACTCCCAAATAATCGATACACCTCGTTGGTGTCATTATCGATTTTTCTGTATTGATCCACCAACCCAGATCGGTCAGAAATTGTGTTGCGACCTGTACCTGAGTTGTGAGTATATCTCTGTCCTGATGGGCTATCAAGTAATCGTCGAGATAAATTACTAACCGCAGCCCTTTTTTGCGAAGTATTTCTGCGGTCCAGTTCGTTACGGAGGCAAAAATTCGAGGCGCTGCTGCTAGCCCGAACGGCAGACATGTCATCTGCAAAAGTTGACCTTGATAGCTGATCCGAAGAAATCTTCTGTGCTGATTTTTTACAGGACAGTGATAATAGGCTTGGCTTAAGTCCAGTTTCACCATCCAATCTCCTCTTTGAAGAAAATTGGGTATTTGGTGATGATGAAAAAGATTGAAATGTTTTGGTTTCATGTACTGGTTTAATGCCTTGAGATTGAATATTGTTCGACTTTTCCCGTCGGATTTCGATATTATGAATAGAGGAGAAATGAAGGAAGGTGTTAGCGGTGCTGGCTCCAAAACCTTCAAATGAATTAATTTTTGAATTTCGTTCGACATTATATTTGAAGTCGGAGTTTGATACTTCCTTAAAACCTCTAAAGTTGGGAAAACTAGAGGCGGTGGCTGGGTGAATGGTATCTGGAGACCAGTAATTATTTTGCATATTGATTTGGGTGCATTGAACTGTAGCCAAATTTTTATAAAATTTTTCAGACAACCGCCTGAAAAAATCATCGAGTCATTTATTTTTATACCCCTGCCTTCCGCCCTCTGCTCTATATTTCCTCCCCCCTTTTCTTGCAGTCGAGGAGTTTTTCGGATGAAATCCGATACGGTCCTTGGTCTCATCCTGCCTGACTTTAAAATTGTTACTTTTTCGACCTCGAAACGACTGGATATTGGATGAAGTCGAAGGCTCAGGCGATTTCGGACGAGAACGGGTAGATGATAAAGTTTGTTTTTGTAATTTATCTACCCCGCCAATTTTTTGTAAATATATTGACAGCTGACCGGGATCAAACATGTACTCGCAAGAAGGAGGTATTTTATTAAGGTCTTCTTTCGTAAATTTATCTTTTAATTTTTTAACTAAATCCCGCCTACGTAACTCTAAAACTTCAGCCCGTTTGCCGCAAATCATTTGTAGTATATCGTGAGAAACCGTTTTGTAATCGGAATCGTTTCCAAATAATTGGTTTAATTTTTCATAAATGACGGTAGCGTTGAGTTGAGTGTCGGTAGACGCACACCAATCAATGAGAGTTTGTAAAGCAGAATTTATCGCTTCGTTTTGGGCTAAAAATGCGTTGGATAACGCGGCAAAACTACGTTCCATTTGAAACCAACGTAAAGGAGTAAAAGGATCCTCTAAACGTCGCAGTTCCTCATTTACTTTTAATTCCGTAAACGCCGGGAAAGCCACATATTTTTTCTGAACGTCTGTATAACGAACCGCATTCCAGTCAGGTGAATCAAATCTTTGCATAACCCTTATTCTGTCAACACGAGCTGGCTTTGCTTTCGGAAAGAAGGTTCTGTGACGGCCACGTTTAAATTAACAATACCACCCGCATCTAATTTCGGCGGACATAAAAATTGTTCATTGGCCGATAATACCGAATTATTTGAGTTATTAAATAAGGGTACTTGCACGTTTGTGGATTCATTATGCGTAGGTTGAGAAAACCTAGCCGATAAAACATTATTTAAATGACTCACCAGCTGCTGCGACAATATGTCAAACCTTTCCTCCAGGTCCTGCAGACTGGCTCTCCTTTGGCGTTTTCTCGGCGGCTCCTCGTGATCCGAAAGGCTTTCCGAAGAGCTACCTTCGCTTGAACTCTTCTCTTCAGTAGGCACGATATCTTCTCGATCACTCATTTTATATTCACTTTTATTTCGTAGGGTATTTAAATAAAAATAGCGACAATTATTATGACTTTTTACAGTTTTTCGTAACGACCAAGTGCTCGGCTCGAAAAACGATGCAACAATGACGAAATTGGTGGCTTGGATTTAAAAGCTAGACTACAGTCCGCACCGGAAGTGACAGGTAAGGTGGTCGGTAATCAGTTACCGACCATTAGTAGCGACATCTAGCGGCCAAGTGAGGCGAAGACTGCGATGTACTCTCATAATGGACTTCGGACGTCTAACGGAACGCATAATACAATATGTTTAAGGGTTAAGCGAAAGTGACAAGTGGAGCGGGCGCGTCCCACTGACCCACGGCCTCTTCGTCAGATTCATCGGGGAAATTTACCTGAAATATATGAATTAGAAATTATATTTTAATATATTTTAGATATGTTAAACACTACAACGTAATTAATTGATTATTTTAAGTTCAATTGTGTAATAGAAATGTCATTATGCTTGACGTTTAGTGACACACACGCACACACATTGAGGAATTTTCACGGATTGACGTACTATATATTATGTGTATGTGTGTGAGTGTGTATGCAAAAACATGAGTAATTACGTATCCGTACTGAATGAAGACTTCTAATACGTTTTATATAAACAAAAAGCTTTGTGCACTTCTTCTCAATACAATCTTTGGACTGTGTTAATTTCCACTTTCATCCTTTCGAGTAATTAATTAAAATTTAAAATTAATATAATGATTTGACACTAACAACGTTATTTGATCGGATATGTTGGATGGTTGTTTTAATTTTTTTTCTCATTTCACTTAATTTTTATTGCAACTTTAAACATAAAATCTTGTTATATCTTAATTTACATTAAAAATAATCTTAATCTCAATGTATGGACTTGAAAAATTCCAAAGATAAATTTATAATCATCATGATGGGAAATAATATTTAGGTAGCATTATTGATGAATATTGAAGTCTTATAATATAATGCAATACATAAAAACATACAAAATTATTAATTTTCCATTTTTTTATACCTACAGCTGGGTAAAAATATTTAACTGCATACATTTAAGGTATTGAGTGGAAAAAATTGCTAATACGAGTATTAAAACGTGTAGTCAAAAATAATAATAATTAAATTACTACACTTTATAGTAACTTATATCTTCACATTAAATAAAGAAGTAGAAAAAAGCATTTACTTTAAAACTTTAACATAAAAAACCTATTTGTTTAGATAAATATGAAGTGTTTGTTTTAAAAACTTATATTTACCCATGGAGCTATTAGTCTTTTGCCTCCCGATTTTAAGGATGCCGCTTCATTAGCTTGCCACGCCTGAAACAAAGGTATTAACGAAATTAAGTCACTAAATTATTAGTAAGGATTTAGTTGAACTATTTCATAAAATTAGTAATCTTAAAGAAAGAGCAAATACTGAAGTCAGCTTTTTGGAAGATGGATTTGGTTAAAAACGTTGTTTCTTTATGTTTAAATTATCGTGACATTGAAACTTTTAAAAACATCATAAATCATTCTGAAATGAAGAAAGTGTAGACAGAAAGTGAAACAAAAATTATGTTTCAGACTGTATTCTGTATTCTTGATAACAAAAGTACTCTGCACATTCCACCAGCATACTTTATTACAATCTTTTCCATCAGAAAATTGTTCCGAGCACCCTCCGAAAAGCGACTACAATTACACCGACTTAAGACTTAGACAATTTGAAAAGAAAATATTAAGTAATGTTCTCGTCATAAACACAATAGATTTAACACGATGTTATGATGAACATAATTCTTTAGTTATTAAAGATATTTTTATGATCTTCTCTCTCTCTCTCTCTCACCTGGTAAGCATCATTAAATGCATGTGCCAGCGACAAAGCCAAGGTACGCGCTTGCTTGCGTCTAGCGCATACGAAAACGTGAACCGCGTGCTCGTCGCCCGCTCCCGCTTCCGCTCCTTCTACCACTGCGAACACACGAGCGTTCGCCGCGTCCGCTGAGCAGTATGAGATCCTACGAAATATATTTTGTAACATTATTTATTTATTTGCTATATGAACCTATATCTTAATGTTAAATTCATGTTTGTAAATATAAAAAATTGTCTTTTTCTTCCGCTGAGTGTGGCTTGAGGTGAATATAGATGCATCTTAATTTTTTTACATGGTGTTCGAAGTAAAGCTTCAGTTTTGTTTTTCTTACAGAAGTGAATGAAAGAAAGAAAAGTGTAAAGTCTTACAGAAGTGAAAGAAGCCAGTATTTATAGTTTTCAATTATAAGTTGATACTCAAATGTAGCCATTACAAAATTACAATGGTTCAGTTTTATAATTAATTATAATCAGACATAGAAGTCATTAGCAGATCACAGATGGCGACACTCGTAACAATAGCAACTGATAGAGTTTGAAATTACTGTGATTTAAGTACACATGAATAAATTAGGGATACATTGAAAATGAAAAAAATCCTAACTAATTAAAATATATCGAATTTTTAACATGCATAATACAATTAACACGCATAAAACAAAATCTGACTGTGAGACGGAAGCTCTCATTATTAATGTATTCACCGTGCGGGTGCCGGGTCCATTATGGCGCATTTTCATTGGTCGATAAGTCGGTAGTTAGCCCGATTGCGGGGAATACCCGCATGCGAGCTAACAACCAATGAAATCCACTGGTCGATAACTCGGTCGATTAAAGGTGTGCGGGTAATACCCGCATTCGGGATAACGACCAATGAAACTAGTCAGTCGATAACTCGGTCGATACAAAGCATGCGGTGCCTCGCCTCTGTTCAGTCAGTTATTAGACGTCATCAATACTACACGCATCATTTATATTACTAACGCTGTTTATTTACGCAACGTGGGAGCAAAATGGCTGAACGGTTTTCGGATTCACAAATGCTAAAACTCGTAGAGATCTACCGAGACTACGAATGTTTGTGGAACGTAACGAGTGCTTTGTATAAAAATCATGACGCAAGACGAAGTGCGTACAAACAAATTGCGGAAAAGTTAAATATAAGTGGCGTCTCAGACAAAGATATACCAAAAAAAATTAAAAATTTAAGGTCATCGTACTATCAAGAATTAAAAAAAATTGAAAAGAGCACTCGATCTGGAAGCGAACGAGATTCTGTTTATAAACCGAGGGTGTCATGGTTTTCAATTGCCGATGGATTTTTAAGAGCATTTAAAAATAAAGAAAATACATTTTCAAATGTAAGTATACAAACTTTATTTATGTTACTATAGACAGTCCTAATTGAGTAGGTTATTTAATATATATTTTTAAGAAATGTAATATTATATAAAATATCACTATTTTTTTATATTTTATTATTTAGACATTTTTTGGAGAACACGAGACAATCTAATACACTTCTCATAAAAACAACACCTCGCGAGTTTGTTTTTTAAAGATTACTGAAAAAATGTGTGTTTAGGGTTAGTAGTGATACCTATGAGGTGTTCAATTAAAAATGTTAATGAATTGATGATCCAATTGAAATATTTTTTTTATATAGGTACTTCATGTTTTATTATCATAAGTTAAATAAAAATCGAAATGTTTCGTTTTTTTCATGAGAAGTGTATTATTAAAGAAACAAGTGCCGCGGGGCATAGTCGGTTCTGCCGCGGCGCTGTCCCTAGTGCAGTCTACCCTCAAATTGTTCCGGAATGTTAGTGAATAAATCTTGTTTGCCACGGCACTGCACCTTCACTACTGAAGTAATCAGCGAATCTATCCCGAATTGTTGTCCCATTTTCAGTTAAGGTATTATCTTCTCCCATGTTTTCGAAGTTTCGAAAAGGTACTTGTCTCCAGGAGCCATTAATTGTTATACCAGTAGAGATATCTTCATAATCCGCAAGTCCAGGTTCAAGATAATTAGAATCATTTTTTCTTAGCCAATTATGAAGCGCGCAACATGTCCTTGTTATTTTTATGGTATTCTTGACGTTGTTGGCTATTGGTTTTTCAAAAATTCGAAATCGGCTTGTCAATATACCGAACGCATTTTCTACAATTCGCCGAGCCCTTGAAAGACGGTAATTAAAAATTTTTTGCCGTGTCGTTAGATTATTTCCCGGGTATGGTTTCATTATATTATTTTGAAGCGGGAATGCAGCATCCGCAACAATAACACTTTCTGCTGGAATATTCAGACTACCGTCATCAATTGCTTGTTTTAAAGAACAATTACTAAAAACTCCGCCGTCAGAATATCTGCCCTTTGCTCCAATATCAATATAAGTGAATGAATAATCATCATCGACACAAGCTAGTAAAACAATGCTAAAAGTTTTTTTATAATTATAGAACTCAGATCCACTACAGGCTGGAGCTCGCAAGTTTATATGTTTACCATCAATTGCCCCAATACATCCAGGAAAATTCCACTTTAACTGAAATCCAGTTTTTATATCCATCCATTTTTGTTCCGTGTTTGGGACCTGAAAAAAGAACATATAATCATGAATACTTTTTATTTACAGATCGATGAAAATTCGGAAATAGCTACTGATACTGTTGACTTCGAAAATAGTAATACGGCATTAGAAGAGAATGATGGAGAAGAAAACTCAAATGCTGCGGATGAAAATCGAGTTCAAGAAGTAACCGAAACATCTTCTACATCATCATCTACATTCACTGTGTCATCCAAACTGGCAACGAAGAAAAGGGGCAAATCTAATAAAAGACAGGACGAGGTATATGAAGCCATTGAAAAAATAAATAAAATTGCCGAGAATGTAACGAAAAATGCAACATCGTTACTAGAAAATAAAGAAGATGAATTCGACATTTTTGGGAGATATATAGGCGTTACGAACATTGCCAGGCGAGTTTTCAATTGTTGCAAAAACAAATATTCAAAAGGCTTTATCGGAAATTCAATTAAAAGCATTGAGACAGCAAACCCAATCTTCGTTGTCCTCGACGTCCAATATCTACGATCCAGATAATCCAGGATATTTAAGTTCCGCATCTGTATCTAATTTATCAAATTATGAAGACGATTTTAATAACATCAATTTCACAAACATATGAAGCAATTATAAATATAATATAAATTTGTAAAAATATTGCAAAATTTAAATAAACATTTACTTTATAATCTTAATATTATTTACTATTTTTATATTTATATGTACTTACTTTTATATAATCTGCCAGTGCATCATAGAGAGCGTCACACACTTCTGGTATAAAACTGCTCATAATAGAACACACGAAATAAGTAATATAAACTTTTGTAAGAATCTCCAGTAGCTAAATAACGTAAGGTGACCTCAAGTTTTAATCTTGCAGGAAGAGCCTCACGAAATAATGTGTCTTTTTTTTTAATTCTTTTTTCTACCTTTCTCAATAAATCGTCAAATAAGTTTTTAGGTATTCTGAAAAAATTATCATGATCTTCTACATCACATTCCAATGCCGGATTCAAGTTCGCACACAACGTATTAGAAGCACCGTGCATCTTTCTACTTTTAAGTAAATTTCGCATCCAAAATCTCTTTTTCTTTTTCTTCAAAGAAGTTATTAATTTCTTTTGTAATACACCGCAAACAGTCAAAATTGCTCCACAAAGCAATAATTGTTGATCCATGGCGAGTACGTCTGCTTATCTCAAAACCCACTGCCAAACTGTAGGTACCTAATTCTCTCGCACTTCAAATGCGGGCTCTAACGACCAGTGAAAATGGCTCCCCGCATGCGGGCTTTATCGCATGCGTTATAGAAATCACCCGCACCCCGTATGCGGGCTTTGACGACCAGTGAAAACGATAAACTCTTTGCGGGCCCTATGGCATGCGTTACAGAAATCTCCCGCACCCCGAATGCGGGCCTTATCGACCAATGAAAATGCGCCTTTATTGTAGGGAGAGGAGCTTCAATAGTACCTGGGACTTGCGACCCAAGATGGTTTAAGGGGACCCTATCTAACGCACGTTAAACGCTCACCTCCACTGTCCAAGCTCCTCTCTCTACCTAATCAAATTTGAAACAAAGCTGCTAGGGCTGCCTTCGTAGTAGGTTCTAAAAAACTATATACTCTCTGTATTTCGTATGACAGGGAAACTCATGGTACTGTACAGTATGTTTAGCAAAAGTTCGTACATTCACACCACATACGAAGCTTTTGTCGTATCTAAATCAATAAACTAAAATAATAATTATATTAGCTAAGATGTTACAATGAAAAACTGTTTAGATAAGCATGAAGATCGCTTTAAAGTGAATCAGTAAAACAAACGAAGTTTACGCCAAGAAAAAATGGGACTAAAACAATCTTAACAGTATAGCTGTGGAAACAGCATTGGATTTATAGCCGTATATTGTATAGCATTGTTACGCTAACCAACATTAAAAAATAATTATTATGTATTTCAATTTATGGTTACAGTCTAAATTTCTATAGAAAATATTTTCATTAAAAGCGGCGTTTAAGAATCTACTAAATTGGGAAATACTCAGTAGAAACCTTGAGGCATTATAATGATTAATAAAATTAATAAGACTTTAATTACAAAAACGGACAAAAATACATGTTCTATAATTGCATGACATTAATATGACACCTCAAGCCACACTCACCGCAAGAAAACGACAATTTATCGCGGCTATTTTTAAATCTTTATATTTACAAACATGAATTTAACTAACAAAGGGTCATATAGCGAAGAAATGTATGATAATTAAAAAAACAACATGTCATGTGTCAAATTACAGACGGTAACTTTTTTACATTATTCTTAATAAAAAAAATCTTAAAAACAAGTTAATTCGTCCATCCCTACTAATATTATAAATGCGAAACAAACTATGTCTGTCTGTCTGTTACGCTTTCACGCCTAAACCACTGAACTGATTTTAATGACATTTGGTACAGAGATGGAGTTGACCTTGAGAAATAACAAAGGATACTTTTTAGCAGAGACTTTTGAAAGCTGCGGGCGGAGAGCTAGTATCATATATCCTGAACTAGCCCCTGAACTTGTTTTATAAGGAATACAATCGTAAAATACAATAAAATCGTAAAGAAAATAAACTTCATCAACACAAAGTCACCAAAAAGTTTTTATATATTTACTACAGAGAATTTCAACGTAAGATTTTCCTTGGCTTATTAGAAAAAATATCAATAATTTTTTATTTGAAAATCTGCAAATTTATTTTTTCATTGATTATTATAAGTTGTAATTTTGATTAAACATATAGGATAAACAAAATACTAAACAGTAAACGTTCTTCTTCACAAAAACACGGATATAATAAAAATAAAAATAATTTATATCATATTATTAATATAATAAAGGAAATTAATATAGATAAACCAACACGTGGTTATTTATTGACACATTTTTATTATCTAAAGAAGCAATGTTCTTGCAATTGTAGGGTCGTGGGCAGATAAAGAGTCAATGCTTGTCTATGGTTACATAAAGAATAGTTCAAAGTTCTTTAATACGTTTTATAGTTAACTTAAAACGTGTTATTTATACACTTATTATGATACCAATAGGCCAAATAGTATTTTTAAAAGAAGAATTTTAACAATTAAAACAGTAAAGAATGAATAAAGCAGAACAGGGTATAAAAAACCTAGTTAATATATCAAACAACGCGGACGGAGTAGCGGAAAAGAACTAGTATACTATATATGTATATTTACCTGTAAATAGATAGACTGAGAACATCTTCTTGTGATTCAGCGTCAGACACAAGAATACCTTTAGGACTGATATCCAAATTCACTCTTTGTAACTTCTTGTTCATAGCTGTCAAATAAAAAGATTCATTACACAGATTAACAAAAAATCAACATATTGTCTATGTCTTTTTATATCAGTTTAGACATTTGTTAAATTTGTTATTTTGGTCACGTTTTGTTAAATGAAACGAAATACACAAAATAAAACATCAGATACGAAAAAGAAAAATAAATCATGAGTATAATCATACAATATAATTTTATTTAAAACTCTTTTTTTATATTGAAATTCTGATAAAACTAGTTGAGTATTATACTAACTTTTCGCGGTGTGTAAGGCCGAGCGCACAGCAAGAGCGGTAGCGGGAGCGGAGGCGGCTCGCTCTACGGGCGCGACCCCCGCGTATCTGACCTCTGTGTGTCCTCTCCCTTCCTTCGCTTCTTTCCACCAGCCCTCTCCCTCACACTCAGCTAGAGCCCACTCCTCACAAAGTTCTATGGGAATATATATGTATTTAAACATATATGTATGTACATACATAGGTACATGTAGTTACGACAAAATTCTATAGGAATATTTCATAAAAATTATAGGTATACGTACATACATATTACATAGGTACCTATAGTTTAGAAATCATGGGATACAATATCGCGTAGATCGTAGGTTCGATTTCTGCTCATATAAATAAAGTACATAATATACAGATCGTTTTTCGGACTAATTTGTTTTTTTTGTCTCTACTATTCATTGAAATATTTTTTAAATATCTATATATTTATCTTGTTTAAAATTACTAAGAATTGATTGTATTTTGACAAGTTTCGCAAGAACAAAGCATACATTGATTTTTTTTAACAGCTTTAAAACCTAATGATATAAAAGCATTCGCTAGTTTTACTTCTGATATTTTTGATATAATTAATCAATTACATAGGTTATAAACAACTGCACTCATTTTAGAAAAATATGTGCAACGTAGTTATGATTCAAAATCTATTATAAGACAAAACAAATTTTATACATTATGCTTATAATAAGTGTACATCGTCACTACATACAAAGCGTTTACCGTTTCTCATTCAAAAATCTACGTTAATAATAACGTTGGAGTTTTTTGTATGAAAAACTTTTAAAACTACGTATGTAGCTCAAACTAAGGATAAGAATATTAAAAGCACATTTGTATTAACACAAATAATACTGTAAATTTAATCTGAACCATAAGAAAAAAAAAGAGTATACTAAAACGATTTCGGTAAGACAATCGCAGATTTCTCATTTTATATAATAAATCATTATTATTACATATTTAAATGTATGATGCAATTTTAAACACAACAAGAGGTAAGTACCCTATATATATTAATATATATTATGAGAGTATCTATCTACTTACTTTTATTTCTAAAATTTTATTGAACCTTTTTGGAATACCATTAAGAAAATTTTCGAAAATATGAGTCAGTTCATTATGAATAATTATTAACAAGCTAAGCTATAAAAAATACATGAACTATTATGTTAGTACATAATATACATATTGATCTAGTGATCAATAAACACTTATTACTCCTTAACTTAAACATTGTCCTTTTAAGAAATACTGTCTCTTAAGCACTTATAAATTACGTTCTAAAATAATTCGACTCCATAATTACAATATCGTAATATGTCATTACAGAGACAATTTCCACGCAATATCTGAGCTTTATAGTTGCGAATTATTTAAATTGCTCGGAAACCTAGTTCTGGATAATTCAGTTTCAGGTAACGAGAGTCTAGCCTATGATTTGTGTTACATATAATCTAATAGCTAACTCGATTTAAAATCATACGCAGTAAAGGCGTACCAAACTTTAGTTTTCGCGGTTTTTTTTCGGATGGCAATGACACACAAAAGAGGTTTTCTATTTATAAACAATTTATTTGTCCCAAAATATTGATATGGAGTGAATGCCTCGCGAATACGCTTATCGGTTAGCTGGGTCAGACAGCTGATAATGGAAATAGGTCACGGGTCAGTATTAGGCGCAGTATCCAAAGATTCATCCGGCAATTGTCTCATCTACTATTATTATTTGTAATTTACGTCTTATCTTTCAAAACATTACGTACAAAACTAAAACTGTGCTGACATATTCAACAAAATGGCCGACTTAAGTAGATCACAAATTAGAAAAAAAAAACAACACAAATGTCATTAAAGAAATCTTTTTCTTTCTTTTCTCGTTAGAAAAGAGGATATATAATTAGGATTGTTAACTCAAATCATAGTTTCGATCCATAGATAAGCGTCTAGAAAGTAAGTTCTTGATTGAACGGGTTCTCATACTGAAAGTAGAGTAATTGAGTCAAAGCCTATATGATTTTTTTTTTGCTATCGACATAACGGAGAGCGACTTATATCCGGTAAAGATTGACCGGTTTATTTTTTATCTGGATTATTTTACAGCTATGATTCAATTTTGTTACAAATTTTAAGTTATTGGTATTGTTTAGATTTCGATAAAAGTTCTTTAGTTTATTTTCTCATATAATTTATTATATAGATCCTATTTTATTGTAATCTGTTAGATTACTCATCTTTGTACATACTTGATGCTTAGTCTCCTCATTTCAGAGGTAGATATATGTTCTTAAAAACATATAACTTTGTTATTTTATACAAGTCATAGGTACAAGATTTTCTGATAAATTCAATAACTTCTTTTGTTTATTTTGATATTAACGTTAAGAAAAGTAACAGAAGTATACGTAATATAACAATTATTATTAATACAAAAAATAAATCAAGACAACAACGCCGACTGATACAACTCTTTAGCCAATGACCAAACTTGACATAAGAAATAATTTAAGAAAAAAGCTTTTTCACAAATCAAATCAATTTTTTTCTATAAACAAACAATATAAAAAATGCTAAAAAGATAACTTTAATGAACATATCCTAATTTTTAGATTACAATACTACGTTTTATTGAATACTTCATAAAACAGGATATAACATGTTAAAACATAATTATCATTTAAATAAATGAAATAAATTTCTATTAAACTATGACAATTGTTATCGTTTCGGAACTAGCCTTGGCAAGGATGTAAATATGACATAAGCATACTAGACATAGACAGATTGTGTCAAAGTGACGTATATACATTGTACATATAGAAATATTTGAATTAAATTTAATTAATGTAGTAGAAAAATTCCTTCGTGTTTTCTTCACAGTGCTCAAGATTATAAAGGGTCAATTTTTTTCTGTTTCTACTGCTCTGGATACGAGTCCTTTTGAGCAGTATAAGGCGTCCAAGAAAAAAATGCTGACATTACCAAAATATTCAACGATTCCAGCGCGAATGAAGCATAGAATAAAAAGTGATTGCCGTAATGATAATATTCATATCAACATTATTTAATTAAATAAAGTTTATTGGTCTTATAAACATAATTTTAGCGAAATATCTAATTGAGACGAGGCTATTAACAATTTAAACCCTTACACATACCGTTCCACTTAATACGAAAACAATATAGAATTAGGTTTATGTCATAAATCCTACGTCACTGCGATAAAACCTTTTTTATTTTGTCAACTAACTAAAAAATATTATTGTAGTTTCAAAAACAAAGACATGTAGTATTTATATAGTCTTCTGTTATGTATTTTAAACTGATATCAATTATTTTAAAATGATATTTCTTTATATTTGCGTAACAAGCAAAGGGTCTATTAGTCTCTAGTCTCTATTTTTATTTGTTTTTTTTTCATAAAAGTTAGTACACATACTTTATTGTAGTCCTATAAACACTACTCTTATCAGCAATTCGGTTTAAATATTTACAATTTTGCTCTCGAGAAGATTCCAAGACGACGATTTCATTGTAACTAAACATAATAATTGTGGGTTCCATTGAGAACACAGATTTGGTACTTTTATAAAAAAAATTAAAAATATATATTTCTTACGGGTGACTCAAGTCTTCCATTTAATTACTTTTATGAAGTTGAAATAAAATGTCAGTAAAACGAGAAAATTACTCTTTGGGGAATAGGAGTAGTTTTATAATCTATGCTATTAAATTAAACCAATTTAGCGTCTATGTAAGGTTCTATGGTGCAACAGCTGACTAGATATTTAAATTGAGTTAGTGTTAATAGTTTCGAAAGTGTTTTATAAGGCTTAAAGTAATGTAGCAAGATATAACCATATTTGTATATCATCAGGTCAATTAACAGACATTTTAAAACGAAACAAATTTTCTAATACACCTAAAGTTATTTTATAAACTAACTTTTACGGCGTAATGGTAAAAGTTCGTTCGGAAATCTAATACAACGAGTTTTTCTATACTCGAGAACCCGGTAAGGCTTAGCGAGTTCCAATTCCTAATTACTTGGAAACTTGTCCCATACAAACTTACTGAGAAAGTTTAAATTAAGAGCTAATAAATCTCTTAATTTAAGTTTAAATACGTGCAGCATTATTTTGATTATTCTTAAAAATATACTCAAACAAAAGTAGAATTTAATCGATATTTATACAGAATTTTCTTTAAGGTTTTGATTGAATTAAATTCCAAAGTAATTTACCAATTCAAATAATTTTTATAAAATAAAAATCACTCACTTTTGTGTTTCGAATTGTTCTTCAACATTTTTCTTAAAAGCGTCGTCATTTTCTTGTGATATTTTTTTTTATTACGGGACGCAACTTTTCTCGCCTACGGTTTACAGATAACTGCAACTCAGCCACCCTGTGATATGGGCATGCGAGATGAACAACTTTACTCTTATAAATATAATTATATATATACTGTACTTATATTATCTGCGCAATAAATATTTATTAATACCCTTAACCAACGTTTTAACCACAAACACAGATCTAAATCAGATTTTTTTATATATAAAAACTATTAATAGAATTAATGACTCTGAAACATTTTAGTTTCAGTAATAAATTAAAAGTAAAATTAGTTTTCTGAAGTAAATAAGGTCATGATCAATATTTATAGTTCAGTAAATATATTTTTCTGAACTAGCTATAGCTAAAGTAAAGAAAAGTACTAAGGAAATGCTATGAAATAATTATCATACATATTTTATAACGCAATATTCAAATTATATGATTAAATCAAATCAATCAAAGTCCCAATCGCCATTTTTTCATAACGCCGCCTTTAATTTAACACTTGTTGGTACGTGGAAACAAAATTGGGTTTAAAATTACTGCCTTCAGCTGGTTTAAGAACTCGTAAAACAATGTAATTATTGTCATGCAAAAAACGCATAGCGGTTTCATTGGAACAAATGAAGGCAAAAGCTTCGAGAATTGCGTCAGAAAGCGTTCAGTGTTACATCTTACATCAGGCGCGTAAATAATGAAAGGCATTTATATTATAGAGTGTGTAGTGACTACCAAAAAAAGAGAAAATGTTTAGGACAACTAGCTACTGCATTTTTTTAAATTAAGCAACTAAACTGTTTTGCAGAAAAAATCTTAAATATACGACCAAAACGCTGAATATACTTATACATATATATATATTCATTAAAAAAGAAAACACATTAGATGTCACCACATCTCAGTATTTCCTGGGTAAATAATGCTTATGAATGTATTACGATCTTTTAGAATAAAAACAAAGTAAAAGTATAGATAAACGTGCATTATAATTTATATGCAATACGAACTCTTGACGAAAGGATAAGTACATTGACCCTATACTAACAACAAAACGCTTTTGCTCAATTATAATAATTCATATTACATTTACTGTAACTGAAAATAATTTTTTTTTTTATAAAATATCTATAAAATAATGTAATTAAATTAATGCCAGTTATTTTTATATGAGTTTTTTTTGTATTGGTAATTATCAAAATCTAAGATATTAAGTTATTAATTGTAAAGAATGTAAACTTTTACTTTTGTAGTGTGCGTAAAATTTATAAAAATAGTGTTACCATTTTTGGTGTTTAAGGAATGTTAAGCAAGTCAACTAAAATTTTGAATCAAAAGTTCTTTCTTTACAAAAACCATAAAATTAGGGTAACTAGTCTTATATTAACTTTGTTTATATTAATAAAAACATACTTTTGGTTATTTCCATAATACCTTACAATGTTGTAAAACAAATAAAATCGTTACAATATTTAAAATTATAAAGTATGTTACACACAGAGGAATAGTAGCGACGCGACGAGAATTAATTAAACATTTTAATTTCTATGATATTATACATGTAGTTTTAAATATTATTCAACATTAAATTACATTATATGTTATTAAAGATCAACATTAGTTTTCTATTTTATAAAAAAAAATACTTACATAATTTAAAAAGTTTTAAATCTCAGCTGTCAACTGATTTTTGGTACCTATTAATTTAGAAAAACTATCCTATTTTCTTTGCTTCATGACAGTTTAGTAGTAGTAATTATGATATAAGTACTTATTAAAATATCTTTTGAAGTTTCGTTCTCTAAAATGTATGATTTCTTAAAAACTCTGCAGCAATTTTTGACTTGATATAATCATAGTGCGCCCTAACATTTACCACTTTATAATGAGATGCAAATGAGATTAAGTTTATCCCGGGTCTCTTTGGTTACATCTATAAAGTACCCTTATTATTCCAACACTGTACTTCCCTATATGAAAAAGCCACCCAAATGCTAACAAATTTACATACTCAAATACTTATCTTTTATACATGCGAGATGCAGGTTGAATGGATTGATTTAAAATAGATAGACAGGCGAAAAGAGGAAAGAATTCCTATAACATAAATAGAATAAAGGCAATGGTAGACTTAGTCAGTGTGAAGTTAAAAAAATGTAACCTGCTTTGTCTTGGATTCAATACTGTTAGTTTATTACTGAAAATTAAATATATTAATCATAATATATTTTTAACAGATACCTATTCCTATTGCTCATACTCAATATATCTCCTATGTTTGCATTTAATAGAATTTTTGTTGTTTTAGATCTATTAACAAAGTTTATAATTGTCTTAAGTCGAAGCCCTTAAATTTTATAACATTCATAATTTAATGCCGGCTTGTGTTTCCTCCATTCTACATGACACTGGCAGAATATACTGTAACCACCTTTATATTGATGAAGGCAATATTGAATATAACCAACCAATCAGGTTTAGAACATCTGTCTAATTTAATAAAATCTTTCGATATTAAACATAAAACTATTTCAACAATAAAATGTTAATCATATGTAGGTGGTGAAATATTAAATAAATAAAATAAGACAATTTTTCTTCTTAATTATGTGTAATAAAATATGTAACAGCTATTGGCATTTTTAACATATAATGTAATAACATTATTTATTTACCTAATTTACTTAAACACAATATGTGTAGCATTAATAGATTTGAAAGAAAAAACTACAAATGACTTCAATGTATTAAAAATAATAAAATATTTGTTGAGAGTAACATTCAAACAAATGCATAGTTAACTAAATTCCATTTCTATATTTTAATTTAAATAAAGAGTATAACAATAAAAAGGTTTTATATATCTTGAAATGTAACTCTATACAATGGTTTGTTTAAATAAAAAAACATCTGTTTTGTATCTAGAATTATTAATTTATAATATAGACATAAATCACCTCTTTTGAAAGAAATATTTATCAATATGATAAAAAAAATATCCCCTTCAATATTGATATTTGGTTTTGTTATCACCCAAACATCAAAACTTATGTTTTTATAGCAAAACAATAATACTTTGAAGAAATATAATTCCTAGGAATATTTGAATTATATTTATTACCTTTGAAATAAAATAATGATAAATTGTATAACATAATTGAGATTTTATTAGAATTAATAAAATTTATGAAAAGGGTTGAAACTTTTTGAATTTTTTTTAACTTGGTCAAATAACAAAGTATCTTTCTCTTAGTATATATTGTTAATTTAGATTACTGTACTAATGATTGAGTACAAATCCTTAAATTACTCACATAAGAGTATGTTGTGAAATAAATTAATGAGAAAATAATTAAAATTAATTCAGACTTAATATCATTGTAGGAAATGATTTAATATTTTATTAAGAACAAAAGAACATATTTGTTAATCTGAAAAATTAACATACAAACTTAATAACAGAAACGAAAACATAATATTTTTAGTGATATTTGGGAAAAAAAATTGACTTTACAGTTTGAAAATTGAGTTATGTGTATAGTTTCCACAAACATCATAATTTAAAAAAGAATTAATTTTTTTAATCATGTTTTATTTACAATCGAATGAATTTCTCCATGGAAAACCAATGGAAGCACAATGTACAGTTATTTTTCAGTAAAAATGTGAATAAGTTTATAAAGAAATTAATTTCTATTACATCATACACCAATGTCAAGGAACACATTGTAAGTAACTAATTATAAAGGCATTTTCTATTATACTTAAAATTATTTGATCAATTAATTTATAATAAAAAATAAATTAATTCTATAATAATAAATCCATATACATATATATTTAAATAGAAAACAATATGTTTATATTAGATGCTATCCTTACAACCTAATATAATCACTTTAATTCTTTTTTTATTACGACAGTCTTTTCTGTGGGTTTTGGGGGTGGTTTTGTTATCGATCATTTCTTTTTCCGATCCTGTGTACACTTGGGACAGTACCATTTGCCTTTGGGTTTGATTTTGAGGTCTACGCAGGCGAAGTGGAACCACTCGATGGGACAGTCGGGATTATCGCAACCTATCATCTCACCGTACGAGACTTGGTGGCAGAGACAATATGTTGGTTCGTTGGGGTCCACGGGCATGTCGAGAACGTCGCTTGGATGTGCCATACCAGCCACTGAATCCAGATCCGCGTTTTCTTCTTGTTCTTTGGCTAGGGTTGTAGTAGTCGTGGTTGTACCCTTTCTTTGAGCCTTTTTCTTCGCAGCCGATCGACCACTAGCCACGGCGTCTTCTTCGCTTGAAGCACCAGTCCGTTTTTTCTTTCCAGTTGTGGCAGCTGTTTTCTCGCTTCCTTTATGTTTCTTCCTGCCTTTCTTCACAGTCGCCGGATTGCTCTCCTGATCAGTAGCAGCGTGTTGCGCCGCGCGCGAATTCATTACTTTCTCTTGAATTTCGGATTCAAATCGTGCGAGGTCAGAATCAAGGCGACGTATGTGCTTATCAACAAGTTCGTATGTTTGGATAGCAAGCTGGACTTTATCGTCTCCATACTCTTTAGCTTTATTGAACAACCCCTGAATTGTATTTACCTTTTCTTTTTTTGTTTCTTCGTCCATTTTTGGAATATTCGGTAATAATTCATCGGCCATAAGATCAATTGTCCTCATTAAGCCGTGAGCCCTATCATCGAGGTCTCTCATTAACTTAAAATTCCTTTGTAATTCTATTGGCAAATGTTGCAAGCTATCCAGATAATGTTCCAGGTAAAGAGCTGAAGTCATTTTGCAATCTTTTGTAACGACTCCACTAAATAAAAATGTATGGCAACGGCGCCAAAATGAAAGAAAACACTGACTTAGATGACACTAACTTAATTTTCATTTATCAAACAGCAAATTACACAACGGTGAGTATGTAAAAATATTTATAACGGAAGAAATAAAATTAAAAAATATGCTTCACAAATCTTTACATTACAACAAGCAACTTCAAGCAAACCAATTTGAGCGGAGTAACGTTCCATATCATCATTTATTACAAGTTGCACAGACTGCACTTTGTGTTCTTTTATTTGTATCTTTCTGATTATAATAAGAAATATTTATTTTAAATATTTGTTAATTTAAAATATAAACATTTTAGAATAATTTTAGTTAATTATCATTCACAATTTCAAAATATTATGAGTTTCAATGAGACAAATACGTGGTACGAAACGTAGTGTCAATACGCTTCAGCAGGCACGTATGACTGCAAACAGATTATATAATAATAATTTGAACTAAGGCAAATACCAGACGGTGAAAGTAATTCAAAATTAACTAATAATGAGCTAGATAGACATCAAAAAGTGTTATTTTAAGGCGGCCATATTGAAAATAAATAAATGAAAGGAAACAAACTTATAGTATTGATAATGGTTCATAAATCATATAAAACAAATTGTTTACCGTACTTTTAAAGGTTTATATAAAAATCACTTCAATTTTTATAATCTCATGACTCTGCATCCAATTAGATATGAGGAAGTGTGACTTAAATGTGCATTCAACTCTGGTGTGAAATGAAAATATAATATTTATTTTATTATTTTATTGTATTAGCAAATAAACAAGTTATAAAATATTTTTAATAAAGAGACACTAGTCCGGGGTATAAAGCACTTCAGCTTGACTTACATCAAATGTTAAATGGGTTTCGATTGCATACAAATTTTTATAACATACATAATGATATTTTAAAACGACATTTCAAGTTAAGCAAAAGAACCCATAGAACAATCGATTACAATATGGAGTACTATTTAATTTTAGCGAATATAACAACTCGTTTTTATGTCCATAACATTTAAAATTATAAACTTTAAAGGTAAAAAAAAAATGCAAATAAATAATTAGCTTCGTCGCATCATGACGAAATAAAGGAGCGTACGTAATCTACAAAATATAAAACATGCTTTATTTCCTTATTCTACAATTTACATTTCTTAGCGCTAAACGTGATCGTACATGTGATACACTATCGTATTTTTGTTCTGAATTTAACAAATACGTCTCATTAATAAATGATTTTGTTGAAAGAATTTAAACCACCCGCAAATAAGGTGAATGTGATTAATGTAATATTTGTAACATACTCTTTAATAATTGGCCATTAATAGATTATTTTTTTCATAAAATTATAAGTAAATTTAAACAATAAGGTACGCAAAATCATACTTTTACTTAAGCCTAACTACATACAATTCTACATATTAAGAAAATTTGGTACACATTCGTTGCTCATTTTTTTATTTTTAATATAATATTACAGTCGCGGCAGATGAAGTGAGCAACTGAACATTGTGGAATGCATGACATTAAACAGTTTCTTAAATGGCTATAAACAAAATTAATAGAAATTATCTTAATAAATCTCATCTGCTACTATCTATATAAGAAATTATTCATAATAATTTCAAATATTATTTTTTTTATTAATGAATACAATAATTTATAATAAAATGGAAGTTAGTAGTTACCGATTAAACTGATATACATTGTGATAATTGGCACTACATACGCAGGTCTCAATATATGATATTACAAAATCTATTAGTGTAATTGTATAGGCATCTAAATATTACAAGTATATCTAATAAACATGTCAATATAAAACGTCCATTAATAAAAATTGAATGACAATAATTCAATCGGTACAGAACATCATCAATGTTGAATTCCCTCACCTCGAAACATTGACTAGCTAAGTCATCATAGTCAACAAACATATTTTAAAGCACTTCAAGACAAATTAAAACATTAAATCTCAAACAAATTTTCACAACCAGTAAAGAAGATATCGAGACAGGTGTGGTATTAACAAAGCACCTTGTATCATGATTGTGCTGGTGGGATACTTAACTCATACAACTAACACAAGCGCCACATAAAACACAATCTGCTAACATTACTATAAGATTAAGGTAGCGGGTAAACATTGCTATTACAGCTACACTATCATTCCTCACTAGTTAAATTCAATATCCATATATTTGGTTTACGATGAGACGTTTCGTTAGCTGACGCTTATAACTAAACCACTTCCGTAACTAAGCCTAGCGATGTGACATACATACGGACAGTATGTCAGTAATGAACTACACGCACCAAGTAACGCTCACAGTCAATTATGTATGCATAGTATTGACTTAAGCTACACTAGTGTTTCATACTTGTCTAACACGTGACCTTGGTTGTTTTCGTCGCCATGAGATCGAGAACGAGGTCGCGGATTCGATTCCGGACCCGCACTCTTCGCTCTAGTTTTCTTATCGTGTCCGCATGTACAAGCTACTGATGACTGGCGCTTTAATGTTTGCGCCCTAGCTCCAGCCCATTGAGGGTCCAATGATTCGCTTCTGGTATACATTTGCCTCTTATTACGACCCATGGTCGCGTGACTGAAGGAATTTTGACCACTATCTGACGAAGGGCGCACGGATTCACTGCGCATGCACAGATTACCCCCCGCTCGTCGAAAGGAATCGAGCACCCTTTCCTCAATTTCTTCAATATCCTTCTTCTTCACCAGCCATATCTCCTCCGAACCTCGAGTGAAATAACTGGAACCCTTGCTAACGGAATATTTTTCCTTATTCTTCTTCAATATGCAAGTCTTGAAATTGTTCTGATTGTTCACGTCGTCGTTGACTTTGACTGGGCGAGGGTCGGGGGAAGCGACGTTGCGGAAGGCTGTTCCTTGAGAGGGGAATTGATCTGGAAGCTTAGTGCCAAGACTTGGAGATCGAATCGTGACGTCGACATGCGACGGCATCGGTTTGAATTCCGGCTTTATAATTCTCTGCGGCTCGGGTTTTTGTATTTTTTCATCGATAGACGAGCTTTCGTTGTGTTGCCATTTAGCTGCAACCGAATTCACGGATCCTCTCGGCAGACTCAGCTGCCTCTCGAAGGTTCGTTCCGGTTCGGTGTTTTGAACTTTCGCGACTTCCGGCTCGGTGTTACTCTTATCCGTTTTATCTGCACTACCGAGGTCGAAGAACACGTGGTCCTTGAAGGGCGTGGCTGGAGGTGGCAAGTCTTCTTTACTGTCAGACCCAAGTCTCTCTGATCGTGACCTTCCTCTAACAGACCCTGGCCGGGACAGTTTCCCCGCGCTAAGACTCGCATCTTCAGCGGCCTTCTCGAATTTTCTTATTTTGTCACCGACTCCATTCGATTCCGCAGCTTTTTTGCCGTTAGTGACATCGGACGTTTTAGACGAGTTGTTCTGATCGCTGTCAACCGTTTTCTCGGTTTCGTAGCTGCTCATATTAATCAACGACAGTTTATCAATTTTAATAGGAGCTTCCTTGATTAATATCGAATCCTTCTTTATTTTCGATGCGGCTGAACTTTCCTCAGGTTTGATATCGGTTTTATTGAATTTGAAAATATTCGCAGGGGGCGATGTCACTGCGGACGATGGGGGTGACATAATATCGTTCTTATTTAATAGAAAATTGTCTCGTTTCGTAGGTGGCGATAATACAGATTTGATAGGAGAAGAAGTAATTGATTTACTGACTGGAGGAGACAGAACTACTGGTGAACTGATCGGTGGTGAGGTGATAGGCGGGGAGGTGACCGCGGGCGGACTCGTCTCCGCGACAACTGGTTGTAATGATGCATTCCTCTGCAATACATTACTCTTGAATGAAGGCAGATGCATTTCTTTATTATTTACAGATGAGATTATATTCTTAGTAGGTGGGGATGAAATCTTTTGTGTCTCAGGGACCGCTTCCTTCTGATTGGGTGGTGAAGGGTTCGGTGAATCCTTGACGAGGCTGCTCCTCCTGGGAGGGACGGTCGCCTTCGGTGGACTGTTCTTGGGTGGGGAGTCGGTTTTCAAGTTAGACTTCTGGGCTTCTATATCTCTGCTGAGGAAGGACGAGTTCCTGACGTACTGGTCGTTTTTAACTGGCGGTGTGGTGGGAGCAGTTCCTGGAGGTGTTCCTGGAGGTGTTCCTGGGGGGTCGCGCGGGTGGCGCGGCGAGGCTCTACGTCACGCCCGCGGCTCCGGCCACTGGTCGGAGTCGTCGGAGTCCGACTCGTTGTCGGAGTCGGTGTCGCTCTGCTCGACGGCCACTCGACGAGCCAGAATGGACGCCACGTCTAACAACGGCGGCGCGCCCCTCAGTGTGTTATATTTGCCTGTGTTGTCTTCACAACGTTTTTCCACTTTGCGTAACTTGATTCCTGAGAACAAGACGTGAAAAATGATAGCGTTATAAACTATTATAATAATAAAAAAATTACTGTATTGATTTAGATTTTATAAATTTTATAAATTTAGATATACAGTGCAACCTTAATATAACGTACCGCAATATAACGAATTCCTCAATTGAACGAATTTTTCGTAATCCCCTTGAATTGTCCATAAATAATATAATATATATAATCTATACTAATATTATAAAGCTGAAGAGTTTGTTTGTTTGTTTGTTTGTTTGAAAGCGCTAATCTCCGATACTACTGGTTCGAATTGAATAATTCTTTTTGTGTTGGATAGTCCAGTTATCGAGGAAGGCTGTGAGCTATATAACATCACGCTACGACCAATAGGAACGGGAAAATTATTTCATCTTTGAAGCCTTCCGTTGCGTGTGCCGTGAAAACGGTCCAAGATACACAAAAAATATGTATTAAAGAATAATAGCTCTTTTAATGATCTAAACAACAGTCCGCGACAGTATATGTTTATCTTTTAAGATTAACTCACAAAAACCGTTTTTATGGTACCTAATTTTGTCGAAATAATTTGTTTAAGTTGTATCAAAATAATAATATTAATCTTTATTCATATAAACAAATATGTTGTTGGTTAAGAGTACTTCATATTATTAATAAAAAAAACATAGGTTTCATCCTGAAAATTCTACGGGAACTCGACCATTCTGAAAACCCCGCAAGAATGGGAACTATGTGAGAAGAACCAAAAATCTGTCGGAAGTAACTATTCCACGCGGACGACGCCGCGGCAAAAGCTGGTATAAAATATACCTCTACTATATTGCGAACATTCTTTTCGAACAACCTCTTTATAGCGAATTTTCAACTATCGAGAAAAAGTATTCATACCTCTAATTAACGAATTTTGTCAACCCAAAGCAATAAAGTTCTCACTAATAATATAACTCTTAATCTTATATTGTTATTCATGTCTCGACATGTTTCGACACGCTTTTGTTCATAAAGTAATCGTTGTTGTTTGATGAAAAGTAATATAAACACTTCTGCTCGTCACTATTGTTAAAGTTTTAAGTTAACATGGCTCAGAAGCGTAAAAGGTGTTCCTTATCGGTCGCAAAAAAGCGAAACATCATTAATCATGTTGACCAAAATCCTATGACGAAAAAATTAGACATAGCTTAAATAAGTTCGGGATTCTCGCAAGTAGATTGACTACAATTTTAAAATTTAAAGATAAGTTTTCAGAAGAAAGTTAGAAGAAAGTAGTTTGAATGTAAACAGCAGTAATTTTATAAAAATGTGGTATCATTTATTAGTAGAAGTTGTTCGGTATAACAAGATATTTACGTAATGTTGAGGTAAGTAAAACTATGTATTATTTTAACTTTTTATAACGAATTTTAGACCTAAACCTAAACCTCAGTTCAAAGAATTACTTGATATAACGAATATTTTCTTGTTCCCTTCCAATTTGCTGTATAGAGTTTGCAGTTTGCACTGTATATACAATAGCTTTTAAATATTTAATATCTTTTACCTTCACGTATAGCTTTGAGGAGGTCGGACCGTGGGTCGGGCGCGGGGTCCGCTGATGGCCTGGGAGGCTTGAGGGCGGAGGCTCCCCGGAGCAGCGAGGCCGGCGACGGAGGCCGAGGACGGTCCTCTTCAGGCGGCGGGGGCGCGGGGGGCGCTAAGGGAGCCGGCGGCGCCATGGGGGGCGTAGGCGCCCGCGGCGGCAACTCCTCCGATGACATCATACCTAGAAAAGAGAACAATTGGTTTTAAACTCGTGTACAGTGGCCCCCTGTAGTCCGACAAACGTTATGCAGGGCAGTGTCGAACTATCGAATTCGTTGGATTATTATTTTTTTTTTTTAACAAAAGAGTACCTTGTAATCCGACAAATTACAGATTCAATGATAAAATTATTTACATATTATATAAACATACATATGTACTTATATGTACTCTGAAGTACAAATTCAAATGCCAACTAAGCAATCAGAATCAAAACAATACCCTACGCATCGAGCACAATATGTAGTGATGGTGTGTACAAGTCGTAACTTGTTCAATCATGCATTAGCGAATACAAAATATGTATTCAATAATAAATAATAGATCATGTCGGATTACACTGTATTTTGTTAGTAATTTCCAGTCATTACTGATTCACATTTTGAGATCTAAGACTTAAGCGAGTATAAATTTAAATGAATCTAAAACTTTCAGATTGCTACTAGTTATTTTATTATTTTTAAAACAACAGCAGGCAGACGAGATGAGAATGATTCTCATTTTCATCATTTATTTTAAACTTATTTAAAACTGAAGCTCAAAACTCCTTAATATTATATTTATAACTTTAAATTTTTGATATTAGAGGACAAAGTTAAACTTAAGATCACAGTTGCATGAAGTTCTTATCTTTATATGATGTAAAAATATTTTTTACATAATAACATGGAAACCAAATAAACAACGTTAAACTTCAATTCTATGGCAGTACAATAAAATTGTTTAGTTTTTTTATTGTGATTAGCGTTTTGAAATTTCATTTTTAAATACATTGAATTTATGTATTTTCTTATACAGGGTGACTGGTGAATTACTATCAATATTTAAGGAGCATACTCGGTACATGATTCTCATTCGAATTATGTAAAAAAAATAGGTACTTAATTTTTTACCAAATTTCCGTATAAATAAATAAAGTGTGTACTCGTTCCAAGTGTTCCAAGTGTGGACGCGTGTGGCGGCGTGCTGATACAACAACACGCCGCCGCGCAAGTGTGTCTGTGTGTGTGTATACCTAATCTGTAGGGTGTTCACACGATGCGTAATTAATTACATAACTTTTGATTAACTTTACTTAGAAGTTTATTAATATTTATGTTATATTAATTTTTATTTTGTCATATATGATCGTCAAATATCACGTCCTCAAATATCGATAGTAATTCACCAGTCACCCTGTATATCCTTTAGTAAAATTAAGTAAAGGCGTTGTTGGACCAAAGAATTGCTAATAGAGTAGACTATATCGTATCTAGCGTGGAGAATAGCGTGTATTGTTTATAACGACTGCCAATGATAACAATATTATTTAAATCTGTTCATTCCATATCAAACAATGATTAGTTCTAAGATCTAAGTATTTCTCACAAGTTTTCTATTAAACAATAATATCTATGTTTAATCTATCGTGGGAATGATGTTTTTTTTGTTTTATACTAAATTAATGTTGTTTGAATATGTATATATCGTAAATATATTGTACTGAAACCAGGAAAAGTATTTAGGTGGTAGAGCCTAGCTGTAGTTAATCACTACAACTCGAACATGGGCTGGCTCGACCGGGGAAGTACCACCCTCTCACAGAAGATCGGCGTAAAGTAGCCTTCAATGGCTGCGTTTCGTATGATGAGTGAGAGAGCCGGATGCCCTTTTCCTTTCCCCACCCTTCCCTCTCCCGGAATGTTGATGTGTGTATTGACTTTCTGTCCTACATTAGTCTGAGTTTATTTTGAGGTGTTGAGCGTGTTTCATTGGCATGGGGTCCAGGGAGACCCGATGAAACGGTTTACCGCTGGCCGCCCGTTGGTTCGTAGGGGACCCGAACCTAGACTGTCCCGATCTAGGAGGCTGTCCCACCGCCAATGACAAAAGCTCGTCGGTTGTTGACTGTGCCGGAGTGGGAGACCGGAGTGGAACCCAGTTTTCAACCACGGGTCGGATCGGGGGCCCTTCCGTGCCTCATGCCAGCGACACACTAAACTCCACTCTCAATTCAGACCATTGGCAATGTTCTTTGACAGGATAGTTGATGGGCCATCAGCATTCCTCCTTCAATCCCATCCCCTGAACTAAAACTCAAATTTATGGCTGTCAAAAAAAAAAGAATTAAGGTTTTTACAGCGGCACCCCCTTCCACGTTTGTAGTGGACTTTTGCAACATAAGGGGTATACATTCTAATCTACATGCCGTCCATTACCACCTAGAAACGGCTAAGCCGGCCTTGTTATTTTTGACCGAGACGCAAATATCCAATCCTCAAGACACCTCGTATCTGCATTACCCCGGTTACAGACTTGAGCACCTATTTCTGCCGCGGGCCGGGGTGTGCTTATTCGTCAAGGAGGATATTTGTTGTCAACGTCTTGACAGCCTTGAACATAAGGACCTGTCAGTGATGTGGGTGCGGGTTTACAACGGTAGCTCAAACCGTGTCTACGCGTGCCTGTACAGGTCCCATAGTGGTAACACCGAAGTCGATCGTCTTTTTGGACACATCCAGGAGGCTACAGATTTTGTTCTCCAGCGGTATCCCAGCGCGGAGGTAGTGATCCTAGGTGACTTTAACGCCCACCATTGCGAATGGTTAGGATCACGTACCACAGACTACGCTGGAAAAGCCGCAAATAACTTTGCTCTGGCTTATGGGTTAACTCAGGTAGTTCCAGAACACACTCGGATCCCTGATGTTGAGGACCATAACCCCTCTTTGTTGGACCTTCTGCTGACCAGTCGTCCGGATCGCTACAAGGTGTCCGTCAATGCACCCCTTGGGGCATCTGACCACTGCCTGGTGCACTCCGAGACACAATCAGTGCCAACAACGACTTCCCGTCCACCCGGAAGACGTCTAGTTTGGCACTACAAGTCGGCAGATTGGGAAGGATTGCGAGAATTTTACGCATCCTACCCCTGGAGACAGCTTTGTTTTTCTTCGGACGATCCTTCGATCTGCGCGAACGCCGTTGCGGATACTATTCTGCAGGGAATGGAATGTTTCATTCCCAGCTCTGTTATTCGCACGGGGGGTAAGTCTCAGCCCTGGTTTGGTAAATCCTGTACAGGAGCGTTGCGCTCGAAACAGTTGAAATACCGATCATGGGCTGAGGCATCAGCTGCGAAGGATCCAAAAACGTCCGAATTGAAAAAGGGTTATAATGCTGCCTCCAGGTCTTGCAAAAAGGAGATTACCAGAGCAAAGAAGGAGCACGTTCGCAGAATTGGAGAGAGACTACTTGACGTTCCCTCAGGAACTCGATCTTTTTGGTCTCTCGCCAAAGCGGTGCAAGGCAATTTCTGTAAGTCTTCCCTACCATCCTTGCACAATCCTGATGGAACGCTGGCTAATTCCGCAAAAGAGAAGGTTGATCTTCTGTGCACTCTTTTTGCGTCGAATTCAACTCTTGACGATGAGGGAAAAGCACCGCCTACCATCCCGCGGTGCAGGGAAAATATGCGCAATGTGCGTTTTACGCAGAGCGCTGTGCGTGCCGCCCTGTCATCCCTCGACGTCAAGAAATCCAGCGGCCCAGACGGTATCCCAGCCATTGTGCTTAAGATGTGTGCTCCTGAATTGACTTCGGTTTTAACGCGCCTATTCTCACTCTCTTATACTACTGGTAAAGTTCCGTCTTCGTGGAAAGTGGCCAATGTCCACCCTATCCCCAAGAAGGGTGACAGCACAGACCCATCCAATTACAGGCCTATTGCGATCACTTCCCTACTCTCAAAGGTGATGGAGCGGATCATCAATACGCAACTTTTAGGTTATCTAGAGGATAACCAGCTTATTAGCGACCGTCAATATGGCTTTCGCCACGGACGAAGCGCTGGTGATCTTCTAGTATACCTCACGTATCGATGGGCTGAAGCCATTGAGAGCAAAGGGGAGGCCATGGCGGTCAGCCTAGACATCGCAAAGGCTTTTGATCGGGTCTGGCATCGCGCACTTCTATCGAAGCTACCATCGTACGGACTACCCGAGGAATTATGCAACTGGGTAGCCAGCTTCCTTCATGGGCGGAGCATTCAGGTTGTTGTTGACGGTTCTTGCTCGGAACCCAAGCCCATCAACGCTGGTGTGCCCCAAGGCTCAGTGCTGTCACCAACGCTGTTCATTCTGCATATCAACGACATGCTGCATACCAGCAACATTCGGTGCTATGCAGATGACAGTACTGGTGACGCTTATTACATGGGCCGAGCTAATATTCCTCGTGACCAAGTAGAAGAGAGCAGAAAGAGACTTGTGTCTGAAATTGAGACCTCCCTGGAGCAGGTCTCCGAATGGGGTAAGCTGAACCTTGTTCAGTTTAATCCCAAGAAGACACAAGTCTGCGCGTTTACCACTAAAAAGACCCCATTCACTGTAGCTCCAAAGTTCCAGGACGTTCCCCTTGAGATCAAACAGAGCATTGGGATCCTTGGGGTTGACATAGCGAACGACGTTCAATTCCGGAGACATTTGGAGGATAAGGCTAAACTAGCATCAAAAAAATTAGGGGTACTGAGTAGAGCGAGGCAGTACTTCACACCGGGACACTTGCTTTTGTTATATAAAGCACAGGTTCGTCCCCACATGGAGTATTGTTCTCACCTCTGGTCCGGTGCCCCACAGTACCAACTTCTTCCATTTGACTCCATTCAACGTCGGGCAGTTCGTATTGTCAACGATCCCATGCTCACAGACGATCTAGAACCCCTAAGTCTCAGAAGGGATGTAAGCTCCCTTAGTGTGTTCTATCGTCTGTACAATGGGGAATGTTCCGAGGAACTTTTTGATGTAGTGCCATCGTCCACATTCCACCATCGCACTACTCGGCGTAGGGTTGGATTTCACCCACATCATCTAGATGCATTCAGTTGCAGGACTGTACGTGCGTCGCGTTCATTCTTTTCACGCACGTGCAGGATGTGGAATGATCTTCCGCCCGAGGCTTTTCCAGAGAGCTACAACATGGGGTCTTTCAAACATCACGTGTTCAGGTGGCTCCTTCACAAACAAGGCCGGCAACGCATCTACAACACCCCTTGTGTTGCAAATGTCCATGGGCGACGGTGAGTGCTTACCATCAGGCAGGCCGTCTGCTCGCTTGCCCCTTTGGTTTAAATAAAAAAAAAAAAAAAAACTAAAGTCATCAGGGCTTTTAAATTTTTTTGCTTATAATTTATTTTTAACCAGTACATAGTCAAAATTAATTTGTGTTGATTTTGACTACTAGAAAAATATCAAGGAAGTTACAGTTAAACATTTGGATTCAAGCGCCATAGATATCCATAAATTAACTTTATTACGAGCAGGCTGCTGCTAACGTCATGAGAGGCTTTTTTGCAAAGGAACATTTTTTTTAATATCTACGTTAGATTTAATTTTATTTACAAGATCTAATATTGGTCTCTAAACGCTGCGATTGGTCATAAATATATATATAATACTCCTTAGATATTGCTTCAAACGATAAAAAATCTCAAAAATGACTACATTAACTACTAAATGACTATATTATCATGGGCCATTATCGATTTCCTTGTTTCAAAGCCTTAAGTGCAATAATTTTCAAGATTTTCGTCAGTAGTTTGAATTTGTTAATAAAATAATTACATATACTCAAACAATGCACATCTGATTATAATATAGAATTTGATAACAAAAAAACAGTGTCGGGATTTTGCGTATAAAAAAATTTATCTTTTTAAAGATTTTTTCCTATGAAGTAGATTTTACATTAAATATGAATGTTACCAATTAAATAGCAAATGATTCCCTTTCCTTCCCAAACATCGACAATAGTATCATAGGAGTATCGGCATCATAATAAATTTAAATACTTATTGAGAAATCTTTTGAGACAATATTTTTTATGGTACATGCATTATCTATACTAATATTATAAAGCTGAAGAGTTTGTTTGTTTGTTTGAAAGCGCTAATCTCCGAAACTACTGATTCGAATTGAATAATTCTTTTTGTGTTGGATAGTCCAGTTATCGAGAAAGGCTGTAGGCTATATAACATCACGCTACGACCTATAGGAGCAAAGATATAGTGGTAAATGTGTAAAAAACGGGAGAAATTATTTCATCTTTGAAGCCTTCCGTTGCGTGCGCCGTGAAAACGGTTCAAGATACACAAAAAATATGTATTAAAGAATAATAGCTCTTTTAATGATCTAAAAAACAGTCCGCGACAGTATATGTCTATCTTTTAAGATCAACTCACAAAAACCATTTTTATGGTACCTAATTTGGTCGAAATAATTTGTTTAAGTTATATCAATATAATAATATTAATCTTTATTCAAATAAACAAATAAATGTGTTGTTGGTTAAGAGTACGTCATTGTGAATAAAAAAAAACAGGTTTTATCCTGTAAATTCTACGGGAAGTCGACAATTCCGAAAACCCCGCAAGAAGGGGAACTATGTGGGAAGAACCAAAAATCTGCCAGAAGTCACTATTCCACGCGGACGTAGTCGCGGCAAAAGCTTGTGTTATATATACAAGTTTCAGCAAGCAACTTCGTCTCAATTAGTTTCAAGATTAGAAATGTATAACTAACCGGGCGAACTCTCAAAACTTTACAGCCGTTCTAAAGTTCAAAATAGTGTAGCTAACACAACTTTCTTTTATAGTATACATGTAAATATTGGTATCTTAGTTACTAACCGATAACAGCATGCATCTGGTCCAGATGTTTGTCCAGCGCGGTGCGGTGAGGCGGGGAGGCTCCGTTGACTCCGTGCGGGGAGTCCGGCGGCGGGGGAGGGGGCGGCAGGGACGACCTCACAACCGTCTCGTAATCGGTACAGCCGAAACCGTTGGACTGAGCTCTGTATGTAAATAATAATGTTAACAATTTATTAACACCCATGAAATAATGTACATAATTTGTTTTTAGCTTAATAACTAAATCTAGGGTTATTTACATTGTCATGTCAATAATGTCAATTCATTGATGTTATTTCATAGTGGTCTAGATTAAAAATAAAATTTGTTAAATAAATTTCATAGCTATCAGAGATTTTATTGTAATTTAATAATTTTTAAGAAACTGCTATACTATATATTTATTTCATAATTTTGACAAGCAAACATCTTTAGGATTATATAAATAGGAATATTGAGAAGACTTTATAACAATAAAATCTAGTGATGTTATTTCATAGTACACATTAAAAATAAAATTTGTTCAGAATTTAAATCTTTTATCACATAGAGAATTTATTTGTAATTTAATATTTTTAAGAAACGGATACACCATATTTCGATTTAGTAACTATAACAAGAAGCATCTGAATATCTTTATCCCTACTAATATTATAAATGCGAAAGTAACTCTGTCTGTTTGTTACACTTTCACGCCTAAACTACTGAACTGATATTAATGAAATTCGATACTGATATAGAGTTGACCTTGAGAAAGAACATAAGATAGTTTTTATCCCAGACTTTTGAAAAGTTCTCTTGGAAACGCGATATAATCGAACTCAACGCGGGCGAAGCTGCGGGCGGAAAGCTAGTCATTATATAAATAGGAAAATATTAATACGACATTATGACTAATGTTTCCTGTGTTAAACCAGGAAGTGAAGGCGGGTAGTTTGATTAGAGTAATTCTATCATTCTGACCTGGTGGGCGTGTGTTGAGAGGGGGAATCCCCGACGGCCGCGGGGGGCGCGGGGGGAGGTATCGACGGGCGGGCGCGGCGAGGGGTACCGGCTGCGCTGCCGTAAATACTCTCGACGGCACCGTATGGACTCTCATCAGACATTACTGGAAATAAACATATATAAACATATTTAATAACATATAACAATACATGTGACATTTTTTAAAAACATTGACAGCAAAATCTAATGAAATACATATAAAATGCAGAGAATAATATACAATGGAAACAAATAGAGGAGCTTTATTAATCTTTCTTTTATATAATTGTATACAGGGTGACTGGTGAATTACTATCAATATTTAAGGAGAATACTCGGTACATGATTCTCATTCGAATTATGTAAAAAAAATAGGTACTTAATTTTTGACAAAATTTCTGTATAAATAAATAAAGTGTGGATACGTTCCAAGTGTTCAAGTGTGGAGGCGTGCGGCGGCGTGCGGATACAACACTACGTCGCGACACGCGTATGTGTGAGTGTGAGTGTATACCTAATCTGTAGGGTGTTCACACGATGCGTAATTAATTACACAACTTTTGGTTAACTTTACTTAGAAGTTTATTAATATTTATGTTATATTAAATTTTATTTTGTCATATATGATCGTCAAATATCACGTCCTCAAGTATCGATAGTAATTCACCAGTCACCCTGTATATTGCTAATTTAAACAAAGCACTATTACAATAAAGTCAAATTTAAATTCTTGCATTTGGCATTTGCCTTAACATAATAGATAAAATATATTTATACAAACATATTTTATTTATTATGTTAATTACAACATACCATGTCCATTGCCGGTGAGCCTCGATGTTCTATTCTGCTGGTTTTCTATTTCAATGGAGTTTGGTCGAGCTGGTTGTGTTATAGGCGGCCTGTTCTGTGTAGCTCGGTAGCCACCATCGGTTACTGTGGTTGCTAATAATATAATATTAATTATAATCAACATTCTTTAATAGTCTCCAGTCAGAAATATATTTTCAGTGATTTTGATTAAGCTTATTGAAATTGTTATGTATTTGTTATGCTTGCTTGATATTGTTAAAATAATAATATGATGTCAAGTGTATGTAATCTAGGCAGATTACTTTATATTGTAAGTTGCTGCCACTCAGTTTTGCTACTTAGCACAATACAGATATAACAAAGTTAATATCGTTTTATTGAATACTACAGAAATATACACTTTAATCAATTTAATAAATATAAAATTTTGTGTTTTCCAATTTATGTCCACTATAAGGCGAAAAAATTATTAATCATGTCATATTGATAGTTTGATAAAGGCTGAGACGCAAATTCAATCGAGTTTAAAGCAAAACAAAGCCAAAAAACAATAAACCCGATGATTTCCAACCTTAAAACTCTTTTCCTATTCATATTTTAATCCGAAACTTTCTTATCCAAATTTTTATATAGTATCAAAAAGAATTATTTTATTCAAATTACCATATTATAGTGTCCCAAAATGTATGACTTTATCCCTACTAATATTATAAATGCGTGCGGAAAGCTAGTATCCTTATACATGATAATAAAAGTTTCTTATATACATATATGGTAATATAAAATAATTTAAAAATAAAATATTATATAGTATACTTATGTTATTATTTTTATTTTAAATTGTTGTTTGTTATTTAATTAGCTTTTTTTTACTTTCTGCTTTGTCGTCGCTTAACTTTTATTTTGTGCATGCTGTTATTACGTATAATTAAGATACCTCTAGTTTTATTTTTTATTCATGTGTCTTGAATGTTTTTAGTGTGTATTTTGTTGGTGATACTTTCTTATATACATATATACTCACTCTGGTACACCTGTTCTTGTTTATTCTCCCGGTAGTCTATGTTGTATCTCCGCAGCTGGCTGGGAGCCATGATGTGTTCTCCTCGTGTCACAGCATCAGCCTTCTGTCTGTCCCTCGTTGAATGTGGCACACGGACGCGACGGGCTGACCTGCCTTCCGTGTTGTTGTTACGTGGCTGACGGACCTGGAATATGTAGCAAATACTTTAGATAATATACCAAAGAAATAGGCAGACCCTACCTAAAGCTGGGAAATTGCCAGGAAGAAGAATATATCAAAGAAATATATTGTTAGTTTGGATATACGGTAGTTGTAGTTGTTAATTAGCTGCAGGTTCGGTGTGAACTTTTAGTGAATATAATGTAATTAAATCATTATGACTGATATTCAATGGATTTGGACTCAGTTAAGTGTAAGGAGAACCATATTCACTCAGTTTAGGATAGGAAAAACAAAATTATATATAAGGGTACTTTAGGACAAGAAAAATTGCTTCTCTACCTAATATACAGGGTGTTATTGACGGTGAATATTATTATATATTATTAGTTTCCCAAAGGGGGTGGTTGATGTCAGGCAGGCAGGCGGCCGGTCGTAAAAACAATTAGCCAAAACTATTCACAACATGTAAGGCAGACACTGGCTAAAGCTGGGAAATTGCCAGGAAGAAGAAGATTATTATATATTATTAAATGTATGGTGTAATAAGTACCTTCTTCCCTCTATCATGTTGGATCCTCTCTGTATCCTGCAGCATCTCCCTGCGCCATAACTCGAAGAAGTAGTCCGGATCAGTGTAGAACTTTCTAGCATCCCTGCCATCGTCTCTGAACTCGTTGAGTTTCTCAAGAGGTGGAGGTCGATCACAACGCGCGTACGTCGCCAGCATTGCTGACGGCATACTAGTACGAGAGAATAACTGCTGTTGGAAACTCCTGGCTGAACGGAACGCCTTCCGCATTTGTATGTCTTGGAGTGTCACTGAAATTTATATATATACATGTTATTTAGGTATTAGAACTTGCAGACTGAAAATTAACCTCACCAAATAGACCTAGTCTACTTAAAAAAATTAAACTATGAATAAAATCCAATCTATCCTTATCCAGAACACCATTCAATTAATTTGGTTGCTATTATCAAGGTGACGTCTTCTTAATAAACATCTAACGAAATTCTCCAAGTAGTTTGTATAGCATATATATATATATATATATATATATATTTTTGATGTCGCAGGGAAACTATTTTTACGGGCCGTCCAACCGGCCTTGGTGGGGCCGGAAGGGATGTGTGAGAATAACCTAGGCAGGCCCCTACTCACTAAAACCACAGCGAAAGCCATCGGTCGCTATGTTGGTGTACCCCGGATCTGTCAGCGACAGGGCACACAAGTGTAGGATATAATTATAAATATTGATCTACCTTCTTCAACTCCTGAGTCCAGTTGCGTGACCTTAATGGCAAGGCGGTCTATCCTCGCCTGCAGCACGTTCGTCCGCTCAGCCAGGCCGGTAGCCTCGCGGGTCAGCTCACCGAACATATCCTCTGCATGCTTAGAGAGGGATGACAGTTGCCTGGAAACAAACATATAGTATATAAATATAAAAACTATAGAGATAATAAAAAAATTGCGTGAGATTCCTTATAAACTTGACTTAATGTGCGTTGTTTGCAGTAAATAATTTAAGGTTAATTTAATTATTTAAATTATATAATATTTAAATTATATAAATATAAATAATTATATAACTAAATAATAAATTAATGATACAATTAATTAAGTGTTACGTACAGCACGAAAACCTGCCAAGTTCAAATTGAGAAGTATTATAATTTTAGATATTTTTAACCAAGCACCTACGTATTTTCACAACTATACCATATTTTAAGTTGGGTGTATGGTAAAGTGAATTTCGGCCAGATGGACCGTTGACGTGAATAAGGTGGCGGGTAGTGGCTGGATGTGGAAGGCAGAGGACTGGGTTTGGTGGCGAGTCTTGGGAATGGCAAATGTTTACCAGTGGATCATGCTGTTGATGAAGATGATTATGATCGATTTCAAAGTGCATCTAAACTTGGCATAAGATTGGATTTCACCCCTTTTTTAGGCAAACAATTAGCCGATTGGAACTTGCCCCCTTTTTAACAGGCATGTTTTTGGTGAGATTTGTTTATTCAGCGCCATCAATCGCGTTTATTTTGCATGACTCTACACGAACCTAGGTTCTACTAATTACTAGCCTAGTTCCTAGTATTCATATACTAGCCTAGGTTCCCAGGTGAACTATTACTAATTTATTGATGAATTATATCATGTATGTCAGCAGTGGCGGCTGTACCTTAAGTGCACTCGTGCGCTGAACCACCAATTCAAAAGATTTAAAAATTACAAGATAATACTTCATCTTTATTTTTAAATTACTATTTTAATATTTATTTTTTATACATACAAAAACGTATAAAAAATTAAATTTCTAATTATAGTCAAAAAGTTTGTGCGCTTTACTAAACTAATTTCTCGTGCGCTTCGGCGAGTGCACGAGGACTGCTAATACATCTTGTATGAGATACGCATTAATAGGCCTGACGCGTGAACAAAAGATCGTTCATAGAAATGTTCCGAGTAATGAGTCGGTTCTCGAGCGCCGCACGTGCGGCCGAAGATTACCGAGAGCACCCGATGTATGACGAATTGGAATTGAAAAGAGTCAAAACTTTTCTCCGAAATACCATGCACTTGCTAAATGCACTTTCTATGTTTAGTATTGAAAAAAATAATTATACAAACAATACATACTCGATTTTAATAAAAAGGTGATTGAACATTTCGCTTCAGAAAAATGTCGTCGCATTGATTTAATGTTTAAAAAATAAACATATTTTATGTCAATTGGTTTTTTGTTACATTTTCTAATTTTAATATTTTATTAAAGTGCACCACCAGTTCGATAACCCACCAGCCGCCACTGTATGTCAGTCTAGTGTATTAACTGATATTAGTAAAAAGTTTTATCAAAATATGTTCAGCTATTTGTATTCGATATGGTAACAAAACATATATTCCATGCCACAGGATTATTAATTCTACAATTCGATATAGTTTCATTTATTTCAAACAGCCTACTGTTTATAATCTTCTATTTATTTTTTTCGATAAACTTTAAATAAATTCAATTCAAAATTTATAAGCGCGTCAGTATTTTGTTTGCATGCAGTGACCTTTTGCTATTTCTCACTCCAATTTATGTGGGATTATAACTCAACCACGTCGAGAGCGTTTGGTCGAGAGCGTTTGATCGGAACCGAATGAAAACTAAATTGGGTTAAGTTACACGCGGCATAATTCCGTGCAGCAAATTTAACGTTCCCATAGGCATAGAACAATTTACTTGCAAATATCAAAGTTGAAGTTCCTAGTAATATTTTAACATCGGATAGGTAATTCGAATGTCTAATTTAGAACTGGGCTGGATCTTTAAAAGCAGTTCGACTTCTGGTGTTTTTGTAATACAATATTTAAAACAAGTCATCAGTCTGCATATTTTTTATCGTGTTTACCTGACTGTGTTGGCGAGGGTTCATCTTTCTTATTGTGTTTACCTGACTGTGTTCGCGAGGGTTCATCTTTCTTATTGTGTGTACCTGACTGTGTTGGCGAGGGGTCATCTCTTTCTTATTGTGTGTACCTGACTGTGTTGGCGAGGGGTCATCTCTTTCTTATTGTGTGTACCTGACTGTGTTGGCGAGGGTTCATCTTTCTTATTGTGTTTACCTGACTGTGTTCGCGAGGGTTCATCTTTCTTATTGTGTGTACCTGACTGTGTTGGCGAGGGGTCATCTCTTTCTTATTGTGTGTACCTGACTGTGTTGGCGAGGGGTCATCTCTTTCTTATTGTGTGTACCTGACTGTGTTGGCGAGGGGTCATCTCTTTCTTATTGTGTGTACCTGACTGTGTTGGCGAGGGGTCATCTCTTTCTTATTGTGTGTACCTGACTGTGTTGGCGAGGGTTCCATTGGTGACGGCCTCTAGTTCCGAGGGTACGGCCAGGCGTTCGGGGACGGTGCCGCGGGACACGTGCACCGGCTCCACACAGCGCTTCGGCAGCGGCATCCCTGGGCTGCTACCTCGTGTACATCACTGGAGAACATTCATCACGTTAAACACATGCTGTCACGTCATCAGATCACAATGATGTACGAAGTTTGATATGATCTTTATATGCACTTGAATGTACATTCTAGTACTAAAAATCAATGGATTTTAGAAACGATTGAAGATCATAATTATTCGGTTTTCCAAAGGTAATATATCTAGATAAAATTAATAATAAGAGATTAATAATAAAAAGTAACTTCACGTGTTATATAAAGGAAGGTAGTTGGAAATAACCTTAAAACAACTCTAAACTAAATTAAGCACGGAGCTTGCAATTGAGAGACATCCCTCATTAGAAGATGAGTTCTTTGGCCTACTTAGTAGAGTGAATAGCTCCAGTCCTTTGATAAAAACTCAGCAACGCATATTTTCTTTTCGAATATTCTTATTTACAAAGAAGGCTATTTAGGAAAGAGGTTATATAATTATAACATAATATACATTTAGAATTTTGAAATGGTCATTAGAAATTTTATTATGTTTGACCTTACGACTATTAATTGTGAAACTACAAATACGCAATTTCCAATAGTTTAATGATATAACGACGTTGTTTCTAACGAAATGTAGATTTATAAATGACGAACTAGATACTTTCAGTTCTCCCGTTTACCGTAAGTTTGACGTTTAAAACTAGTGGTAAGTTAACTGAGGTATATCTTAAATACGACATATGTAATTAAATCAATAAATATAAAGATAAATGCAGTACATTTTTTTATCTTATCACAAAAAAAAACACCTTTTCATTTATTATTTCATTATCAACAAGCAACATTCTTTTACGTTGGCGACATTTACGAATAAAAAAGAGTAATACGATTAAAAGTGTTTTTAAAAAACATTATTTGACTATACATATCATTATTCTGCATTTACAAGGTATAATATACAATCCAAGAATGCTTCAAGTGAGCTCCTTCTAAAATTTACACGCTTTTTATATTAAAGAAGACATAGTATGTATAACTGTTTAAGATAATTGATTTAAAGTTCATTTATTTATTTAATTCCTTTTTAAATGCACAAATGAATATGCTGAAACTTTAGCAACCAATCTGAGATGTATAAAAAAGGGCGGCGTTTATATGTAGGCGTGAATTTTAATAATAAAATTTTATGATACAACGTGAAATAATTTCTTATATGAATATAAGATGCCAAACTCATAACACTTCCTTTTTTGCGTCGGGTATTAAAAATCAGTATTTTTTATACCTTTAGTTTCATTTAACAGAAACGAAGCCAGAATCACACATTATATGTACAGGTTACAATCAGTACCAAGTCGGATCAGTAGTCTTATTTCTATGGGGATTTAGATTGCTGGTACGTATTAATTACGTCTTATTTGAAGCGTTTAATATGTAGAGGAGAATTACATCATATGCCAACTAACGCTAAATCTTATTTAATATCAACGTTAAAGAACAATTCGTTGATAAAATAATTCATGGAAAACTTTGACTTTTTATAATAAAATCTTGTTATACAGGGTGACTGGTGAATTACTATCGATATTTGAGGACGTGATATTTGACGATCATATATGACAAAATAAAAATAAATATAACATAAATATTAATAAACTTCTAAGTAAAGTTAACCAAAAGTTGTGTAATTAATTACGCATCGTATGAACACCCTACAGATTAGGTATACACACACACTCACACAGACGCAACGGCAGCGTAGTGTTGTATCAGCACGCCGCCGCCCGCGTCCACACTTGGAACACTTGGAACGTGTACACACTTTATTTATTTATACGGAAATTTGAACAAAAATTAAGTACCTACTTTTTTTACATAATTGGAATGAGAATCATGTACCGAGTATGCTCCTTAAATATTGATATTAATTCACCAGTCACCCTGTATATCAGTTTATTCAAAAAGGGAGGAAAAGAAATCATTATTATTATATGTACCTATATGACAAGGAAAAATAAAACTAAATACATATATTAAGGCAAATAAATTGTAAAATAAAACTTATACAAGCAAAATTAATTTCTATCTTAGAATTTTACACCAAATTTTCGATTTAACAAATATTTCCACATATGCATCCATTTAAGGAACATTTAATTTACCAGCTGCCACTAATTAGTATTGCTATTACGTAAACATAAAATAACAAGTTTTAGAATTTAATAAAAAAATCTTCAATCTAATATAGAAAGGCTATAAATTATAGAGATTTTCTTCTTCTTCCTGGCAATTTCCCAGCTTTAGCCAGGGTCTGCCTTACATGTTCTAAAAGTTTTGGCTAATTGTTCTTACGACCGGCCGCCTGCCTGACATCAACCCTCTTTGGGAATAAAGTACATATAGAGATTTTATTCCGTACAAATGTTTTTTAAAACGTTCTTTTTGAATGAAAAAAAAAATAGGATTACTTTCACCTAACATTGCAAAATAAACTTATAGAACCAACTTACTTACATGACAGAATAGTTCATTAAATGTGGATAAAACAATCGATAATGTACCATATATTTGAAGTCGGTTAAATAAATTAGGTGCACTCAAATCAAATAGATCGCGATGATAATTGTTCCGTAGTTAAATTAATTCATTCATACTTCCTTTATTCACCGTTTTTCATATTTCCTAACAATTGAAGTCCCCGACGAGTCAATGTCTTGTTCAATAAGCGTGAAATATGCTTGTTTGAAACGTTACAATTTCCTCAAAAATTTCACTTTTTTTGTACAAACCAAGCAAATTGCACTACAAATATGGCGTGACAAACAAAAATTAATACATCTTACCTTTTATAACAAATTGTAATGCTATTTAAATAATATTTCCTAGGACGCTCTATTAGTGTTTCACCGATTAAGTTAATATGGATTTAATTACAAAATGTGGATAATAAATTGGAAGCTTTCATAATTGCGAGATGGAAACTTAGTAGGAAATAAACTGAACTGAACTAAATGAACCAAACTGAACTGAACTGAACTAAATAAACTGAACCAAATTGAGGAACAATACGATTTTAAGAGAAAAAAATTCAGGAAGATCATTTCTAAACACTGAATTCTACATATCTGTACCTTATTACGAGCATCGTCACACTACATACGAATAGTTTAGAGTATTTCATACATATATTGATACTTTAAGACTTATTGAAATACTAGAAACGCAACGTATGTACTTTTAAACAAACTTAGGGTAAACGCAGACAGTAAATATAATCATTAAAAAATCTAATGTAGGATAATGCACCATCAAATGTTATTCTACAAATGCAACCCATACATTGACTGCGCAAAAAGTTGCTTAGAAAAAAATTACAGCAAAACACTCAATGTACAGCGTGAAAATAAATTGTATTAATTGTCTCAATAAAACTAGGCTAAGGAAACCGTAACGGCGTTTCACAACAACTCAATTATAATTATTTAGTGTGGATATTATATATTAGAAAATTATTTGTTTGGTACATAATTTCCACAAGTATTGCGTCGTATAAATGTACGTTAGTTTTGAAGTGGGAAAAGTTTCGTATTTAATGTGACGTTATTCGTACTTGGGTAATGTCCTAAATCGTAATTAAAATATATTGGCTTCATAGCTACTAAACCATTCGAATGGTTTTGGCAATTTTTTATATACTTTCGCGAGTATTCATTTAAATAAAACTAATATTATCGGATTTAATACGCGTTTTTTATTATTTTAACTAAATACTTCCGACATTTCGGTTTCTTTGCATCAACCGTGATCCCAAGCAGACGAGATGAAAATTTTTATTCAATAAAAAAAAGACTAATAAATCTGAAAATATTACTTTTACTAAAATCTTTCAATACATAAGTGCATGACAAGATTTTTCCTGCGACAGAATTCCAAATTATAATTGCCGCTAATTGAATATATGTATGTATGTTTTATAGAAGTCAGCATCAAATTTCAAGAATCGCTAATTAATGAGAGAGATCATTAAACAAATTAGATTCCATATCTATAGATATTTCCAAGAAATAGCTAAGATTATTTAGTAAGTCATATTGAGGACAAATTAGGTATAAAACAATTCCTTCAATCATTTCTTTAAAAAACACTCGTGTCTTTTTATAGTGTAAAGAATTTTGTTTTGAATTATACAAAAATATTTACGTTATAGGATACCTAAATACGATCTCAAAATGCAAAGCAAGATGATACATTGAAGTTTAAAAACTTTTTTTGTTTACAATCTTCTATACTATAGTTATATTAAAATGAATCAAGAATTCCTTTTTATTAATGCCACGTGATATTGGAAAACATTTTTCTTGAGGGTCTTGGTTAAGGCAAAACCTTGTTTAACAAATCAAATATTTATTATGAGAACTCTAATTATTAATTTTTTATATATAGCAAATAAAATGTATGTCTGGATGTAGATTATAATATTATACGTGCTGGATAATTTAATATTTCGTAATAGTGACTATAATTAGAAATATAAGAGAAATTGAAGTAAGAAACTTGCAAAAAACATGTTATTTGCTTTATGGATGCAATTAACACCGGAAACCTATTAATCGGAGCTTAAATCCGCAGACGAGGCTGCAGGCGGAAACTAGTTGTAATATATTTAACTTACAAAATACAACATTCATCCTGTCCTTGATAGCGTTATCATGTTTTATATTAACTATTGTTATAAATAAATAGGAAGATACAAAATAGCTCAATAATATACTCGAATAATTATAGCCCGCGACTTCGCCCGTTTAAAACATTTCTATTATACTTTAAATGAAACTAATATCTTTCGGATTATACTACATACCTACGCGACTTTATTTTCGTAAAAAACTACATACTCCCGTTTCGGTTACTTTACAGCAACCGTGATCACGGGCAGACGAGATGTGAAAAGATTGGTTTCATTTAAATATATAAAACTCGCGAAAATCTTAGATATGATTATTTCTATTATAAACCTTACCACTATAACCTTTGAAGTTATTTTGCAAAGTATTACAAGTCGCCAGTTTTTGTCTAAATTATTAAGCATAGGTATAGCGAGCGCTTCAACAAAAAGTCACACCACGCCCGGGGAATCATTCCCCATCCCGTGGGATAGAACTAAATTGAGCTGAGTGTTCCCAGCACTAAACTTACGAACACGTAGTCACCGGATCGATCCCGTACTTAGAGCCAGACTGAGTAAATTTCACTTGTATTTTTTGAGAATACATATTGTTTTAACCTTAGTTGTAGTTCAAAACTGAACAGTTAGAGTTTAATGCTCAAACTAACGACGTAAATCCAAGTTTTTGATACTATATTGCACCACGTAATTTGCTGCCCCATTTGGCAGTATGCCATCAGGTGTAGAACTCGGTTCCAACGCGAAATAAGACATATAAATCTTCGAACAAATTTTTAAATTAAACTTTGAATTTTCCAAAATCGATGTAATACATTTTAGGTTATATTAAATACAAAACATACTGATTTCCTTACTGGAACATATATTTATTGTATTCTGTAATAATGATCTTTAAATATAACGCATTAAGGCCTATTCTTAATAAACAGCGAACGTAAGTTACCAAAAGCCGGTATGGTCTAATGCGATAAGTCAAGGCTTCTATACGTTACTTTCAACATAATATTCTTGTTCGCTCAACTTTATAAGATCTATGCGGTATAAAAGATAATAACTTTAAAGAATTATACTGCTGTTTTTTTTTTAAATAAACTCAAACTGTAAATAGTTTTCAATATACAGCCTAAACTTACAGTATTGAGGTTTTATATAATCGAAGTTTCGAATTAAATGTTGAGTGTAAAACGATTCACAATCTACAAGTTAACATTCTTTAATTAGTGTGATAACAGTAGCGTCGACCGATATCTGTGGGTGGGAATAAATTTGACACATCCGTCGACTAAACGTTTCAATTCATTCACAAATATGAAGTCATATGTTTTATTAAAGTATAAATTATGAACATATGTACTAAAATATATAAAAAAAAATTCGTCAACGCATACGATACGTTTTCACGTGAAATGAATTCACAGCTGATAAAATTTATGATCTAATTGCCCATACTAACTACTAACACATTTACACAACCTTTAATTTAAGATTTTTTTAGATAAAATGAGATTAAACAATCATTTATTAGGAAATTATCAATATTTTCCTGCAAACATACAGCATATTCATATATAAAAAACATAAAATAAAGATATAATTGCATCTGACCATTTTGACAATATACTTCAAACGACATCAGTAAGACTTGGGACCAGTTAAAAATAAAATAATTATTCCCATTTAGATCCAACTTATAATCAAATATATTAACTACAAAACACAAATACCTAAGTAGTATGTGCACTATACATACAGTAAATAACGTCATTTTGATATTAATATATCTGAGTTATTACCAAAAACAACTACTTCACCATCATGAGCCTATCAGCTATCAGCCTATCACCACTGATGAGCAAAAGCCTCGTCTCACATGGAGAAGATTTCAGCATTAATCACCACTCTAGCACAATAATTCCAGGTTTTTTCACAACTTTTTCGTTTACCATCAGTCAGTGGTGTCTAATTACTCTTAGAAAGTACATATGACTCGGAAAAATCACATTGGTACTTGTACCTTTACAATATAGTAAAAACATATATATGAATGCCTCAAAAACTTATACACAGACCGACTTTTGTATTGTTAGAATACAATGATCTCAAACACATTATAAACTCATAAGGAAATAACATTATGACATCACTTAATAATATTGATGTATCAATTGAATTGAATAGTATAGACAGACAATTAGTACAGATACTAAAAATACATTAAATAACTGGTTATGGATGTGGTAATAATTACTTGATTAGGGAAACAATTATTACCTTCTCCATGGTAATTCTTTTCATAGCTCCTCAATAAAGATATTACATCTCAATTATTAAAATTATAGAATATTTATATTTAATTTCATAACAAAAATTATTTCAAATAATGCGATTGACTAAAAGGAAACCAACTTAAAGAGCAGGTGCAATATTTTTACTAATGTGTTTTTATTTATATACATACATATTAAAAAATTACAAGTACATGGAATAGCATGTATATAGCAATATTAAGGGCAATATCATCATGGAATCCATAAAACTCAATCTTTATTCCAATTAAAGATTTCTATTGTTACAAAATTATAAAACTATGAATTCTGAAACAAATAGTCTTAATTTTGTTGGGGCTGGGGCTTCCCCTTAACACAGTTTTTATATAAATCCAATGCATTAATATTCAATTACTTAGGGTTACATATGACTCACTGTGGTTTTACTGTTTTATAAGTGAAAGAAAATAAGGTGATAATGAAATGCTTGCCTTTAAAATTATTATTCAAAACAAATTTATTGATTGTGATTAATGTTTTAGTCAAATGGTATATAATATATAAGAAAACAAATTTGTGATACATTTAGTTTATTATAAATTCATAATATAATATAAATTTTGTAACTCATAAAGATAGTTAATTGAAGTATTACATTAAAAAAATCAAAAGAATATTGTAGGATGAATAAGAAATATGGTTACAAATCTTACAAATGGATATTATGGTAAATGAAAATCACCAATATTTGTATTTAAAATAGAGTGTCTTGCAAGTATTTTTTTTAACTGTAGTCTTATTGTTTAATATATTTACATATAAAATGGTTGTTCAAGAAATTAGTCTAGTCTCTTTCTGTGTACAATTTTTAATAAACTTGAAACATTACTGAGTATAATCATTAATTATTTAACAGAAAAATTGCTTCAGAAAACATGTGTTGATATTAGACAATAGGTAAATTAGAAAAACTAATCAATCATAAACTTCATTAACATAAAAAAATAGTGATTATAATAATGTTTATTTTTCTATTAAAAGATAAGTTAACAATAGCACAACAAAAATATTTCTCCTATTAGATAAATCATGTTTAAAAATATGTAGTAACAGCAAAGGAATGAGTTTAAATGCCTCAGAAATAATGATCCTTTCAATGCAAGAGTAATAAAAATTATTAACCCTCTTAGTCAAGTAAGCTTACTGATATCTATTTACCTTACCAGGCGTGAGATTAACATGTATTTTAACTATTGTATATCGCGTCATTGCGAGTAATAGCGATTACTGAACGTATGACGATATTAAGAACTCCTTACTTCACAACGCCCATTTCATTAATAACCACAAGAAAGATATATTTAATAAACAAAGTTCAAATTTATTCAAAACGGGAACATCTTTAATTACAATAATAATACTCCCAAAGATTAAATAAATGAATCATTGGGTTAAGAATTAGCGAAATATTGATAGAAGATGTACTTGCCCGTTCCACCCAAGGAAGTCAACAATTATTTGATAGAAAATCCACTGGTTGTAATGAACTGTGTGATTTTCACTGGCAGTCGAACACTTTATACTCTAATTCAAACACTAAGTGCACAAATAAATAATAATTGTTAAATTTTAATGAATAATTTCACTCAGACTGCCGCTATAACCGTGCCACAAAACGAAAATGGCAGCGTTCTAAAACCGTGTTTCATGTAAGAAAAAAATAAAACTTATCTAGTAATGACAACACTGGTGGTAAATGTATTTTTTTATACTACGGGAATCAGCACTATATTTCATACTGGTAAATGGAATTGTATTTTTTTAATAAAATAAAACCAATTTTTTATTCTTATTTTAAAAATATATGCATCTATATACAGGTATCACAAACATAGCAGCGTTAATGTTTTAGCAAGAAAAAGTTGCTGAAATATTAATTAAATCCTCTCACAGACGATTCATTATCTAGGTGGACTATTGAGTTTTAGTAATGTTTTCATAAATATTTAGTGCTTCAAAATGTTTATCTACGAAAACACTATATCAAACATACCACCAATTCATTACCCCCTGCGTCGCAGATGTCCTTGAGCAATAATGGTTATATTCGAATTTCTTTAGATGGACAGCCTTAAGCCCTTAAATAACATATATTCTTTACGGAGTACAAACTGTAACATGAAAATAAAACAACAGAAACTTATATCGGATGATTTTAGGATTAGAATGTTAATAAAAATCTCCAAAATCGGAGATAAAATTAAAGTGAATAGTTGTAACATTTTCTATAAAAAAAATTTACGTAGAAAATTAATACTGATGGTAAAGAACTTCATCAACCTACAATCATTTTGTTTATTTAACTGGGTAAATGGCGACAGAACAGTAAACACTGAACTATTTATTTCGCTGTTGGGCATATAGGTACCTCGAAATTCGCTGTTCGACGCAGTCTCGTTGCGGATGCCAAAGGGAGGTCATAAATTTTTTTTCATTATTGTCAAAAGTTTTGGCGTATTTATTTGTGTTACTTTAAAAGTTCATAACTTCTTAAATTAAAATGAGTGTTATAGTAACAGCAACCGCGTCTGTTAACATAGCAGTAATAAAATATTGGGGTAAACGGGATGAAGAATTAATATTACCGTTAAATGATTCCATAAGTGCTACATTGGACACAAACGTTATGTGTGCTAGAACTTCTGTTTGTGCGAGGCCAGATATACAAAAAAATGAAATATATTTAAATGGAATCAAGAATTCATTTGACAATAAACGTCTGCAGACCTGTTTAAAAAAAATTAAAGCTATTGCCACTTTACAGAAAACTGTCGACGAAGAATTTTTGTCCTGGAATGTTCGTATTTGTTCAGAGAACAATTTTCCAACCGCAGCTGGATTGGCATCTTCGGCAGCAGGATATGCTTGCTTAGTAACTGCTTTAGCGAAATTATACAAAATTCAAACGGATATAAGTCAAATAGCCAGATTGGGGTCTGGCAGTGCATGTCGAAGTGTTTTTGGTGGTTTCGTTCGGTGGCATGCTGGTGTGAAGTGTGATGGAAGTGACTCCACAGCCGCACAGATAGTTCAATCAACTCACTGGCCCGAAATGAGAGTTCTGGTCCTTGTTGTTGCAGACAAAGAAAAACATACAAGCTCCAGCATCGGTATGAAGAAATCTTCTGAGACCTCTGAATTACTCAAGTACAGAGTAGAACATTGTGTGCCCAGACGTGTAGACGAAATGATTAATGCAATCAAGAAAAAAGATTTCCCACGTTTCGCAGAACTGACCATGAAAGATAGTAATCAGTTTCATGCTATATGCCTTGACTCATATCCACCTTTTCACTATCTGACTGATGTGTCATATAAAATTATAGATGTTGTACACAAATATAATGAAATGTATAGAGAAACCAAAGTTGCCTACACATTTGATGCTGGACCGAATGCTTGTTTGTTTTTGTTAGAAGAAAATGTCCCCGAGGTTTTGGGTGTTATTAAATATGTTTTTCCTTCTTCTAATACTGATTATGTTAGAGGTTTAGATGTTCCTGAAGAGGAAGAACATACATTTGTACAGTTTCCAGTACAGCCAATGGAAGAAAATAAGTTACAGTATTTAATACACACAAAAGTTGGAGATGGACCACAAATACACTATGATGGTCCACATTTATTAAATGAATTGGGACAGCCTTTAAATGTTTTAAAAATATAAAAAATACTAAGTTATAACTGTATTGGGTTGCTTGGTTGGGGTTAGTTTAAATTTTAAAATAAGAATATTTTTATTAGAAATTATTTATTTTTACTATTCTATTGTTTATATGAAAAAATGTCATAATTGAGTTCTATTTATTTAAAAATTTAAACTAAGAATATTGGAATGTTGTAATTTTATATACTGGTGGTTGAATTCATAAAATTATTTATTTTATTAATATCTTTTATTTCTTATATCCTTATAGTTATTTTAATGTTCAATAAAGAAACATTTATAATTTTAGTTATAAAACTGCTTTAATATCCTGTTTATTCTGCTGTGTAAATGCAAGTTTAAATATCAAATCAAAATATTCTAGAATATTAATTTATTGTTATCAACATAATTTTAAAATGTGTAATACAACCTCACCTACTCTACAATTAGTCTATGTAACATTTGTTTAAAGGAAAAATTTTCATATAAATGCCAAATATATATTTTGTTAACTTTTATTATATTTTACACAACTTTTAAATCTATACATCAGCTATATACAGGTGACTTGTGAATTACTATCGATACTTGAGGACGTGATATTTGACGATCATATATGACAAAATAAAAATTAATATAACATAAATATTAATAAACTTCTAAGTAAAGTTAACCACATGTAATTAATTACGCATCGTTTGAACACCCTACAGATTAGGTATACACACACACACACACACATACGCGTGCGGCGGCGTGGTGTTGTATCAGCACGCGTCCACACTTGGAACGTGTCAACACTATTTATTTATACGGAAATTTGGTCAAAAATTAAGTACCTATTTTTTTTACATAATTCGAATGAGAATCATGTATCGAGAATTCTCCTTAAATATTGATGGTAATTCACCAGTCACCCTGTATATATATATATTTTACCTACTTTCATTAGGTTTGTACTTAGTAAACTTATTTCAAGTTGATTTTATGTATATGACAAATGTTACCGCCATGTTCAGTCTAGTATCATTATGGGGAAATGAAAAAGCAATATTTTGTATACCCATGTGCTTTACTTTAACTATCAAGCTTTAAACTATTCTTTTTCGTTTCTCAACCAGTCTAAAATTAACCGTTTTTACGAAAATGTGTTTTATAATAGATTAAAATTCGATTTTTTTTTCACTTTCAATTCAAAGTTAGGGCATAACATTCAATATCTAGCTAAAAGTTTAAACTTGTAATCAACTAAATCTGTAGTTAAGACTTGGATACATTAAATATTCATTGGATATGTAAAATAAATTCGAATATAAATTGAACACTAAGCTTTATTTACATCATAAAACTAATATATACAAAGATTATGCAGATACATAACTACATATAAAATAAGGTATCTTAAGTGGAGATCATAAATAATAAAATAATGTCTTTCAATTCCATTTATTTTTATACTTTAAGTTGGGACAAAAATAAATGAAACTATTTGCTTATGATGTTTATCGTGCGGAGACCGAGACTTGCCAGACTCGGATAATATTGTCCGAGTAACCGGCAAACAGGGTTTGTCCGTCAGTAGACCAGGCTAATGATAGGCACTGAGGTGGGTTGGGGTTTTGGTTCTGGTTGATGATATCAGGTTTCAACTCTTCAACCATTTCCTTGCTCTCGAGATCCTGGAATTATATTTAAATTAATATTTTACTCCACGAAAGTGCAGATTCTTGGTGATATAAGATATTAATAGAAGTTTAATTCACTAAGAACAGCAAGACCATGTTTGTGATGATTTTCTTTACAAAATATTAAAAATTTAGTTGATTCTCCGTATCTGCTCAGTAATATTTTATTTAAATGTCCTTATTTTAACGCTCGCTCTCAGGATACTTTTTCAATACCTATTTGTAAGACTAATTATTTCAAAAATTCTTTTATTCAAGATCTTGTACAGTCATGATAGAAAATACAACCACATTGATATGTTTAAGAATAGTTTAAGTAAATTTTATAATCATGTAAAAAATACTCATTAGTAATTAATTAATAGTTGTATTTTTACATTAAAATTAGTCCACTTCCCCATAAAAACTGGCATAAGTGTCAAAATAGATTATTATATCAAGTTGTAATATACAATATGCTGTGTTTTCCTAATAATAATAAATAAAATGAATGCATTTATGATATTTTAAACTTACCCAGATCCTGATAGAAGGTCCGAACGCAGCACACAGCCAGTATCTGTTCGGTGAGAAGCAGAGGGCTGTGATGATATCGTTGTGGTCCAGAGTGTGCAAGTGTTTGCCGTCGTTCAAATCCCACAGCATGGCCTTCATGTCCTTACCGCCCGACGCACACAGAGAACCATCTGGAGACACGGTGACTGTGTTCAAGTAGCCGGAGTGGCCGCGGTGATTGATCTTCAACTTACAGTTAGTCAAGTGCCAGACCTATAATGAAACATTTTTATTAGAGCTATATTAATATCAGTGAGGTAGTAAGCATGAATTTAAATAACGTAATAATAAAATATTAGTTTTAAGTTAGTTCTAAAATGTAAATTTAAAGCTAATTATGTGATTTAACATATTGGATTGTCATATTGTGGTAGATCAAGTTAATATTGGACATATTAGCGGTGAAGTACTAAACATAAATATAAATAATGTAATAATAATATATTAGTTATATAGATATATATACATAGTAAAGTTCTAAAATGTGAATTTAAAGTTAATAACATGTGATTTAACATATTGAATTGTCATATTGTGGTAGATCAATTTAATATTGGACATATTAGTACCTTAACAGCACGATCCCAGCCAGCAGAAACGATGATAGGGTTAGCATGGTTGGGTGAAAACCTAACGCATGACACCCAGTCACTGTGACCATCGTCTTGAATGGTGTATTTACATTCAGCTAATGTATTCCACAGCTTAATGGTCTTGTCCCGGGAACCAGACACGATTTGACGATTGTCCACTGAGAACGCAACTGATAGCACATCCTGATTGGAGTAAGATTAAGTTAATAAAGTTATATTTTTGATATATAAATAACTTGTATTGTTTTTAAGTGTTCCGTCAACCAACCATAAGTAATGGACTTTAGTTCAGACCATACTTACGGGAATTACTGTTACATGGAGACTTATCTTCTGCCTCGCAAAGGCACAACACTCAACCTTGTTTAATCACTAGACATCTTCTGCCTCGCAAAGGCTCTTACTATGTCTTCTGCCGCGCATCGGCACTAACACTAACAAAATAAAGATCCGTCACACCTTAGTATGGTCTTCGAAACGCCTTGTGGTCTTGCCGGCGGCGAGATCCCAAAGGCGGAGTGTTTTGTCCCATGAACCAGACAGAGCGTAGTTTCCATCACTGGAGAGAACCACGTCAGAGATGAAATGAGAGTGGCCGTACAGACGCTTCTGTGGTACACCGTAGTTAGTTTCGTCACGGGTCAACTTCCATACAATGAGAGTTTTGTCTGAAATAGGTTTAATGAGGATTAAAGCGTCATGTGTATGCGAGACTCTAATCGTGTGACAAGGCATAACATCAGCCCCATATCCGCTTGCCGCTCAGGAATCGCGTGGCAAAAAGTTTGTTCATCATTCATTTTGTATAGAAATATTAACATTAATTGAAATCTAATAATATTTTGGCGTAAATAAGTTGTAAATTACACTATATAATAGAGAATATATAGTGATGTCTTCGGATAAATGTTATGCTGCATGTCATAAGAAATGGAATTTAAACGTACCTCGTGATGAAGACAAAATCATCTCAGGATATTTAGGATTTGTGGCAATCTGAGTAACCCACCCATTGTGCCCACAAAGAGTACCCCTTAATTTTAGAGTTTCGGTCATTTTAATAACTGTTACACCAACAGCACAGTTACTCCTAGACCCAGCCGACGTAAAAGAAGGTGACAGGCTAGTCCTTGGCCACCGGTGAAGTCACAAGAACGGTTGAATGAAATGAATGATTGAATGAATTTCATAGCACTTTAAAAATTATTATTTATTAATATTACTAAAAATTATTATTTAATAATATTACTAAAAAGTTTAAAGAAAATATATCATTAAATTCAATAACTTTCCATAAGAAAAAAATTCCATGTTTTTATAAGTGTAAACATATACATGGACAAACTATTAATTTTATTAATTTGACGTGGTACATTTAGAAGATATATATAACACGATTTTATAAAATAATAAATCGTGTTGATATAAAGAATAAAATAATTCATATTTTTCTTAGTTTTCTTTTTACTCCATAAATATGTAAAAAATAACTTTCTGAAAAAAGTGTTGTCTGTCATAATTTTTTTATAAATTAGAAGGTGTTATTTTTAAGTTTGACGTTCCCAATAATTTACTAAATTTATTGAAAATACATATTTATTGTATTTTATTTATAAATATGGATTTCAACGTGGAAACGACGCAGTCCATTGTGAAGACAAAAATATTGCCTTCGGATAATTTAAAAGTACGTAATACTTTTTGTATATCAACTAGTAAATAGTGCTAAAAATGTAAAAAACTCAAAAATTATGATTTTTTTTTTGGAAAATTATATAACAAGGACACTAGAAGCCGTTAAAACATTATAACCAGTTTAGGAGTTGCCTACTGGAAAATATTGAGAGCGTGTTAAAAGAGAAATTGTAAAATACTTAAAATATGTTATGAATAGTAGCTTTTTAATAAGTAATTAACTAATAATAGTAAGGAATTACACCATATTATAATATGAAATAGAGATTCTGTTAAATATAAATGTAAATTTTACTTGCTGCTGAATGCATCATTATTGGGCATCATGTCGTAGTGTCTTTGTATTCCGCTTGGGGGACATCATCGGTCTTTTGAAGCAAATTGACGTCACGCAATTGGTACCTACGCCATTTTGTAAGTGTCTGCCATAGTCAGTATTTCTAGGCACAGTGTAAAATACAAAATTCGCATGGTTTTGTGTACATTAAAACGATAAAGATATCTTAAAATCAAGTTAACGTGTAGTGCGTTAATTTCACAGACACAAATTATGGAGGACAAGGCGTCATTAAAGGAACTGGATCAATGGATAGAACAGCTAAACGAATGCAAGCAATTGACAGAAAACCAAGTGAAAACGTTATGCGAAAAGGTAATTATGGCTTTTGATATTATATTTTGGTCATAAAATAACTTTGTAAGTGTTTATTTTTATCAATTCCATCGTTAGTTAGGTTGGTACGATGTTGTATCGATGTTGAATGAATCATATAGGTACTTAGTAATGAAAGAGTATGGGTATATATCTTGTGGTAGTCTATTTGGTAGATAATAGTTTTATTATGCCGACGGGATATCTAATATTACATCTGGTACACCTGAACACCACACCCAGGTATATCCTAAATCGCGTAAGTCAATAGACCGAACTGAATGAGATATTTATAGAAGCTGCGGAAATGCTAACAATTACTCCTCTGATCTAAACTTGTTTTTTATCCATGCATTAATAAACGAACACTAAACTGGAATTGAGTGTACTATTTTATCACATATATTATTATATATATAGGAGTCTCTGTAGATAAGATTACTGACTTTATTTATTCAATGTTTAACAATAATCCTAGTTTGAGTGACTGGTAATATCAACACACAGGTGAACATTTATGATCAGAAAATTATAATAAATTTCTTAACAATAAATGTTATTTTGAAATGCTATAGCCAAGACTAACCTTACCAGTATAATTCTATGTCTTTCTTTATAATTGTTTATATAAATATCACATTGACCTTTTAATGATATTTATAATAGTTTATATATACAAAGCAATGTATATTTATTTTTATAATTTTAATATGGTGACATATACTTAGCTATAGTTAGGCAGTAATTTATTACAATTTCAATATTGTATAAGTACAATGTTTCTCAATTAATTTTCTTAGTTACCATGGTAACTCAAAATCTAATAACAAATGTGTTATATATGAAAGATAATTAAAACTTGAAACATATTAAATATGAAATTAAGTCTTCCCTTAACATGTTATAGTATCATTAAATCTTTTCACTAGATTCTATGTTAATAAACAAAAAATTTAAGCATTTTTGTACCTGCATACTGTTTTTTTTATGTTACATTTTATTTGGTAATCATCCTCTTTAATAAGCAGAATTGTTAATGAGAATCTTATTACTACCTGTGGTTTTTGCATCTCATTTCTATATATTTAGAAAAAATTATCCCTGTTAATGTTTGCTTTGAATTTATATTATAAATCTGTTGTTTTACAATGAATAATTGAATAGTGAATTTAATATGCTCCCATCTGTTAATCTATTTGATGTCACTGCTTCAGTTGGTAAGTAATTTGAATTTCCTCTCTATGTATTGCCAGTGGCAATTATAGTATCCTCTTTAATTTTATCACAGTAATTTTTATATTGAATATGTATTAAGTTATAAATATATTTAAAAAAGTACTTTTCAATCAAAATACTCTTTGTATAGTTTTTTGTTTAGTTTGGCTTGCATTCAGCTTTCATTTTGTATTTTTTTTTTACCTAATGTTGTACATCAAACATTCAGTGACATGTGTTTATACATAGAAGTGATGGATTAACGATTTTTTTATATATATGATTTATGCATCATTATCATGGAAATTTATTTTTATTTACAGATAAATTCTTTTATGATAAAATTTTGGTAAACAGCTTTTTGCTAGAAATATAAAGGCTAGTTCCTACATTTAAATGTCACAACCATAGATTAAAGAAATTGAAAATGACATATTTTATGATGGTTTTCGAAAAAAGCCAGGGCAAGTGAGTTTGTTTGTTTAATTTATTCATATGAAAAATCTTGAAAGACAGGTAATATTTTCAATACATTTGTTTAATTGTCAGCCATTGTTCAAATTTGGGTTGACACTATGTATACAGATACCTATTTCGCGTAAACGTTTTTACGAAAAATGCGTTTTCAGCGTGAAGTCACTCGATTCAATGACGCTCTCTCGCTTCGGGCGCCAAAGTGCACTTCCTAGGTTAAGGGTTGCATAGCTTTAAAGCATAATAACCAGGTTAGCATGAGTGTACAACCTTAACAATGCCCAGTCCCTCAAAATACACAGTTTACATATAATAAATATATATATGTACATAAATATATGTATAGTAATCGCGATAATTAGGTTCAAATGCCCTCATTAACATTTTTTTAAATATTTTTTATCAGAGGATGTAGCGAAACGATTTGTTACGAAAGAAATGACGATCATAAAAGTTATTTAGCAATGACAATATTGGATATAATTGTCGTGATGATATTATTAGTCATATTATTTGATAAAAAAAATAGATTATTTGTTTATAAGGTATAAAGTAAATAAACAACATATGTATGTACACCGCACGTAATATGTATTGTGTACACATATACAATATACTGATCCCATTTTTAATTTCCCGGGATAAGTTTTTGCTTAAAGGGCTAACGAAAAGCTTATAGGCATCTTTAGATACAAACATGTACATTAGTAATCGACATATAGTAATATTAATTTTTATAATCACTGTACTTACTCTGTACACTGTACTCTGTTTAGTCGATACTCTTCATACGTTTCCCATCTTTTCTAATGTCTAAATTATTATTAATGAATGTCAATATTTAATAATCGTATTGTCTTCCTAATATGGAATATAAATTGCTTATATTTTTTTCCAAAATTGAATTTCAAAGTCTTTCCTGATATTTTGTTTTAAAATTTAATTTCATAGTCTCAAGACAAAGTCTAATAATTAATTGCTTCTGCTCGTAATAACGTTTCTGGAATGAAAGGCACAAAGTCTATTCAATGATGAAGTAAAATTTGCGATTGCAGTTTAGTTTGTATATACATATATCGTATAATTATAAAGTAACGTAGTATTATATTAGTGTTAATTTGTTGTATTGGTTACAATGAAGGACTTTTGTATAGCAGTGGATTAGTATAATGATGGACTAGTAACTATTAACGTAGAATAATTGTAAGTTTGAGCTCCTCTGGTCGATATGATGTTTCCATGTTAGTTGAAAATAAATTTCAGTCATAGATTGATTTTCGATTATATAAGTACTAAGTCTATACCAACATAGTTTTGTTGGCCTAGTGGTTAAAATACCCGCCCATGCATGAGGGCGCGGGTACGATCCTGGCAAGTACCAATGTGATTTTTCCCAGTCATATGTACTATCTAAGATCATTTAGACATCACTGATTAATGCATTCCCAAAAGAGGGTTGATGTCAGGCAGGCGGCCGGTCGTAAAAACAATTAGCTAAAACTATTCACAACATGTAAGGAAGACACCGGCTAAAGCTGGGAAATTGCCTGGTAGAAGAAGAAGTCTATACTAACATAGTTTTTTTTAGGATAACTTACAATGTTTTTTTTTTATAATAATATTTTTTTATTGCTTTCATTATTGTTGTTTTACATGTTAGTAATCTTTACACCGAGCATTGATCCCGTAGAACGAATTCGTAGTAGTGTAATTCTCATTACTCAAATTAGCCTCAATATATTGTTTCAAACTAAATGTTGTTATAACATGATTTGGTTTTCATTTTACGATCACGATAGTTTTCATATCGGTCTGATCGATATATTTGTTAACCCATATTCGACTATTTTGGTTACGATTCGTTCTAGATTTTCAATATTTTAGTACTTATAATCACCTAAGTGCTAATTAACCTTCAATTGACTTGTTATAAGGCTGTATATATTGAATATTTTAATATTCATGATCCGTCCGTATTGTTATGTCTAAGCACGTAATTTATAATTTTAATTGTTATCCATAAGAATAATTTTCGTAATATATTTTTTATTTATTAATTTGATAAATATATTAATTCTTTTCGTACATATTTGTATGAATATATTTTAAGCTTATACAGTTTGAAGCTTTTACATAGAGATGATTTAATGTAATTAAAATACGTATACTGCCAGGGTTTGATTACTTATATATGTGTGTGTGCGGTGAAGGAAAACATCGTGAGGAAACCTGGACTTATAATTTCACAATTATAAGTTTGAAATCACCAACCCGTCTTTAGCAAGCGTGGTTATTAATGCTCAAACCTTCTCCATGTGAGAAAGAGGCCTTTGGTCAGCAGTGGGCTCTGATAGGCTGATGACGCTGTGTGTGTGCACACATAAATATATATATATATATATATATATATATATATATATATATATATGCGTGTGTGTTTGTAAATGCGTTTTTTTTTATTTCCAGGCAGAAGAGATCCTGACCAAAGAGTCTAACGTCCAAGAGGTGAATTGTCCAGTGACGGTATGTGGGGATGTTCACGGTCAGTTCCACGATTTGATGGAACTGTTCCGTATAGGTGGAAGGTCACCGGACACCAACTATCTGTTCATGGGTGACTACGTGGACCGCGGCTACTACAGCGTTGAGACAGTCACATTGCTTGTAGCGCTTAAGGTATGTATTGACTATATATCTATATATATAAAAGAAAGATTTGTTAGTAACACTCTAACTCAAGAACGGCTGTAGGGATATGGTTGAAAATTGCTGGAGAGATAGCTCAGAACCAGGAGACGGACATAGGATATTTAATTCTGTGCGATCGAAAAAATACCTTAATAAATACCTAAATCTGGTTATTTATGGCCTCTAGGACAGAATAGAATTCGCCCGGTCAGCTATACACATTACTAATTCAGAAATTAACCCGGACATTTCGCGACCTAAAACTATTTTATACAGGGTGACTGGTGAATTACTATCAATATTTAAGGAGCATACTCGGTACATGATTCTCATTCGAATTATGTAAAAAAAATAGGTACTTAATTTTTGACCAAATTTTCGTATAAATAAATAAAGTGTTGACACGTTCCAAGTGATCCAATTGTGGACGCGTACGGCGGCGTGCTGATACAAAACCACGCCCCCGCCGCGCGTGTGTGTGTGCGTGTGTATACCTAATCTGTAGGGTGTGCACACGATGCGTAATTAATTACACAACTTTTGGTTAACTTTACTTAGAAGTTTATTAATATTTATGTTATATTAATTTTTATTTTGTCATATATGATCGTCAAATATCACGTCCTCAAGTATCGATAGTAATTCACCAGTCACCCTGTATATGTATGTGTATTTTTCTTTTATTGTTTGATTTCAAGTTTTTTTTCCACTAGTCGTATGGAAGTATATAATTTGTTCAGCTGAAATTTTTCAACTACTTATATATGCTTAAAATTATGCTTCTTATAAACTGTGTTTGAATATAATAAAGTAATTTATCTTTATATCTTATTTGTCAATGTGTATAAAATGTTAGCATCCTTGATAGCGGCTTGTAGGATATTACTCAGGGTGACTTACTCCTTCTCCTAGTTATTATCAGTTTTATTGTTGAATTTCTTCGTAATCGGTACAGGCGATCCATCCATATGTTAAAATGTATGAAAATAGGTACCTTAGTACTTTTAATATAACGGATTAAGATTGAATGTATTATGATATATTGTGGCTAATTATAAGATGGACGCCACAAAATAAAGCCACAAATTCTTTCATATTAGCCATAACAATAGAGTTATTATAATGTCGTCATACATTAACTTTGTGTGTCATTGTGTAAGTGTGTTTGTTGTTTGTATTTATTATGACACGTAAAGCCGCACGGAAGCCTGTTACGTAATGCTCAGATGTTACGTAAGAGGCTTATTAAATGATGCACAGCGTCATTCAGATTGTAGTGGATTTAACGTAATAGGTCACAGGTTATTTTGTATATACATATATATGTATATATATAAAATATTCCTTTTATGTTTTTCGTATATGAAGTTCCTTCAATGCATATATTCGCTGTCGTCTGTCGCTTAATCTTATCTTTCCTCTAGTGTCATCCAGACTTGAGTCACAATGTTATCATTATTTATTTTTACCGCATAATAATTAGATTTATAATAGATTTATTTGAACGTTTAAATTTTTATTTAAATATTTATTTATATTCATATTCGTTAAGTTTCTTTCTCTAGATTAAGATTAAGATACTTTCTCCAGTCCAAAAGTTTTTCGTGTACAAGTTTGGATTCAATTTATTTTTTAAGCAATTTCGTTTCTGTTTCAACGCTAGGCCATCTTGGTTATATTAGATATAGTTCTATTGTAATATTAAAAATGTATAAAAGATTATTTTTGTCGATTTTGTTGTTTAAATATTGACGTCGTTATTTTTAGTAATTTTCATGTTATTTACTTGTATTAAAACATATAAAGTTGATTTTTTCTATAATAGTGTTGTGTTCAATGTAGGTTGTTAAAGATTTTAACGTGTAGCATATTGGATTGTAGTTTGTGGGGCTACTCGAGTACATAATACGATATTGTATAGCATTATGTGCTAGATTAGGGGGACGGATGAAGGCAAGCGGAGTCGAGTGATATAGGTTGAGAAAATAAATCATAATAATACCATTTATTGAAGTCAATTTTTATTTATTTTTAACTTAATTTAATTTTCTTTTTTAATTAAAAACACTTGATCTATAGATATTTTTATATATAAAGGAAAGTCGTGTTAGTTATACTATTTACAACTCAAGAACGGCTGTACGTGTTTGGCTAAAAATTGGTGGAGAGATAGCTTAGAATAAGGAAAAGGACATAGAATACTTTTAATCTTATTGAAGAAGAAAAAAAATTAAGTTAATTAAATCCAAAATATTATCTACTGTCTTTAAGGACCAATAGAGTTCGGCCGGTCAAATACATTTCTTATTCTGAAACTAACTTAGACTAAGTCTCTAGCAAAAACTACTAATATATAAAATGTACAAAATTATGGATAGTGAATGCTTTTATAGTAAACATTAATTGCAACCTTCAAAATGAGAATTTATTACATATTAAAGTTTAATTGAACTCACAGTATACAACGACCTTCTGTATAGATTAAGTGATTCTTACTTAATGCTTTATAATACGATGCTACATTTCTATTCATTTTTTTGTTTTAATATCTATACATTATAAACTAACAATATAGAAAAATTAAATTTTTGGGTTTTTTTATTGTTTTCTACTGATTATAGTAGTGTTAAAAAGAATTTCTTTCTTACACTGTTTCAGACTTATAAAGATTATTAAATTGAATTTGGTTGAACTATTTGTTCTTAAATAATTGTTCGAAATGCATTCTTATAATGTACGTAATGGCTTTAACACATATTTCTACTTTTGTTGCTGCAATGAAGAAAGCATGGATAAAACAGAACCCCGATTTCATTTAAGTCGGATAACATTTTCCTATTGAAAATATTTGATACTAATGAGAATATATTTTTTATATCGGCATGTTTACCTCGCGTTTGCATGGTAAATCTGCACACTACTTACGCAGCGTTAACAGTTGGAAATTAAAAGACTGAAAGACAGTCTCGTATACGATAGTAATAACGTCAATTAAATAAACGGAAAACATTTCGTTTGTAGTATTACGATGGAAAACTTGTGGTAAGCATAAATTCCTGATAGTCATTTGTTAATCGTAAATGTCATAGAAATGGAAATGATAGATCGATTGGCTTATGAATTAATAATATAATGCATCGCCGGCCATCGGTTTTATTCCATAATAAAAAAATATATATTTATTGTTTTAAAAGAAAATATAGGAAATCGTTAGGAGACAAATAATATTGCGTGTGACATTAATGACAAGTATTCCAATAAAATTTTTATGACAATAGAAAATATTATATCAAACTATTTTAAAATCCGTGCTAGTTAATTAAGACATCGAATGATTAAAATTTCATAACCATTTTTACCAAAATAGTGCTTTATCGATTTACCGATTCGCGAATACCGAATGAGAAATCCGCGAGGAATGGAATCAGGTTTATTGGTTACGAAGGGAAACCTATGAGTAAATCTTCAATCATTTTATCTATCAATTTACTAAATCTCATCAAGGTGGATGTAGCAATACAGCCGTGTAATCAACAGACATAAACTATGATTTGTCAATGTATATAGTAAATAGTTAATATATAATCCGTACTCCTATATAGTGTATTAGTACTTATAATATTTGTCTATAATAAAAGTAAATAATGGTTTGAAAGAATTCATTTTTGTTATAAATGCGTTCTGAGGATGAACAAAATTTTGATCTCAATTATGTTATACATAGTTAAATTTGAAAAAAATATGTGTTTATAAATATTTGAGATTGTATCTGAAGTTACAATTTAAATATATGTATACTTTGGTTTTTTTTACGTTCTAAATATTCCGTTTTTAAAGATCGTATCATTTCAAGGTCATCGTAATGTAGAACGCCGTTTATGATGTGTACAAAAGTATAATAAGATCCATTCAAATCTGTATAATCTAGTGAATGACATTATAATTATATATAATATATAATAAATAACTCGCAGGTCAGATATCGGGAGAGAATAACAATCCTCCGCGGCAACCACGAGTCGCGTCAGATAACCCAGGTTTACGGTTTCTACGACGAGTGTCTCCGTAAATACGGCAACGCGTCCGTATGGAAGCACTTTACGGATCTGTTCGACTTCCTGCCGCTGACTGCCCTGGTAGATGGGCAGATCTTCTGCCTCCACGGAGGCCTGAGTCCGTCTATAGACACGTTGGATCACATTAGGGCTCTGGACCGCGTTCAGGAAGTTCCACACGAGGGACCCATGTGTGATCTGCTCTGGAGTGATCCCGATGATAGGTGAGGATACACACACACACATATACATACATACATACATACACACGCGATAGTAGTATAATATATATAGGTAATCAATGGCCTTCATATATCAATATCAATTTCAAACTGATAGTAATCAGTATATATTAAAAACATTAATGAGATATAGAAACATAGTGTACATACATATAGGTACAGAAATCGATGAAATATTATATTAGAAGAAAACATTGATTACTATAATGTTGTATGTAATTTAATCTAAAATTAATTGTAAGGATTCTTGTATGAAAATATGATTCACTTGTAATGAGAATAATTTATAATGAGTCCAAGGTTCATACTATTGTTATATATAAATAAATATACATGCATAAATGTTTTATTTAACTCTAAATTTACTACTAAATGTAAATTAGTTATAATTTATATTATATCTTATTAAATTCCAAGATATATGGTAACTGGAAATTCCTTCTCGATATTATTATAGTATAAAATTTAATAGTTGAGATAACTAATAAAATTCCCCGACATCTTCCTCATTATATTTTAATTAATCTTATACTAAACAAACATTATCATATATAATAGCTAATATTTAAGTGTTGCTAGTTTGATATATTAATTGAATGCTAGTTTGATATATTAATTATTTTGAGCATTTTTTATATATTTTCTGTAAATAATGATTTTATTGCTTTTTATATAATTAAAACTAATGTCAAATGTAGTTACAATTAATGAGGAACTAGTTAGCATTTTTAATACATATAAATTGAGTAATTGATAAAATTTAATAAGATGCAGGTGATTTGAGAAAGACATACACAATCTTGAGTACAAAAATACTTTTCTTTATTGTGTTACATATTTATATCATATGTATATGTTTAAACAGCAAAGTTCCTATTAAGAAATACAGATATACTTTGTCATACAGAATTGTTTTTTGATAGTAATGTATATTACATATATCTAAAAACTTTGCTCGGTTAAGTTTTATTTCGTTTTCTATATTACAAGAAATTATAATCGATTTATGTACATGTTTTTATTTCTATCATTTATTAATTAATTATCATATAATTTCCAGAGGCGGTTGGGGTATATCTCCTCGTGGGGCTGGCTATACTTTTGGTCAGGACATATCGGAGACATTCAATCACAGCAACGGCCTGACACTAGTGTCCCGAGCCCATCAACTCGTGATGGAAGGATACAACTGGTGTCACGATAGAAATGTGGTCACTATATTCTCAGCACCCAATTACTGCTACAGGTACATAGATATATATATGTATAAATATACTCAAACTCAAATAACTTTATTCAATATAGAAGCATTACACTTTCTTATTGATGGTCACTTGAGACGCTACCACCGGTTCGGAAAAGAATATATATATCCTACTAATATTATAATTGAGAAAGTTTGTGAGTGTATGTGTTTGTAACTTCTTCAAGCTCAAACGGCTGAACCGATTTTGATAAAATATTGTATACAGGACAGGAAGCTTACGTCCAAGAATAACACATAGGTTACTTTACATCCCGGAAATCTGCGGCTAACACCGCCGGGCGCAGCTAGTATATAATAGATTTGCCAATAATGCACAATTATGACCATATATGACTGCAATATGATTGGATATGACAAATATAACTGCTAATGACTAAAATATGACTGAAGTATGGCTGCATATGCAGAAATATGATATTCTCATAGACCTCTAATATATTTGCTAAACCTCCTACTAGATAAAATGGCTTTAAGATACTTGAATGGCATAAATGTCAACTTTTAATGCAAAGAAATCTAAGAGTTAATAAACATAAAAATTTATAAGTAGTTTTCATTTTAGCAATATGATTTGTAAAACAAATTAACTGGATTCAAACCATTTGATCACAAATTTTTAATAAAAAAAGACATGTATTTCAAAGCTCTTGCTTTAAATTACCCATTCTAATTGTTTGAAAATAATCATTATATACAAAAAGTAATTGCTCTATACAAATTGTAGATTTGTTTGATTCTAATTTCCTTTCGCTCACCAAGTCACTGACAGGCTTTCTCATTATTATTTAGATATTTTTCTTTTTACATACAACTGGAATAATTCCAATGTTTCAGTTTTCAATATAAATATTTGTTAAGATTATTATAGAATGAAGCTCGGGTGGAAATAACTTCAACAATTACTATGAAGCTCTGAGAATACTTGTATTAAATATTCATATTCTATTTGTTATATTTTTCTGATTAATTATATATTATTTTATTCATTTTTTGCCCCTTATCCTAAAGAGACATTGAAAAGTTCTTTTTGAAATAAAGCAGATTGTTGAATTTAAAACAGCTATGTATATCTATCGTCATTTTTTTATTTAGTTTGCATTAAGTGCAATAAAGATATGATCTCCGTGTGTTGGAAAAAATAATCTCTATAAAAAACAAACATTGTAGAATGTGTGTATGCTGACATATTTTTTAATACATACATGTTGTAATTATGGAGTGGTTGATATTTTGTATATATTGGTACTTATGACTAGAATAAACAGAATATATGTATATATACACCATTTACAATTTATAATTAAATATATAATTATTTTCAGATGTGGTAACCAAGCTGCCATAATGGAATTGGATGATGCGCTTAAGTATTCATTGTAAGTTAAAATTAATTTATATATAATAATAATAACATAATGTATAACACGGAATGATTAGAAGCGCAAAGTGATGACATATGATTTGCACTACGATAGTGACAAATCAGATATAGTGACCAGTCACTAATACGTGGATTGTTAAGTTTTATGACCTATATACTCAGTAATATATGTTGTGGATATGTTATAAATGTATATATATGTATTTAATTCGTGTTTCAGCCTTCAGTTCGACCCGGCGCCTCGACGTGGCGAGCCGCATGTCACGCGGCGGACGCCGGATTATTTCATGTAGACAAGTTAGTATATATGTTTATATATAAAATAAAATCGCGTTAGTTACACTATTGATAACCCAAGAACGGCTGTACTGGTTTGGATGAAAATTGGTGGACACATAGCTTAGAATAAAGGAAAGGACATGATATTTTTCATCAAATTGAAAAAGCAAAAAATAAGTTGATCAGATCCAAAATCTTCTCATCCTACTGTCTTTAAGAAGGAATAAAGTTCACCTGGTCATTTCTAATTCTGAAACTAATGCAGACGAAGTCGTGGGCAAAAACTAGTGTACTATATAAAAACGACTCACGAGGGTTCCTTAATATTATATATGGGTAATAAACTAAAATTATGTTTATAGTATGGAAGACAACTAATTGTTGATAATTTTTCATCATATTAACCGCTTTCAGGGCAACAGAAATATACTTATATTGTCAAATATTAGGGTTCATTATATATAAGCCGTTGAGATATTTTGGACAGTGGAGTTATAGTATTAAGGTCCAATTAAATACTAAATATTAGCTTACTATGAGTTTTATGTGTAAATGTACTGACTTTAAACTAACTATTGCTTGTATTTCTTTAGCGGAGGGGACAAGGAAGTCGAAACGCCGCCCGCATATCATCACGCCGCCTTCCCAAGAAACATCTACCCATACACAACTTCACGTATCAAACAAGGAATTACACTGGATCGACCTACATTTCTTGTATCAAATTACTATCAGTTTCTATAATAATGTTGGTCTGTAATAATCTAATGTATTTGAACATGATGCGGCGATTGACTCAGTATGATCTAACCACATGATTTGATGTCTGTAACGCGAGTTTATGAGTATCGACGCATCTATAGTGTAATGAGAAACTGATCTAACATGTACTAAGGTTCGGTTTTGTACTGTGAGAAATCAACGGAGATGTTTGTATGAAGCACGTCCATGTATTTTTAATAGCGGGACAATTTCTGTTTTTCATTATGATATAATACATTCGCGAGTATTCATTTAGATGATTCATATTTTCGGATTTACTACGCGTTATTTATTATTTTAAAACTACATATAAACTCTATACTAATCAATATGTAGTTTTAAAATAATAATAAACGTTTAGTAAGTCCTAAAATATTAGTTTAAATTGACTTAGTGTTTTTGTAATACAATATAATTAATAAGGGCGGGCGGCCGATCACTTCAACTAGGTTCTTGCCCCGACATCGTCCTGTTATATTAAATTGAACCCTATTATAATGTAAATAGGTTGGATTTAATACAACGGCGTCCGTATTTATGCTGGTATGTTCATCGAGGATGACCCACTGTATGTAAGTCGATGTATCAAAGACACTTAGACCTCATTAAACGGCGTACATTTGCTATGAAGGTAGTTTTATTTATGGACATACCACCATAACGAATCCCTGGTCATTGAGAGCAGTTATATAGATCAAAGTCTGTAAATTCCCATTTTATACATTAATAGTTTTAAATTGATCTATTAAATATTATTTTTTTTAGATTGTTTTAGTCTGCTTTTATTCGCTCGGACATTTTGTCGAACTGCACAACGGTACCGATGGTGTAATATGTATTTGTTTTGTAACAATAGTCTGCATTTACTTTTATGGCAGAATGTTAAAAGAATTGACTAAGTCACGTAAAAGTATTACATATATTCGAGCCGTATTTAACTATTCTGCCATAGAATGTCCGATGATGCATTTCGAGGTTTTATTTATCAAAATTCTCCTGTTCTTGTGCCACAGTACCTGTTTAACATGGAATAAATTGTTTCACAAGAGTGGAGCTTTAATGTTTTCCTTATAAATCTATATTATTTTAGGTGAATGTGGACACCTGAAATGGCAGTAATTATTTTAACAATCTCTTATTTAGACAGTGATGAGCATTACATTTTGTCGCAGCGTTTATTTGTATTTCGGTTATGAGTTAGTATATTTTTTTTAAATCAAAAGATTCAATAAATAATGATTCCATGTATTCAATGAAGTTGGCGACTCGAGTCGGTCTAAAAGCTTGTGTACATGATTCGTTTACAACTGTACACTAAGAGAACGCGTGTCAGTTACAAACTACCCACCAATGACATCAGAAGCCACACGTTTCGTTAAGTATTAAGTATGTAAGTTAGGTAAATGAATAAACTTTAAAAAAAACACAAAAAAAATATGTTTAAAAAACGAGCTTCCCTTGTATGAAATGGTTGAAGTAGCTTTGTTTTACGAAGTTGTTTTTTCGCTTGAGCTTTTTATTTCATTCAATTGAAGCTCGGTATAATTAAGGCTTTCCCGGCAATCGCATAGTTATTACACGACGTTCGACGCGGAGGCGAGCATGAAGAACCTTTTATATGGAGTGTTGTGTGAGAAAACTCGACTGCGAATAATATTGCATTAGATATACGTATATTTTAAATTATATGGATAAATCCAAAGTTAAAATTAATAACATTATGCAATACTGAAGAAAAAAACTGATAATGAATAACACAGTTCATTCTCTCAACTCTGTACTATGCCCGTTAATAGGAAATAGTTAATAAATAAAATTAATTATAAATAAAAATGTTTTATTAAAGATACTTGTGTTCCTTTATTAATAAGTTGAACCGATTGTGAAGAAACGAGACACAAAAATATTGAAATTAAATTTAAACTCAATTTTTTGTATTATTTATTGTTGAGATTCTCAGAGCATCGTTTTGGTATAAAAATAGTAATAAATATGAATAAATTGAACTAAAGTTATCTTATTAATATATAGACTAAATAATAGTATTGGAACTGAATATTCAATAGACGAATAAAATACAGTAATTAAAAGTTCGCTAGATTGTGTAAACGTGTTAAATAATATTACCGTTACAAACAAAATTGGGATATCAAACCACGGAGAACCTGTAATGATAAATAAAAAACAAATTAATGTTCATTTTTATTATAAAATGTAATAATATATATTTTTATATTTTATCTAATAACTTTATGGGATACTTTTAAATAATTTTAATAGCTTTGTGATGGCATGAAAATTTAAAATCATTAAGTTTCATTAAACAAAGTTCATACAGTTGATTAATGCAAATATTAATTCATTGGTTCTTAATTGGAAACATTTACAAAAACATCAATGAAAGAACTAAATGTATTTGAATAATGGAGTTAGTAAAGGAAAATTAAAACCTTTACTTAAAGAAACAGATGTGTTTAAAAAAATTGTTCTACTCTATATGTATATATGAAAACAATTGGTCTTGTCTGTCACCTCATTATTTTAAAACAATTTAGGAGCTGCATCTAACTGTATCTATACACATAACAATTATACTTCTCAAAAGAAAGCAGTCAAAATTAAACAGCTGAATTATGTAACACCAAGGAATTCCAGTATTTAAATATTATCATAATAAATACAATTCAAATATACAGAGAGCTAACACAGGCTATTCATATAAAAATAATAGATTTTTATTACTATCCCAAAATTATTTTTATTTGTCTGTTCACACATGGTCCACAAACATCATTTAAAACTAAATTAAAATATACAAAACAGATAATAACCTTCTGTTATACAATACTTTGTGCATCAACACGAAAATTTCATACTTAAAACTCCATATTAGGTGTGACCATAAACATTTTAACCTTAAAATAATACCCTCTTAACCCAGAGACAATATAGAGCTTCATGAACAGATAATAAATAAATGTATTATGAAAACTTCACTAAAAAATAAATTATAATACTGTTATGATATTTTCATGCCGGTGTCCAAGTGAAGTAACTGCTTCATCAGCTCGTAAGTGGAGAAAGATGTTGCCACCATTGGTATAGCTCGTATGTAGTTGACAGTCATTCCTCGATACAAACCCTTCACTATACCATTCTCACGGTATATGAGAGTCAGGGTTTTTATCATTCCCGTTCTGGAGTTTGTAAAAGAAATTTTAATTATACATAATAATTAAGAGTGAATTTTTATGCAAAAGCAAACAATTTCAATACTAGTTTTGATATACAAAAGCTATAGGAGCTAGAAAGAAATTGTTATAATTTAATTAGTACATAACTTAATCAATATTATACTACATAGCTACTATAAAATAATTATAATAAAAATAAATTAAATATAAAAGTTAGTACCGACCTTCTGTTGGTGTAGCCAACACCAGTGCAAATAATATGCAATAAAAAGATTATTGTTAACACAATATTATGTACATAAAAATAAAATTAAAAATAGGTTAGTGTTTGTTAGAGAAAATAAGAAAATAAAAGTTATTTATCCCCAAATTATATTTACAGTCCAGGAAGATAAGAATTAGAAAGAATTGAAATTAATCATAAATAATAATTATTTAACAGTGCACATTTTTTTAAAATAACATATAGAAAGTGTCTTTACATATTTATTTTGCAAGTTAAAGAAATAGTATTATAAGCTAGTGTTTTATAGTTATAATTGCTTGTGTGTGTATGTTAATATATGTACATACACAGTGCCGGCGTTAGGGGGGGCGCGCGATGGAGCGACGGCCCAGGGCGCATAATTTGGGGGGCGATTAGTGGAGGATACTTATAAATGAAAAAAAAAAGGAGCTACATAACTTTCTACGTCCACGTCGTTAGCTCTGTGTCACGCTAAAGGAAAGACTGAAAATGGTAGATGGAATATAGAATTCTTAATACACGTTCAGTGTTCACATTGGTTCAGAAAAAAAATTAATACTCGATTTTGATTACTTCAAGTGGGCGCCAAAATATTCTTGCCCAGGGTGTCAGTCCCTCTAACGCCGGCACTGTACATACATACATTTATATATGCACGTGTATGTCAGTGTCTGTCTGTCTGTGTGTGTGTATATGTATCTCACCCAAACTTGGCAGTATCTGGTGTCATACACGCTAGCTGCATCCTTCTCCTGGTCACATCCAGTGGGTATGAGACAGACTGAGCCACTGCCCCGGCTAAACCTCCACACACCAGTTTACCAGGAATAGTTAGAACTAAACCACCTATGACAGAAAATAATAATAATATGATATAAATTATATATAGAGACATTCATCAACATGTTTTGTTTACAGATATAGGAATTTGGTACATTATATTGTGTATAAATTATAATTTAAATACAATTAGCTTATGAGAAAGATGGATGTTTGCATTGCATATAATTTATATTAAGCAAAAATCACTAAAATTAATTGTACATTACTATGTGTAGTAAACAAAAAATAAAAATAAATTATAAGAAAACTTACCAGTGTTTCTATCACACTTCTTACAAAGCGAACTCGGTAGATACTTCATGCAGAGGAATTTTAGGGACTCGAAGCAGTAGAAACTGAACCCGGCGTACGGAACCATACCGACCATAGTTGGGACGAAACCACGGTATAGAGCTAGTATACCGCCCTCCTGGAATATAATGTGTTGAATATTTAGTACAGGAAACACTAGCTTAAGGAATAGAATACCTCACTAGACAGTGGGATTAACAACTTTTACCTTTGTTTATAAAGAAAAGCAACTAAAATATTCTACTAGATATGTGTAGAATCAGACATGTGTTTTTTTAACAATAACCATCGATCTAATTATATAAAACATTACTATAAAAGCTTAAACAACACTAGTATTTTTTATATCTGGATGATTTGTAATGGCTAGCTATATATGAGGAATAAAAAATCTTGATATTAATCCAAAATAAAGGCGTATTAGTATGTTATTGGAGTCTCACCGTCTTAAATATGGTGGTAGCGGCGTCCACGATGCCGTTGTACCTGTGCTCGCCGGTCACTTGGAAGGCGAGGCGAGCTCTTATTGTATCGAGGGGGTAAGTCAGAGTCACCGCTGTCACACCGGCCCCGGCGCCAGCTACGAACTTATCACCATGCTGGACTAGAGGCACGCTTAACCCGCTGAGATACTGAAGAAAATTATTATTTTTTATTTAAATTACATACAAAGAAGTTATAATAATAGTTTTTTTTTTCTCTATGAAAAGTGTATTTTCAGCCAATAACAAATGCATAGAATGTATCATTGACATATACTAATGGACATGCCTTAGATACGAGAATTGTGGCACTCTTAAAGAAAGGGAGGAAACGAAGTTTCGGTCTATCTTTATCTCTCTCAAAATAGTACCGTACTTAAATCCGTGTATGAGAAAAGAGATAGTGCTAGACCGAAAGTATAGGCCATCTCTCTCACTCTTTTCAAACCAAAAATTACTGCAGATTATACGCGTACGGCATGTCCATTAGTATATGTCGATGGAATGTATATTTATTTAATATGTCAGTGATATTGACAGTGACGTGTGTCAAACTTGATAGTATTAACAAATGGTTTTATTATGCCGTAAAAGTTTTTATTGTACGTAATATTATAAATTAAGACGCGGGAAACGCTGTAGTGTGACGAATCAAACTTAGGGCAATCATTACGGTGTATTAGCGCGCACCAAACTTCCTTATAGCCTTTACTACATATGCATGTACAGAATATTTCAAGCATGTTTTATTCCAATTATAATCACAATACTAGTCTGGATCACTTAATATTCTGCGACCGTCACTTCTAAAGTTACATTGAAATTCAAATTGTCGCGTGTTTGTCGACTACATAAAAAATTTAAGCTATTCGTTCCATTGTGACACTAAATATACAAAGTCAAGGTAACGCCCTTAATCTCATTTTTGTCATGGTTCAATTAACAAGTCGATTTAAAAACATACCTATAGGGGTCATTAACTATGGGGTCAGTGACCTTACCAAAAATTTGCAAAGTCGCACTTCATAGTGAGCGATTACAGCTTATCTATATAAAGGGTGTCCCAACTAGAACGCAATTTTTAAATTTTAAATAAAACACAAATATTAAAAAAATATATCGTGAAACTTTATTATATCGTAAAGTAGATAGAATGAGGTTATGTATGGAACAAGATATCGTGCAGATGGCCGCCGCGGCTTTGCAGGCACACGCGCGAACTTTGAATGAAATTTTCTAGGACCGTTTTGCATAAATACTGCGGTATTTCATAAATACAGCGTCCAATTTCCTCTTTTAAGGCTTGAGTCGTCGTCGGCTTATACGCGTAAACCATCGACTTCAAAAAACCCCAAAGAAAATAATCTAAAGGTGTTAAATCGCACGATCTCGGCGGCCTATTCTGGTCTCCAAAACGCGAAATAACACGACCGGGAAATGACTGATGCAGCAATTGAATTGTTTCTCTGGCTGTATAACGCCAACTTGTTGAAACCACATGCAGTCCATATTCATTTCTTCGATTCTAGGCAAGAAAAAACTGGTAATCATTTCACGATATCGAACACCATTGACTGTTTGCGTAGTTGTTGTCTTTACATCACTAACAGACCAAGTTTCGGCAAATTTATTCATTAATCTCTTTACAGTTGCCTCTTTTTGAGTGACTCCAAAATGATCGTAATTTGCGAACTGTAGCCGCAAAACTTTCACCATTTTGGTAAAACAATTTTACAATGAGAATGCGTTGTCCATTCGTGTAGCGCTCCATTTTTACAAACCTTGTACCTTCTACAAGCAAATATTAACAATTGTTCAAATGTCAAACAATCACGCTTAAAATGGCGCCAAAGTTAAAAATTGCGTTCTAGTTGGGACACCCGTTACATATAAATAAAATTGGACTGTCTATTTGTAATATTGAAATTTTACTACATGCATATAAATATATTATACAGAGTGACTCGTGAATTACTATCAATATTTAAGGAGCATACTCGGTACATGATTCTCATTCGAATTATGTAAAAAAAATAGGCACTTAATTTTTGACAAAATTTCCGTATAAATAAATAAAGTGTTGACACGTTCCAAGTGTTCCAAGTGTGGACGCGTGCGGCGGCGTGCTGATACAACAACACGCCGCCGCGCGCGAGTGTGTGTGTGTGTGTGTGTATACCTAATCTGTAGGGTGTTCATACGATGCGTAATTAATTACATAACTTTTGGTTAACTTTACTTAGAAGTTTATTAATATTTATGTTATATTAATTTTTATTTTGTCATATATGATCGTCAAATATCGATAGTAATTCACCAGTCACCCTGTATATTGTACATACATCGAAACAACAATTTTTTTAAATTTAACGTGTCTGTCTGTTTGTTCCCGCTAATCTCTGAAATGGTTGGACAGATTTTGACAGGACTATAGTAGGTAGCTGATTTAATTAGGAGTAATTTAGGCTACTTTTGTTGCGATCCCAAAATTAAGCATAATTACGCGCAGGTGGGAGGCGGGCGTATGTGGCTTGTTCAGTTTTTAATTATTTTTACGCAAACGAAGCCGCGGATAACAGCTAGTTATTTATAAATCTTTACATATAATAGTTTAAATATACGTTTAAGATTGAAAAACTGAAAACGCTACCTTTTAACAATAATTCGTAGTAACGCTAACAGTAACATATAGGATAAATAATACACGTGGAGAGTCGCGGGCAAAATCTACTAATAACCTGAGAATGGTTCTCACATAGTGGAAAATATTTCAGTAAAATACATTACGTTTTGGAATTTCTAATTTTTATTTAAATATCTAAAGCATACAATAATATATATTATGTAAATAAAGTCACAACCGTGATAATATTACACGATAATACAAACTTGGTATTTTCGTTAAATTCGTCGTAAAATTATTTGTACACCTCATTTTATATATATCGCTAATGAAAGTGAAAAATAAGTATTTGATCATAATCATGTTACATGATTTTTGACAATAAAAAAAACGCAATTTTGGGGGGGGGGGGAGGGGGAGGGTCTCGTAAAACGTTACGATGCGTTACAGGGGCGGGAGGGGGTGTCTCTTACAAAACGTTACGCAGCATTGTTTCTAAAAAAAAATATTAATAAAAACCCCCAAACTGGCAACTCTTTTCATATACATTACATTATGTTGAGCAGATCGTATTAGTCTGGTCGATATTTTTATTTGCTATTCCAAGTTTGCAAACCTCTTAATTGATATTTTACGGGGAATACCTAGATTGCATTGTAAGTCTTTTAATGTTGCTTCCGTGGTCAGTATTCGTTAGTGTTTATCCGTGAGTTCATAGTGTTCATACTGAAATTTCTTCAGAAGAGGGAGATTTGTATCAATGATCTTACTTCATTTAATAGATTAAAACTATACCAAACTATTACATATTGTTTTACGACTTTGGATGAAATTGATCACTTGAGTGTTACGTAACGTTTTGAGAAGGGGGGGAGGGGCTACAGAAAAACATTACTGTGCGTTACGACGGGTGAAGGGGGGGTCAAAAATCTTCGAAAATTGCGTTACGTAATACTTGAACGCTCCCTTATCTATGACAATCCATAGATTATAAAACACATAGATATGTTATATAAAAATTAAAAACTTAACCTTCTTGCTTGGAAACGAAAATTTTATCAAGACGAAATTACAATAACATATATGTATATAATAAACATAGACTATATTATATATATATGTTTTGTTCAATTTAATATCTTCTATTATCGTTCATATAGTGAGGGGAAGGTAAAAATAATCATTTTAAATTGAATCATATCAAGCAATCAGTATTTTATGAGTACATTGACACAACACAAAACAAATTTTCTTCACTAAAACATACCTACATGAGATTTGGTTAACACGCTTCTAAAAAGTTCTTAATGATTTTTAATACAAAGAAGATTTTATATTAATACATTGGTGGTCAAAATATAACTAAATATTATTAATTTAAACATCTTTAATACATTCCGAACTCCTTCGAGTTTCCTCCACACAGCATTCAAGATTATAAATCGTTCAACGAATAAAAACGTTTACATTGGCACAATATTAAACGAATCTAGTGCGATTGAAGCCATAGTATATACAGGGTGACTGGTGAATTACTATCGATATTTGAGGACGTGATATTTGACGATCATATATGACAAAATAAAAATTAATATAACATAAATATTAATAAACTTCTAAGTAAAGTTAACCAAAAGTTATGTAATTAATTACGCATCGTGTGAACACCCTACAGATTAGGTATACACACACACTCACACATACGCGTGCCTGGGCGTGGTGTTGTATCAGCACGCCGCCGCACGCGTCCACACTTGGAACACTTGGAACGTGTCAACACTTTATTTATTTATACGGAAATTTGGTCAAAAATTAAGTACCTATTTTTTTTACATAATTCGAATGAGAATCATGTACCGAGTATGCTCCTTAAATATTGATAGTAATTCACCAGTCACCCTGTATATTTCGGCTTAAAAACTTTATTTTATATGTTATGATAGAATTTTAAGATATTCATAGATAGTTTCTATTGAGGAATTAATTTTATTTTTAGTTTTTATTTCTATAACGTCACGGTGACTATTATGAGCATTAACGAATGAAAAACTTGAAACAATTTGTAATTAAATGAAACTAAAATTTTCAAATTATTTCACATATTTTATTCATTTTTAAACTACATACTCCCATAATTTCAGCCTTCGGATACTTTTCAGCAACCGTAATTACGTGCAGACAGGATGAAATACGCATAGTAATCCGAAAAATATGATGTAGTGTCATTTAAATGAACACTCGCGAAAGTCTTAGATCTCATTATCTACAAATACTTCAACGATAGTAACTCGTCTTTAGGATATTTCATTCTGTCTACCAAATGCGTATTTATTACGTATGGCTGCAAAAATTCACTGATAACTATTGGGGTCAATAAAAAAAATAAACAAGGAAATAATAATTCCTATTATTTATTATATTTTAACAGATAAAGTATTAAACTTGTCTGAAATACTACAAGTTTATAGTGATGTTTATTTTCGACGTTTATGTATACATTATTTGAATAACAACAATTACTACGGCTATAGAAAGAATTATTAATTAATCTCAATTAATGATAATTATTTTATTATTTTTTTTACTAATAAATTATGATATTATATAATAACCGCTTAATAAAAAAATCTTTCGTTAAATATGTGATGTATGTATATGTAATTATAAATGTTTTTCATGATTCAATTAGTTTTTTTTTGTTTCTTTATTCTAATAACTTTTTATATTTAAACAAACTTAGAACCATTTCACTTTTTTTAATAATAATCTCAACTGATTATAAGGAGTATACTTTAACAGTATGGTTAGTCCGAGTTCGCATTATCACAGCATACGAAGCGTTTCCCGTTTCTTATTCCATGATTTACGTTAATACTATATTGTTTGAAAATATTACGAAAGAAAAACTGTTGACGCTACGTATATAGTATGATAGTAGATACTCGGACTAAGCAGACTATAGTTTACACTAAGTAATACTGGAAAAATTATCAACACTATACTGCAATGTTTTATTTCTTCAAGTACTAAGATATTCTTAACATATTCTTGAACTATTAAGTTATTTCGCAAGTACTAAGATATTCTTAACATATTCTTGAACTATTAAATGTGATAGAAAATATATATTTTATATGTACCAATTTTAAAGTATGTAGATATATTTTATTTTGATATCCATAAAATATTTATTTCTTAACACACATCTGATATATAATATAATTTTCATTCACAATAACGGATTCATCAGCGATTATGGAAATTGTGAATTCCAGATACATCAAAAACTAGCGGCGGCCGCGCCTTTAACGTGTAGTGAATTATGGAACAAATATGTGATGTGAAATTATTTAGTCAATTTTACATCATCACAAGCAGTGGCGGCTTTACCTTAAGTGCACTCGTGCGCTGAACCACCAATTCCAAAGATTTAAAAATTACAAAATATTACTTCATCTTTATTTTTAAATTACCATTTTATTATTTATTTTTTAAACATATAAAAACGTATAAAAAATTAAATTTCCTAATTATGGTCAAAAAGTTTGAGCGCTTTACTAAACTCATATCGTGCGCTTCGTCGAGTGCACGAGGACTGCTAATACATCTTGTATGGGATACGCATTAATACGCCTGACACGTGAAACAAAAGAGAGTTCATAGAAATGTACCGAGTAATGAGTCGGACTCGAGCGCCGCACGAGCGGCGGAAGATTACCGAGAGCACCCGATGTATGACGAATTGAGCCATGATTGACATCTCGTTATATTGTTTTGTTGCATTTTTTAATTTTAATATTTTAATAAAGTGCACCACCGGTTCCATTACCCACCGGCCGCCACTGATCACAAGTAAGACTAAGAGTATTGACTTAAGAAAATAATCTTTACATAATACCCATAAGTAAAAAACAGAATATATATTTTTATTATTATATTTAAAATAGATTAAAAACAAATACAGATGAATTAATAACCTCCTCTTTTTGAAGTCGGTTAAATAATTTGTAATTACATTATCAAACAGAACTCTATTCCTCGTATCATTAAAAAATATATATATCTCAAATCAAGAACATGTCCTAACGGTAATATTTGAATTCGTTAACCGTTTTAATATAAGCCATTTTGTTAATCAAGTTAAACTTGTTATAAATAGTCATTAATATTACGTTTGTTTGATCACGTAAACGTACCGGCTATCCTCAGCCGCGTGACTCTTCTGTGCCCGTTAAATATACCGTAAGAACGTAGAAATTACGATTCGTTCCACAAAACCGATGTTTTAAATACATATAATATGTTGTTTGAACAACACTATGTATTTGTAAACAAAGATATTTTAATACTGGTTGTCGTAGTACATTTGAGAAAAAAAAGTTTATGTACAATTTCAATACCATTCTTATCATTTGATTTGTTTATTTTAATTACCGTAGTGGAAAATTAAAATATTATTATGTATCCATTAAAGTATACTAATATACCCTTCTATCTACCATTGAAAATCACATAAAAGAATTAATTGGTGATAGAGATTGTTTTTGTAAAGAGCCATAACAATTTACTTAATAAATACATTAAAATAATCCTATGAATAATTCAATGCTAATAAGACTTAAGATATACAAATAAATATTGGCTTATAGATGTTATTAATATTCATGTTTAAGGATAATATTCCTTTCAAATGACCACAGATTAAAAGATATGTATATTTGAATATATAAAATTTACAGGTAATAAAAAATATAAGTGTAATCTATATCACTCAAAAAGTATATATATATTGTTGAAATATTACAATCTTTTAAAAGTATTTGTTTTTAATGATTAAATGATTTTTACAGACATATGTATGTTTTAAGTGTATAATACTGTTTATATTTGATAGTTATTACTTATAAATATAAAAAGTATTGCTGTATAACATATATATTTTCTTGGCTATGATATCTGCATTGCTTTCAAAATAGATTGGAAATTGTATAAGTATAGTTATATAATAAGGCTTTGTGTAATGACAGTTTATGAAATATATGAAAAAAACTTACCCGTTTATATATTTCAAAGCTCGTGAACTGTGTCGCTGCATATGGGAATATTCTGACCATCTGTGCACCGTTTCCTTTGTATAGAGCTATAAGTGATTCCTGTTTCACAATAGCCATAAGACCTCCAAACACACCATGGTGCTTGTAATGCGAGGACTGAGCTTGGAGGAGGATCTTTATACGATCTAACGGAGCCACTGTAGTCTTGGCGCACATACCCGCAACACCTTATAGTAAGTTTGAGGTTTTAATAGATATAAAAATAATATGTCTAGGTTTTTCATAATGTTGGTTATTAAAATAATTTATATATTACTAAATAACTATATTATGTATATAATAAAGACTTCATTGAATCAATAATTATTATTAAACAAGTTTTAGTGTACATTTATTAAGGAAATGTAATTTTTAATATTTCTAATTACTCAATGTTGTAATTAAGTTTTTATAATATTAATTATTATTTAATGATATATTAATTACGGCACAAAATTAATAGAGAAGTTAAATGGCAAATGAGAAACTAAAAAAAATTGTTAAAGCCTCATCAATCACTGTTTTGATAAGAAAATCCAATTTAGGGATTACATGACTGTATCTTAAGAAGTTTTTACTCGAAATTTAGGTTGTTTTTACATGATAACTTACCACCAGCAAGTAAATTCTTTAAAATAAAGTCCAAGTTATTCTTCTGCTCCATTGTGAGTGCCATTTTCTTGGAATTAGTCCAGGATATTTTCACTTTTGACCCACAGGCCTTAAGAATGCTATGAATCACTTAAATAATTTCTACTAATTATGGACGAGAGGCGACATTTCTTTACCATTTGGCATGCAACATTTTAAATACGCTTTCACCTGTTATACCAAACAACTTTCTTCAAAAAACCATGGTGACGTTAACAATGCTATTTTTATACCGCTAAAAATATTTAATAGAATAGTTTTAACGTAACTATAATCGATTTATTAGCATTTCTTATGTTACTGTATTCACTAAATTCCTATACAAAAGTTCCGTGCACTTTAAAAATAATATGAAACACCAGTAACGACGAAGCGCTGACATTCGTCTGGCGAAGTGACAACTCACAATACTAAAGAGTAAAGTCTAAACAGTAAACTTCAAAGTGAAAGTGCTTTGATTGAAGTATGTCGTTTCAAAATGACATTGACAGTTTTTGAATGAAAATCACGCATATAGCCTTTTTAATTTACCTCTATTTTTAAATACATTTTGTTTATTAAAATGTGTATGTTTTTATAGACGTTAAACAAGCATACATTTTACTACAGAAAATTATGCATAGGTGTCGCCATCTGTTAGCCAATTAGATTCCTATGATATATTAAAATCATATCCAACAAAATGCCTTTAATTCAGCTATCAATACAACCATCATATTTATGGTTTTAGTAATATATTAGGTACATTCTGTTAAAATTTATACGTATTACATATGTTTTCACATTATTTCATCGATCTAAGCTTCAGAAGGTCACCTTGGATGAGCGGGAAAGCTTAAAAGTGTTGATTCAAAGACAAATCACGGTTTCGTTTCGGCTGCATGCTAACTTGCACGTTGCATCCCACTGATATAAACGGGAGAGCGGCAGTAGAAATTTCACAATGTTTTCTGAATTGCGTGATGTGATATCATCTCATCATTTATTTTATTAGAATTTCTTTAAGTGATTTTATTAAATATATTGTGATAAAAAAACAATTAACATGGACGTACCGGCAAAAGGAAATATATTGGGGCGTAAGAAAATATTTTATTATAAATTTAAATGCTACAAGATTTTTATTATTTAATTCATTTGTATGGCTTACTGCTTTACAATATTAATTGTTTTATTACTAATTGACCACTCAAATATTTCGTTTTAAGTAATAAAATACATATAATGATTTTGGATAATATCTATATTTTAATTACTTAAAATATTTAATCAATATCTAAAATTATCGATCCAGATTCTTTTATTTTTTCTTTCTTTCTCTATTTTTATGCCAGTAAGTGAAGCCATGAAGCTTATCATTAATTTTAAAAACTTGATTGCGATGGTAAAAGGTCAACGACCTCATACTAGTTCATTTTTGTCTAACAAAACAATGATTTAAAATAACCGCCTTCTTTTAACATTGCATGACTATACTTATTTTTGTGTTATAATATTTCGTATTATATAAAAATACATATATATTGAATTTACTATTTATAGTCGAGCTTACTATTCGTAGTAGTGAGTAATTATTTCAGAAATTAACTTCGCAATTATTGATACGCTATTGATTTTATTATTTGTACATAAAACATAATGTAAATAAATAATATATAAACGATTTGTGTTTTAAGGACTGTCTGAATACTTAATTCCTTTAATACTTGAGATAACAAGATTTTTCTTAATATTTTTTTAAGCGAACAAATAGTTATCATTAAAATAGGTTTTTATGTTTTAAGATAAAATAGCAGCAGTAGCAATATTTATTCAAGTGTGAATGATAAGGATTTAAAATTTGAATACACAGATGTTCTTATTTAGATTGTGAAAATATAAAGAAATTTATATGCCTGTATATAAAACCTTTTTATAACAAAAAATTTTTCAAATTATAATTTTAAATACGTATTTAGAGTTTAATAATATCGGTGTACGTGAATAATAATTATAACGTAGTAGTGATTACTAGGGTACTAGAGGAAAATAACAACCAATTAAATGTTTGTAAGATAATTTAATTTGTATATACTACTTAGATAGATACTATATATATACTAGCTTACCGCCCGCAGTTTCGGTTCGGTTATATCGCGTTTCCAAGAGAACCTTTCAAAAGTCTGGGATAAAAACTATCCTATGTTCTTTCTCAAGGTCAACCCTATCTCTGTACCAAATTTCATTAAAATCAGTTCAGTAGTTTAGGCTTGAAAGCGTAACAGACAGACAGACAGAGTTACTTTCGCATTCAAAATATTAGTAGGGATATAAATGTACATTGTTAATATATGAATCATCGTTCTATTCAATCATTTTATTTCATTTATCAATGATTATATATAAAATAAACTGTTTTAATTAAAAAATATATATATTGGGAACATAATAATCAGGTTTGTATGTGTGAGTTATATGAATATGCGTACGTGCGTTTACACATGTATGAGTGGGCAAACAAAATAATGAATTAAAAATACAGCTATATAATACATTTTCAGGTTTTGTACCAGCGCGTTATATTCTTGCTATCCTGGGATCTATAGGGATGGCGATAGTTTACGGGTTAAAGGTCAATTTATCAGTGGCTATGGTGGGCATGTTGAATCATACTGCCATCAAATCTACAGAACACCATGACGCGGAGTTAAATTCTACCATCAGTGATGTAGAGTGCCAGCCGGCTAACAATGACACACATGGACAGGTAACTAGACTTGAAATTCTCAAATATTTACATAAGCAAGCTAACAAATTAAAAAAATATGATCTATTTGTACCCTAACATGAGTTTTCATAGTCGATACTCAATACCAAACATCCACAGTTTGTGATCAATCATAGAATAAACAAAGGAATTTAAAAGTAAATTTAAAAAAGGTTTGTGTTTAATCCGGCGATCCAAACTCGTTTGAGGATAACCGTTATTCGTATTATTTAAATCTCTATACATTTTATACAGGACCTATATTTCACGTATGTATTCAACTGGTAAACATTTGTTTTAACTGCATTTAAATGTCACGCGATCGCAATCGTAAACAAATAAAACTTCGGCCATTTTGTTTTAATGACAACCTACTTCCAGAAGTGTAACATACGCAAATATAAAAAAGAGTTCATTGGTATATAAAATAATTTTATGATGATACCTCAAGGACAATCGAACTGAAATGAAATAAAAATAAGAAATGTATATAAAACTATAAATAGAATCCAACAATTCCATCGGATAATCATGATTTGATTACATTTGGATAAAGTCCAAAGTTATATACTGAGTAAAATATACTGATTGTTGTGTAATAACTGTTAAAGTATTTTTATTTCAACGATTTTTTAGTAAAACATTAATAAATGAGAATCATTTCAGTTAATGTAACAATAAAATAAATCAAAAATCAATCATAATAAATGATAATCAACAATTGAAGGGGACTTCTTTTTAATAGGTGACGCTTAAAAATTCAAAATGGCGACCTTGACCAAAACAAACAATTATAAGACACGCTTGCGTATTATGATATTCATAGAATATATTGCGTTTACGTGAATACAAGATGAAGTTCTGTATTAATAGCTTTTCTTACATTAGTAATATAGGTTTTGTTATTCCAAGTTCAATGCATACATTTTTTAAATGCTATTTATATCGGGGTATTAAACTTATAACGATACTTTAAAGCGGCACTTGTCTATTATGTTTAAGTGCACAAAATCTTTAGGTACATATTATATCGTTCATGATGTATAAGTTAGATTTTATATAATGCTAATGAAATTCATACAATGTATTTTCGTGAAAAAGTAAAAGAATAATTTAGTAGGTACATTTAATTATTTGTAGTAGTGGAGTAAAACCGGCAATCATATTTTTTAAATTTGTAGGAGGCCGACGGGCCATTTACTTGGTCGTCTGAAGTTCAGGGTATTGTTCTCAGCTGCTACTTCTGGGGCTACTTCATCTCTCAAATTCCTGGTAAGAGGAATTACAATACATTTTTTTTTAATATTTTGTTTATCTAACAGATTTTCCTTTGTATAATAATTTTTAATGTTACAATCTATTTGGTAATTTTTCTTTTTGCATTAAAACAATATTAAAATTAGAATTATTTAAAACAATATTTAGATTAGCTTTGCAAAATACATATTTAAATAAGAAATACCAATAGTTCCTTACTAATTATATAATGTCATCATAGAATTATTAAAAACTTTTGAAAGTGTTGCCATAATCGGGCAGTCATAATATTTGAAACATTTTCAAGGTGGTCGCATAGCGGAGTTGTTTTCCGCTAAATGGGTGATGTTCTTCAGTGTTGCCATCAACGTGGTGTGCACGCTGCTGACTCCTGTTATGGCGGAGTTGCATTACTTGGCCGCGGTGGTGATGAGAGTGGGCGAGGGTATCGGAGGGGTGAGTGATTTGTGAAGAAATAAATGATGATTTGTTATGTTTCCCGCCTTACGCGCGTCCCTCACGAGATTGCGTTTAAGGCAGACCCAATACCTCCTTCATAGACGATATCCCAAGTTAAGATCTAAGATTTTCGCGAGTACTCATTTAAATGAAACTAATATTTTCGGATTTTACTTCGCGTTTTATTTTTGATTAGAAACTACATACTCCCGACGTTTCGGTTACTTTTCAGCAAGACGAGATGTCGTCTGCCCGTGATCACGGCTACGCGAAGTAAAATCCGAAAATATTAGTTTAATTTAGATATCCCAAGTTCTTAAGACAATTTTAAAATCGCCCTTAAAACGTAACCTATAGGCTTTTCAGGCTTTTGTAACACGCCTAAAAGGTCTCTAGGCACAAATGTCGAGTTCGTTGCAAAGATGCATTTTCTACACGTTAGGTTTAGGGATGTTGAAAAAAAACGAAGAAAAAGCAATATATGTATTTAAACTTAATATTTAAGCTAACTTTACAGCTTAATTACATAAACAATATATTATGAAAGTTAATTTATGTAAATCATATATTTATCACGACAAATACATATAGGGCGTGACCTTTCCTGCGATGCACGTATTACTATCTCGTTGGGCACCTCCCGGAGAGAGATCTTTGCTGTCAGCTTTAGTGTACGCTGGCACAAGTCTTGGCACAGTCACGTCTATGCTGCTAGCTGGATTACTCACAGCAACCGCTGGTAAATAACTTAGATTGATTTAGATTTTGTAATAATTTAATAGGAAAAAATCCTTTTAAGCGTATTTTTTTTTTGCTAGAAAAAAATTATTCGGTTTATATAGATGAGTGTTCTGTATAATTTGTTTTTTAATAGCTATTTTTTCGTGCCTAGATTTTAGTTAAATCGTACATTTTTTAATGAATATTGGAAATATTACGTTGAAATGGAAATAGAAATGGAATGACACAGCTATTCATCTAAATCGCATTAAAAAAAATCAACATCACTTAAAAAGTTTTATTCCCTAAAAGAATTTACAATTTTCTTTATGTCCAAAAAAGAATTTACAATTTTCTTTATGTCCAAAAAAATATTTACTATATATGTTAATAATATAGGTTGGGAGAGCGTTTTCTACGTGATGGGCGGTTTGTCCGTACTATGGTGTGGCTTGTGGATAACGCTAGTAGCGGACGATCCCAGAACACAAAAACTCATCAGTTTAGAGGAGAGAGAGATGATAGTTAACTCTCTTGGGAGGAGAACTGGCAGTACTGAACGTAAGGTAGGACCTCATACTTATATATTTACTTTTGCACACATAAATATAGGTACACAGACAGAATAAAAAAGAGAAAAGAATATGAGCAGAATGTATACCAAGGTTTTATTGTTTAGTGTAATTTGTTATAGACCAGCTTAAGTAAGAGGATACTATAATAATCAACTAATTAAATATATTAATAAATTAACACAGATATTAAAAATTGAAAATATTTTTGGTATGGTAGATGTAAAAGTTACGTATATGAGACTTATTGATAGCTACATTAGAATTTTTGGTATGTTATTCTTACTAGGACTAATTTTTTTATCCATAAATCATACATAGTGCCAAAATAGGTTTAAAAGAACCTGAGAATTATTTATTTTGTTTAAATTACAGTCTCGTAATGAAATGGCCAAATTATACAGCTTTTCCTATATAACTATTTCTTTGTTGATCCTTAATTTTATAAGTATGTTTAAAAAGCTTTGTTTTGGAGAGTTAAAGTTTATGCTTTCACCTACATCATAAATCTATGTTTCAAATTTTTACCTACCTTACAGAATTGCCGTATTTTTCTGTATTGATCCTAATTTTTTTGAATATATTTACAACGATTTTTTAAGAGTTAAAGGTGACATATAACTTCTACCTTATAGAATTCTGGTTAATTGATCTCACGATCTTTATTTATTTAACTCTTTATTGCGCACCAAATATACATAAAAATAAAAAATATATTCTTTAACACAAAATATATTGGTGGAGCAAACGGCGGTCTTATGGCTTATAAGCCATTTCTTTCAGACAACCTTATTTTTTATTTCATCAATAATTCTAATTTTTTTATCAGAAGTTGCCAGTACCGTGGAGGTCGGTAATGACGTCAGGTCCGTTCCTCTCCATCTTGGTGTCTCACACATGTTCCAACTGGGGCTGGTACATGCTGCTGATTGAGCTGCCGTTTTATATGAAGCAGATATTGAAGTTCAATATGACCGAGGTAAACAATTACCAATTTAACTAGACCCAATTTAACTAGACACTCGCTCACATTAAGTATCCTTAATTAATAAGTTCCAAAATATAATTATAGAGAAATATTTTCATATAAACTTTATTTGGAACGATATACTGTAAATTATTTCTAATTTATATGAACCGTAATTCATAACACCAAAAAAATATAAGTATTTTCACTTTTTTGTTCAGATAAAATTAAATTTGACGTCCATTTTTTTTTTGGTCGAAAAAAATAGTAAGTACCATATGAAAAATATTTTGTATTATTTTATCCCAGAACGCTGTAACGACAGCGCTGCCGTTTCTTTCCTTATGGTTCTTCAGTATGGCGCTGAGCAAAACATTGGATTGGTTGCGAGCTAAAGGAAGTATTACAACAACCACTGCTAGGAAGATAGGGACTTTGTTTGGTGAGTTATAGTTTAAGAATATATCTATGTGTATATTTTTCGATAATAATCGGGTTATACCAAGTAAGGAAAACAAAACAATCGATTAATTATAAACATTATATTTCGAAACAGTTCACGAACTGAGTATGATTAAGATTGGTATTCAGAATTCGCGGGTTTTCTATAATAAGCATCTCTTATGTTCGAGTACAGTTTCAGACTTGATTTCTTATGTTCAGCGTTACTTCCAGTAATCTAAAAAATACCTGACGCCAGTATTCATAGTTTTCAAATTCAAGTTGATACTTAAATGTTGCCATTGCAAAGTTAAGTATTATAATTAATTATAAAAATCCTATATCTTATATACGTCTTTATTAAGATTTTTTTGTTAATGTTTTTATGGCTCTGAATACCCGTCTTTTTGAGCCTTCCATGTTGCCATACTTAATGTTTCCTATACGACTTTTTAAGATATTTCACAATGTTGTCATATTTAATATTTCCAGCATCAGCAGTGCCAGCTATATGTCTGTTCTGTCTCTGTTTCGTTGGTTGTAACCGTTCCTTGGCCGTGGCGCTAACAACAGTAGGCGTTACCTCGATCGGTGGAATGTTCTGTGGATTTCTCTCAAACCATATTGACATTGCACCTAATTTTGCCGGTGAGACATTTTATAACAATATTTTTTAAATTTAAATATAGAATAAGATCGCAATCTTTTTGTATTTTCAGAATATTATTATTCATTGGTTTACAATTTGTATTTAATTTTATTTTCCAGGTACTCTAATGGCAATAACGAACACGGTCGCAACTATACCCGGTATCGTCGTGCCAATTTTCGTCGGTGTTCTGACACATGGGAACGTGAGTGACATATAACATACAAATTGTTTCTTTTAAGTAAATTTTCTTTCCGCAAATTTGACTTGGGAGTAGGCTGGTGATGATAAAAGCGTTACGAAAAGTGTGATCGGGCGAGGCGAACGAAAGTGAGAGGCAAATATAAGTTAGTAAAGGTAGATAGAGAGTGTTACGATTCGTATATTACTGAAGGGGCAAGGGAGAAGGCAGTACGCGCGCATATTTTCTTTCTTGCTTTCTTTCATAGCCAGTGCGTGAAATATTTATACATTTATATCTCAGTCAATGATAACGCGTAATGAATTCAAATATTTGCACCAAATTGTATATATAAACATATGCATATACAGGGTGACTGGTGAATTACTATCAATATTTAAGGAGAATACTCGGTACATGATTCTCATTCGAATTATTTAAAAAAAATAGGCACTTAATTTTTGACCAAATTTCCGTATAAATAAATAAAGTGTGGACACGTTCCAAGTGTAGACGCGTGCGGCGGCGTGGTGTTGTATCAGCACGCCGCCGCACGCGTGTGTGTGTGTGTGTGTATACCTAATCTGTAGGGTGTTCACACGATGCGTAATTAATTACATAACTTTTGGTTAACTTTACTTAGAAGTTTATTAATATTTATGTTATATTAATTTTTATTTTGTCATATATGATCGTCAAATATCACGTCCTCAAGTATCGATAGTAATTCACCAGTCACCCTGTATAGATGGAGCGAAAGAAATGTTACTTCAGTCGTGTGGCCTAAAGCACACTGGTTTTAATATTTTTTATCAATGCATCGCTATGTCTTAACTATAAATAATGTTTTTACAGCAAACAATATCAGCGTGGAGGATTATATTCTTTGTGACGATAGCGTTGTATGCAATCGAGATAGTAGTTTACACTTTATTTGGTTCCGGGGAACAACAGGCATGGAATGATGTGGAGGAAAATAAACCGGAGCAAAAACCGCTTCATGATGAACAGAAAACCCAAGTTTAATCTTATTAGTTATAGTTGAGATTTATCTTATGTCGATATATAATTAATTAAGATTTTGCTCTTTTAGCCTAATAGTTTACTGAAATGCTTAAAAAACCTCTATTAATTAAGGAATATGGAAGTATTTTTCATAGATATATAATCAACATATATTGTAGTAGTTAATTTATTTAATAATTTCTATTTAATTAGAATATGCATTTAGTTAAAATAGTTATCTGAGTTTTTACTAACATGAGACTAATACCTCCACTATTGTCATTTTTGTGACACAACTCCACTTTTTTGTCTTGAGAACAATTATAGTTTTTATGGAGTCCATAAAAGAATATTATAAATCTATACTCGGAGATAAACTAAGTTTATATACTATATACCCCTGTAGTCACCCTGACTGGTGAATTACTATCAATATTTAAGGAGAATACTCGGTACAGGATTCTCATTCGAATTATGTAAAAAAATAGGCATTTAATTTTTGACAAAATTTCCGTATAAATAAATAAAGTGTTGACACGTTCCAAGTGTTCCAAGTGTGGACGCGTGCGGCGGCGTGCTGATACAACACCACGCCGCCGCACGCGTGTGTGTGTGTGTGTGAGTATACCTAATCTGTAGGGTGTTCAAAAGATGCGTAATTAATTACATAACTTTTGGTTAACTTTACTTAGAAGTTTATTAATAATTATGTTATATTAATTTTTATTTTGTCATATATGATCGTCAAATATCACGTCCTCAAGTATCGATAGTAGTTCACCAGTCACCCTGTATAATTAAATAACTTATATAATTGAAGTGTCCAAATTAATTAAGAATATTGATGTAGAATGATCCAGAAATAATGAAATGACTCTACTCACTGCCAACCATACATTATAATATTAAAATATTCCTTTTTTAATTTTTTTAGATTTTTAGTAAAATATAAATTATTCACTATTTAACCTTGTACTTATATGAGCCAGAATATATTTTAATAAGTATTAAAAATTTTATATGTAACTAAATATATTAAGCAAAATTTTTTACTCGCCAAAGATTTGATGTACTTACATGATTTAGTATTAAAATATATAATCAATACTTTTGTTTTATTATCCGCACATCTTGATTATTTTCCTAGTTATAATAAATAAGTTACTAAAAAAATATATTTAAGTATAATTTATTTACAACATTTATTACTTAAAAATTATACATAGAAACTAAAGACACAATATACATATATATATATTCATTTAACTCTAACCAGTCTAGATACATAAGTGGGTCCGAAATTAGCTGATATATCCGGTATAATGAGTTGACCATACTTTGGTTTGATAGAACCCTCACCGAGACACAGAGTGCTGTTCAAAGCTCTGAATGGCACCGATAGATCTCTGGAAATATAACAATAAAATTCATATATTATATAATAATTTTACTAATTACATATATATAAATTATATAAAAAATATCTTAACTTTTGTTTGAATTTAAGTATATAAATATACAACAGTGACAGTTAAGCATATATATGAATTGAATATTTAAATTTTGACTACTTATACAACGTGTAACATAATTAACGCACACCCTGAAAGTAGTTTGATCAGAATCGGATACTGGATCGATTTTGATAGTTTTTTATGTAGGTCATTTTTTTTCTCAAATTTAGATAGAACTAAGTGAATTATAGTCACCCTACACACAGTTATCTAAACACTTCATAGAAACGAAAATTAATGGAAACGAAAATGGATCGTAAGTCAGGGTATTAAGATTTTTAAAATGAAATATTTAATTTGTAATCATCATTCAATTAAAGAAAACTGATACTTATTTCAAGGCTAAAATAGTATTTACTAATAACTACGCACACAACACCATAGCGACAACCGGCACACAGCAAGGTCACTACAGTGCATAAAAGAAAGCCGCGTAATACAAAAATTATTACTTTCTCCTTCTTTCTATGGCTTAATAACATTACAATAGAGCGAGACGGCAGGCTAATTCCTGGAATCAGAGTAATAATAACTAAACATCGAAGTCAACAAAATGTGTTTTGGGTAAGTTAGTCGCGCCGCGTCCACCTTATCGAAAGGAGGTCAAGTGTAAAGTGCAAATAAAATCTTAGTCGCGCATTTCGCTGTTTCGTTTCGGTACACTAACATTCAATACATAAAGTACCTACGCACGTGTCCATTACGTCCTAGATCAGCTGATTTGACGCTACTCGACTTTTTTTTGTGGGGGCGAATTAAATCGCTAGTTTATATATAACACAGAGATAACAAGTGCCGAGGAACTAAAAAATAAGATAATAACCGCCTTTGTAAAAGTGAAAAGTGACATTGCAGTATTATCTAAAATAAAACCACAATTGCGAAAACGGTCATTAAAGTGCATTGAACAAGGCGGTGGACATTTTGAAAATGTTTTAAAACGACAACGCCGTGCGAGTGCAAATTAAACTGTAAGTTTGTTTATGATCTTTAAATTATTGTAAATATTTTGATGCACACCATTTAAACAGGCCGACTGTGTTTAACTTTGCCGTAGGTATTGTGGTGTCCAATCAAATCACGCGTTATCAGCTGTTTAATAATTCTTATTTACAAATTTATTTTAAAAAATCAGTAATTATAAAATATTGGCTTCACATTAAATAGAAAATTCAATGTCAACAATCTAAAGCTTGAAAAGTGTGATGGAAAGAAAAATCATAAATCATAATGTAGTTATTTCGTGTACTTATTATTACCTACTTCTTATTATTGTCGGACGGCACTCGGAGAGAGGGGCGCGGGCGCGGCGAGTACATTGTGTCTGTCTGTGTGTGTGTGTGTGCAGCGGAGTGTCGCTGAATAGTTGACCATATTATTTGCACGAAATTGGGATAACTAATTTCACAAATAAAAATGCAAACGCACATATAAATAATATTTGGTGTATGCATTACGTTTATATCATTATATTCGCATTGGGGTACTTGAGGGTGTGCGTTAATTACGTTACACGTTGTATATATTAATTATACATAAAAACTTCCAAATGGCATATTAGTTTTTAAAACCATTCTTTTATTTGAATAATCAACATTAATTCTCACACAAATATTCCCAATGGTAAAAAGCTATCAATTCACCTCGAAAATAAATCAGTTCAGTAGTTTAGGAGTAAGCAGATAAGGGGCCGTTCAAGTATTACGGAAGCAGATTTATTACAATTATTTACCCCCCCATCCCTCTTGTCAGCAAAAGTAAGCAAAGCTCTTACCCTCCCTCCCCCAAGCTTACGTAAACATTTTCAATTACTGTATTGTTTTTTTTTCATATAAATCCATAAAAAAAATTATAATTATATTATTTTACGGATCTTCTCGATGTGATGATTAAAAAGTAAATAACTACCGATGACGTAATCATCACCTATACTCCCCTACCCCCCATGTCATCCAAAATAAGCAAAGCAAAGACCTCCCGCCCCTCCATAGTGCTTACGTGATACTTGAACGACCCCTAACGAAAACAAACATACAATTATTTTTTATTGACTATAATGTTTATAATTTATATCTTACTTTACGGCAGCTATGATGCCGTGGTCTCTGAAAGCCTTTGTTAGAGCCGCGTGGACAACGCCGTCGTTCTGTACGGGGCTTAACGAACACGTGCTATATACCGCGGCGCCGCCTGCCTTCAAAAGCCTGAGGGCGTTACTGAAAACAATACGATTTTGAGTTAAATAGTACCTTAGTATGAGAATTTATAATCAAAAAATATTAAGAGCATTAACAGTTTTTTATTTATAAATTTACATTAAAATTATGAAGCGCGAAGGTTTCATTCATTGACTGTCGGCTACAATATTTTTTATTGTACATGAACTTAATACGTTTGTACTGTCGGTGTTAGGGTAAACGATTTAATTCTAAACAGGTAACATATATATTAGTTAATTATAAACATATATATATGCGGAGTGTGTGTGTGACGGAGTGCGTCCATTGCAGGTATTGTAAACTATCGGGATCGTAAATTTGATGAGGTAAAACAAATAACAATTATTACAAGAGGGACTGCAGCAGATTACTTCGGAAAATTGGAAGCGTTGTGTGGAGCATGTTATCAAGGAAGAAGATAATTTTTATTCCAAAATCGATGAGATGATTGATAAAACGGTAGACAGCTTTGTGATACATGTCACTGATTTTGACACAGAAATGGAAACATCTGAATCTGACGAATAATTATTCTTAAATAATATATGTTAATTAATATTTGTTACTTAATAATTTATTAAATCTTAAACAAATTCATTTTTTTATTGGTCCAAATGTTGTGAGGTCCTGAACACTTGTTTACAAAATTTATAGCTTCTCATGACGGTTACTTTACATCCTTATAATGAATTGCATTATTATAATATTTTACTTACACTAATAACTGTGACTGTAGCTCAGGTATTCTAAGTCTCTCTTTAACTCTGTCGGGTCTGAATATATTGTTATCATCTTCCATCACGGAGTGTCTGTCTGTTGTACACGGCACATCTACTAACACCTGAAAAAGGTAATAAGATATATATATATATATATATATATATATATTTGATTAAACAATTAAAAATATATGTTTATATAATTGTTAAATTCTTAAGTAAAAATATATGATTATTGAAAATAATCCTGACAAAGTATTCTTATTAATATTATTATGTATTTTTAAATGTTATGTATCAACTTCCTTTTATTCATACATAAATTGTGAAAAATGACGATTTATATGATGTAATAGTAACAGGGTTATTAAGGCCGTTGAAGTTTTTAAATATATAATAGTTATATATTTAAAATAATTTTATATATAAATGAAAATACATATGAACATTCTATATAGATTCTAAATAGACACATACATTACATCTTGAATTTAAATTTAGTACAAAAGAAATTGACAATCATTTTCAATTGAAATACTTAAAACAATCCCTACTAATATTATAAATGCGAAAGTAACTCTGTCTGTCTGTCTGTTAAGCTTTCACGCCTAAACCATTGAACTAATTTTAATGAAATTTGGTACAGAGATAGAGTACCTTGAGAAAGAACATAGCATAGTTTTTATCCCAGAATTTGAAAAGTTCTCTTGGAAACGCGATATAACTGAACTCCACGCGAGCGAAGCTAAGGGCGGAGAGCTAGTACATTATATTTATCAATGCGAACCCGACATTAACTAATGTTTATAATTTTTATCTGGTCTCGTTGGCGCATAATATATTGAACATCAAACCTTATCGAATCCCTGGTCATCAGTGTAGTTTCTACCGTCTGTTCTCACAACACGTACACGTTCACTCCAAGAGCTGTTCGTCTCATAATCCAGCAGATAATCTCGGAAAACCCTCACCAACCTGCGGAGGTATTAAACATTAAATAAGAGCCCACTTGCTGAGCAAAGGCCTCTTCTCACATGGAGAAGGTTTGAGCATTAATCACCACGTCTACTCAAGACGGGTTGGCGATTTCAAAGTTATGCATAGTTTGAGATTATAAGTCCTGATTTCCTCACCATGTTTTCCTTCACTGTCTGTCATACCATATATTCCATATAAATAAATGGAATATACGGTATATATCCATTTAATTATATGGAATATATGGTAACCTGGTCAATAGATATAAAGGCTACTCCGGTAAACTAAAATCTCCAGATCATATATAATAATTGGTTTATCTTATCCATAACTTTGGAAGCTCTTGATCTATGCCATTTTTGCCATATCTATGCCATTTTTGCCATGCCATAGACAAATGTTGCTAACCTTGCTTCTCATAAATAATCTAAACATCTAGTTTTTATTAAACCTTATAACACAAGAAACATCTCGTAGGTCCTGTCACATTTTATAAAACTTAACTATGAATTAGCATTAGAAATTAGAATGTACATAATGTAAATAAATTATTTGGTACTGTATGTATTTATTTTAAGAATATTTAATAATGCACCACCCTATACTGTCTCTCAAACACAATCCTCTAATCCAAGGTAGTCTGTAAGAAATGGCTAATAAGCCATAAGGCCGGCTTTTGTTTCACCATTAGTTTTTAGTTTGTATTTTTTGTAATTGTGGTGTACAAAAAAGTGTTAAATAAATAAATAATATGTAGTGACGATGAGATCTATGATAGTGATGTAATCTCACCTGTTAGACCTGGATATAGACGCGTCATTAGCTACCAGGACATCTGGCAGTAAGGTCTGTAGTGTAGTGAGGGCCTTCCCTCCAGGTGCTGCACACAGCTCCAGCACTCGGTCCCCAGGTTGAAGTATTAAAGCCAGCACTGACACCACACTGCCGCAGTCCAACGGATAATAGTTGAATACACCTGGAGTTTTATAAGGCAATATATTTATATAATCTGTGTTCTACTGTTGTTTAATCTGTGTTTTCTATTCAGATGAAACTGATATATCCCTACTAATATTATAAATGAAAGTAATTCTGTCTGTCTGTCTGTTGCGCTTTCACGCCTAAACCACTGAACTGATTTTAATGAAATTTGGTATAGAAATGGAGTTGACCTTGAGAAAGACCATAGGATAGTTTTTATCTCAGACTTTTGAAAGGTTCTCTTAGAAACGCGATATAACCGAAACCCACGCGGGCGAAGCTGCGGGCGGAAAGCTAGTTTAGAATATAATGATTTCATTTATGATACAAATTGTTTGATGTAACAGAAGGAAAGTGAATTCTATAAAAAAACTGTTTCAAATATTGGTCACTGTGTTTATAAAAGTGTTTGAAACTAATTTTAGTTTGGTCATGAAATGAAAATTGATTATGATTTTGGTTTAATCAAATATCATTAACCTGTGAAAATAGTCAAACAAATCTGTAATACATATTTTAGAACTTTATAGACTACATACACAATTTGAAAAGATCAGTAATTATTTAATCCGTTTTTTTTTTGATAAATTAATAAATCTAATTTTAATGTATATCAACTGGCAACTAAGGTTATTCATCCAAGGAGATGTTTCAGCAACCGAATGTCTGATCGAGGTTAATTTATCTAGTTCCATTGCCCACTTGATTTTAATCAGAAAAAAAAAATAAAACAGACCACCAATTTCAAATTTTAGGGCCGGAAAACGGAAACCAAATAAAAAGAAACGGTTTGGTTCTATAACACTGAGGTCACTTGATTCAAATTAAATGAGAGTTTTTTCAAAGGAAACTAGTAAATATGTGAATGTACATAGTAGGAGTATTATTAATCGATGCTTATCTGTGGTTGTTATTACCTGTTTTACACCTTTTTGGTTCTGGGAATTTATATGCCTCACTATCTTTTTCATATGTCATAACTTTCAAATGTTCCGGGAACACAAACTCTGTCTCTGGTTCTATCAACAACGGAAAATCAGTGTTATCTGAAAAATAAAATATATTTCGATTAGTTAAATAACGGATACATTCCCAAATTAAGTTAAGACTTTGTTAAGTCTAATATACAGGGTGACTGGTGAATTACTATCGATACTTGAGGACGTGATATTTGACGATCATATATGAGAAAATAAAAATTAATATAACATAAATATTAATAAACTTCTAAGTAAAGTTAACCAAAAGTTATGTAATTAATTACGCATCGTGTGAACACCCTACAGATTAGGTATACACACACACACACGTCCACACTTGGAACACTTGGAACGTATCCACACTTTATTTATTTATACGGAAATTTGGTAAAAAATTAAGTACCTATTTTTTTTACATAATTCGAATGAGAATCATGTACCGAGTATGCTCCTTAAATATTGATAGTAATTCACCAGTCACCCTGTATAATATTTGAACTTTGTTTTTTAACAAAATTTTATTGTTAAACAATCACCAAGTACCTTGAATGATTATATAGTTTGAATGAGTAATTTTAAGTAATTTATAGCAAATAATTAAGTAAACATACTATTATTATAAAATGAATAATGTAGTGACTCTGGTACCCATTCATCGAGTCCTTTGATTTTAGTTGCCGGTACATATTGGTACAAGGCATCCGATGAGAGGCCCATTGAAGGTAGAACTAATCTCGATTCATCAATTTCAGCTTGATCTATAGCTTCATTAAGATTTGAGCCTGTGTTTCTGAAAGTATATTTTATATAAAACATCTATAAAAAGTAATATCTATATGGTTTTAATTTGATTTATAATCTAGCAAAAAAACTATAAGCTTTATATTAATATATTAGATAAAATCGGTATAAGAATCTAAGATTTTTATCTTTTCATACAAAAATTAAAATTACATACTAAAATGTCAGCTTGTATTACAATTTGAGAATTTCTTTACATATAACTAGCTTTCCGCCCGCAGCTTCATCCGCGTCAAGTTCGGTTACATCGCTTTTCCAAGAGAAACCTTTCAAAAGCCTGGGATAAAAACTATCCTTAGTTCTTTCTCAAGGTCAACTCTATCTCTGTACCAAATTTCATTAAAATCAGTTCAGTGGTTTAGGCTTGAAAGCATAACAGACTGACAGAGTTACTTTCTCATTTATAATATTAGTAGGGATTACTTACAATTCGTTATCTGTAACTAGTTCATCATTAGAACTGGTTAAAATTTTTTCCTCAGTAATTTCAAGTCTTTCAGGTACATTCTCGCCTTGGGGATAAATTTTGGCTATTTCATCACTCTGCAACTGGTTAATATAGTTTTGAAAGTTACTTTTATTTTCACTGTTTATTTCGGAAGGTTCTTGTGGTAGATACTGGTTGTTGAAGTCTTGTTGGATATTCATGAGTGTTTTAAGACAGTGTGCACCTGAAAGATAATAAGATTTTTATTTATCTACTATATATATCAGTTTATAAGGATAACACAATAATATAAAAGATACACTAGTTTTTATTTGTGTGGTAGCTATTATATTGGTCAAATTCTACTGAACTTGTTAGTTTTTTTTAAATATGTTATCATATTGCAAGGCAAAGGACAACACATTCTACTTTATTTATCGATAGTCCTTTGGTGTGAATATAAAACTAAGGAATAAACAAGAATTAAATGTTTACCTCTACCAGCTAAGTACTGCATAGTTTCTTCTGCATCGCCATAGTTATTCACAACGGCTACATATTTGGATCGTCGCTGTAAAGCCTCCCTCATTGGTTCCCATTTATCACCGAAAACTGAACCGTAGAATTCGTCAAAGTGGTTCATAGCTTTGTATTTTGGACCGGTTTTCTTTTTCAGTTTCGCCTATTTATGAACAGAAATAAACCAATATAAACTTCGTAAGAAAATATATTAAAGATCGGCGAAACTATATTTACCCAGTGAGTTTTCGACTTTGAACGAGCTTGTAAAACCAAATATGTATTTAGTTGAGAACTTTTAATGCTATTACAAAACGAGAACATGTTTATTTTAGATTTAACTTTATTGAGTAATTTATAAAAGCTATTATTTTGTTCTTTTAGGTTATTAAATATGAATTGAAAACAATACTGTGACAACTGTCATTGTCAAATGTCATTACAGCCACAGCCGTTTATATTTTTAGGTTATTATTATAATATTACACATTTTTTGTGTAAATTTATTTTCACAAGTGAAATAATTAAAAAAGGTTTAATTTCTGATTGCTCGTCCATAAAAAACGCTATTTTAATGATTATAACCATGGTTGTCATGGTGACAGATTCAAAGAAAAGGAGAAGTATATATCGCTCATTTATTTATCCTCACACCCGCGAACACTAAACTGTGGTGTATTGATTTGTTTACAAGGAGCGAATTGAGAGATTTTTCATGTGTATTATACTATGATATAGGTAGGTTCTGTTATAACCTTGTCAAACGATCGAGATAATAGTCCGACTTAATTACTCCTTTACGTGCCATAGTGTTTATCAGTAAATCGTGCCAGTTAAACTAAGCTCCGGGCGAAGTTTTAAGGGGTTTAAAAGCTTAATTACCTAGGAGCCACCCGCTTTATCGATTCCATCCCTGTCGTGTCCCAATAAGTGAAGACTACGAGTTAGTTACTCCATTGGGAAAAATGTTAGGCCTTCAGTGTGTTAAGTTTTCAAATATTTCTTCTGGTGGGTAAGATTTTTTTCTAAATCTATATATTATATTACTTTCAAGGATTGCTTAATTTTAATTTATGTTCAAGTTAAATATATCTTTTAAAGGTTTAATTCGCCGCGCACATTAAAATATGATTGAGAATTAGAACGTTATTGAAAGTGAAACAGTCATGTATGGGATGTTGAATGTCAGATGGTATGTAGGTATTCAGGTGGAATGGAAAACGGTAAGCTGGATAGGGTCCCAATTGGCCCAGTACACTTGGACACAGTGAGGTCACTCCACCAGACAGTGGTATCGCTAAGAACAGCTCTAGAAACATCTAAGAACGAACTACAGGAACTCAAACAGAAATACCAGCGACATTCACATTGCATCGAATATGAGGATATCATAGAGAAACTGACATTGGAAAACCATATATTAAGGAGGAAAATCATTGACTCCGGCTGTACCGAAGATCAGGATTCATATGAAGGTTCTAACGAACCTAATATAGGTAATATCGAAGATAATAGCGATGGTGGAATTCTAAATCCAAGAGATTCTTCGGAAAAACACGATAAAAAGAGAGAGTATACTGGGATAAAATCGACGGAAAATTTAGAAAATATTCTTGAGGAGAATTCAGTCGCTTCTGATAATACGAGTGTGCTTAACGCAACAAGTAGTGTTCAAGGGGACGTCCCACGAAGCTCCACTGAAACAAAAGATAGTGATGTACCACAAACTTTTAAGACTAAATTGGAATTGTTATCGAAATTCGATGTCAGGATAAAGGTTAAGACACTGAAAGACGGCAGCGTTATTTCCAGCACTACGTCTGATAGTGAATCTACGGTAGACGAGAAAACAGCTGATAAAACTCTAAATACGGATTCTGTGGTGGAATTTAAAGAGCATCGTGAGCACTTCGAGGATTTTAAGGATAATAAAGGAGATACGTTGAAATTTAAAACGTCTTCAACGGAAAATATTAAAATGGCGGTCCCTAATGAGGCGGAGGTAAAGTCTAAGGCTGATAAGTTTGACGTTCAGGTCAGGATTACTTCGGAAGACAGTCTCGTGGTGAAGGAAGGCATAGATCGTGACAGGAGGAAGGATACTCTGAATTTGGACGTCGATAATCTAAGTCTACGGTGAGTGATATATAATATATAAGACGAATAACACCAATTTTGTATTTGAGAAGATTTTGTTTATACGCACTCATAAATCTCATTTTTTTTTTAATTTTACCCATTTTTTTTTACCAAATGCATAGATTCAAAATAATTCACAGATTATAAATTCACGACATTATTTGAAGATTTTGTCATTTTCTAAATAAAAAAAATACAAACTCGAATATCTCTTTTAAAATAATTGAATATTATCTCTTTACACCTAAGTACTTTCATTATTATAAACTAAAATTTTTTGTTTACTTTAAGCGACCATTACTCAGCTATTAATAGAATTCATATATAAATTGAGAATCTTTTAATAAAACGGTCGTGTGTAAACGTTTTCATATTTTATAATTTATATCTAACTACAAATAGGCTTACTAAAGTTTCTTTGTATTTTGTAATTAACGACGCGGCTGTCAAGACACATTGAAATGTCAAAACATAAAAAGAAGGTTTTTCAGTTCAAAAATTCCATTTCATTTTTCCCTACAAGCCATGAATGTTATGAAAATAATAAAAAATATTTCAATATATATAAATATATTTTTTTTAATCAGTAACATTTATTTCAATTATTTAAACGCTTTTAATAAGTCTTAGTATAATTTAAGATAAATTACTAAATAAAAATCCAAGCTAGTAATTCAAAAACTAGCATTCAGTTTGTTAAGTAAAAATAAATTCGTTACTAAAATTTTACAACTTTTAATTAGAATTCGGATTTTTTTAGACGTTTTTTGTTTGAAATGCTACGCTTCTAGGCCGCGAAAAGAATTGTTTTGATTATTTTTTAAAAGCTTTTTAAGTTTTCTATAGACATTATATTAAATGATGAAAATTTGTTGGATTGCTTTTATAGAACCACATTGGCTGTATAGTGTTAATGATTTTTTTTAAATGATGTTAAAGAAAGTCAGACGTTGGTACTTCGTCCGGAGTTGCTATTATGTATTTTAATTGGCAGTATCGTGTGGATCTAAATATGTACATTTCATACATTTAAAAATATTTATTAATAATTAATTCGTATCATTACTCTCGACTTCGTATACGTAGTATAGGCTATTACTCCATTTTTTTAATATATCTTTTTACCTATACGTAAATATACATAAAATAAACACATTTTATAGTGAATCCGAAAGCGAATATATTATTCAAATTACGTTTAATTATTTTAAGTGACAAAAGTTTTCACAAGTAAGTACAGATAAATGTAAAAGAAAATTATTTCTTGTAGTATTACGTTGAAGATGTTCCCAAATGATTATTTCATTTACAAAAACGATAAATCGATCTTTCAGATCATTGTCTGAAGGTGATAATTCAGTTTTCTACGAGGGCGGAACAACGCCGCAGGATCCGAACTCAGCGCCGGACGATAAACAGGAACAGGAAAACGCTAGCGGCAATGAGTCAGAAGAAGTCGATGATATAGAACTCATCTTCACCACGGATGAGTCCAAGGATATAAGCAATTTACAGGTAATAAACCAAAGAGGTTTAGGTTTTGTTGCCTCCTTTCAGTTTGTAGCACATTTATTTAAAAAAAGATATTTGCTATTTTGTGAACCCCAATGTATTCGAAATTTAAAATCCTTTAATGACAATAATTTCTAATAGCCATGTAAAAACATATGAAGTTTCATCGTTTAGTTCTTGTAATCACAAAATTTATAACTCGTTTTATAACCTAAACGAAATTTTAAATAACTTTCTGCAAATTTTCAGGAGATGAATAATAATTATATGACAAATCAGATAAGTTTGAGATAAAGAATTCTTTATATATATATAAGAAAGCTAGATAATTGTAAAGTTAAGCTAATACAAAAGTACAAATAAGTTTCTGATCATTAGTTGCGTTACTTAATTTTATTTACGTAAACATGAACGTTGCGTATGTCTTGTCTAATGAGGTTCTACATTACGTGAATCGGAATAAAATGTACTCTACTTCATCGAACAACCCGCAAATGAGATATACTTTACTTGCTCATATTAATTGCACATGTAATATACTCTACTTTGTTACAGTACATGCAAATGTAATATACTCTACTTCATCATAGTACTTGCAAATGAATTATACTCTACTTCATCATAGTACATGCAAATGAAATATGCTTACAAAATGGCAATACATTCCCGTAATGGATTTGATCGTCCGTGTTCTTCAAGTTGATCGCGTGTTATGTTCCCATCGGTATAAATTCGAGTACCATGCATCAACCTCATTTATACTCACAGTTAATTCGAACTTTGGTTTCTACAAATTGTTTTGGAGGTCAATCGGATTACGAGCGCTGAATGCTCGCGAAATATTCCAACTCACCAAAATACATTCGTTATATGTTCTTCTTTAAGAGTCGTCTTTGGAAATCTATTAAAGGCTTCATATTAATTACAGGAAGACCTGGTTTCTATACAAGAAACTGACAATTGGACCCCAGCCTTATCTTCATCGACACATTCCACACCAGTTCTTATCAAGTTCCACACTCTGGACCCTGATTTCCAACCAGGCAGCAAAGCTAATGAAGCTAAACCAGAAATTCGTGAACATTCCTTCCAAAGAACAGCTACGGAAACTTCGTTGAGGATGAAAAGGATTTCCCTTCCTAGCGACAAGGACATACGTCACGTCGGTTTCAAGGATAAGGGAACTCTTGATCCACCCGGTCGTGGTATATTGAAGAGCTGCGACAATAGATCAGATAATTTACTGTACAGGAAGAGTCCGAATACTAGTACTAGAAGGTTGGATAGTGTGGACAGTTTGACGAGCGAATACCGCGGACTCAGCTTCGACAACACAAAATCGTCTAGCTTCGAGCTAGGTTCAAGCTTGGACGTGCTGCATAGAGACGAAAGTGTCAGCAATTTCAATAGAAACAGAATGGGACATCGGTATTCCGTGTTTGCTGCCACGGATATATCGAAATGCGGCACGTCCCAGGATGATCTGGCGAGTAATTTGAATGTGAGGAGGAATACGTGCCCAAATCCATTCCAGTACGGGTGAGTTGAGAACATTTTTCGTTTTTGCATCGTATAGCTTCGCAGGGATGGTATTATTTTCATTCATAATAGTCGATATATCTTAAAAAAGAGTTGGTTGAAGAGCCTATTTCAATACATTTTTGTTTCCTAGCCTATCTCGTGGTCTACGAGGTCGCAAACCGGGGCGTACCCGCTTGCTACACCAGGGCTTCGCCCCTCGACGCGAGAGTGCGGCTCAGACCGATCTGTCAGCCTTACCACCAAGATGGACCTCAGATGGATATCTGGCATATAAGGTATAAGAGAAAATAAACTTTAACATACATAAAATAGTATCTACTTCAGCATGATTAATAATTATTACATTTACATCATTTAATGAAGAACACAAGTAAGCGTATGAAAAATTATTGTTTGAAATATAATAAAATAGTTAACACAACACAGACATACATTTTTATAAAAACAAAACAGACAGTGCACATCTCCTCTCAAAACTACTTTAACATTATATTCGTATGTATATAAATATATATACATAGATCGTTACGACCAGAAGCCCTATTAAATAAATGTTATAATAGACATTAATATGGGAAAATGGTTTCAAGTCGAAGTATTTTTCTTCTATCTTGTATGACACATAATTCTAATTATTTCCTCCTCGGTCCAGACGTGTGTGACCCCGGGAGTAGCGCCCACGCTGCCTCAACGAACGACGCCCCGACGACCGCTGTTAAGCGACCTTGGTGAGTAAACTACCCACATTTTGATGAAATAATTTCATAAGCTCTCTGTTAGTAACTTGGATTGAACATGCTTTTAAGTTTGAAGGACGCAAGAAATTACCTTTAATGAGATCTAAGATTTTCGCGAGTTCATTTAAATGAAACTAATATTTTCGAATTTACTACATACGTGATTTTTATATTTGATTATAAACTAGATACTCCCGAAGTTTCGGTTACTTTACAGCAACCGTGATCACGGACAGACGGGAAAATTATCTTTATTGATTCGCTGCCTAAGCGACATTTAAGTTCTGTATATAAAAAGAGAAGTTATCGTAAAATACTTAAAGAATTATATTCTTGAATTGGATGTTAGTTATTTCCATCTAGCCACTTATTTCGCTTCATAAACAATCAAAACATGTATCTTCTCTTTCTTAAAGAGTTTAAATTTAGTGTAACCAACGTTTTTAAAGAATATCATTGAAATTAAATAAGTCGAAAAAAATATTGTCTTAGAGAAACAAGTCTTCTATTTAAAAAATTTCAATAGGACTATATTTGTAATGAGGCCTTTGGTAAATGCTTGATTGAAGCACTTCTAATTCCATATTCTAATCTTAGTATTCACTTTCTTTGACTCCTATACCCAGGCTTCACGTCGATGGTTCCGGAACTGTCTCGTTCAGCGGAGCCGCTCTGGGTCCGTAGAGTGCCCCCGTCACCCTGCGTGCCCCCATGTGGCCCTACCCTGCACCCACCATCGGGGTTGGAACCGCCACGATCACCAATATTCCGGTGAGATTTATAACATATCACTTTATTAATAAAATAAATATACCAAATCATTACTATATAGGTAAATCTAAGGTTAAAAAAATCTAGAAAAATTTCAAAAAGACAATTATTGAAATAACTATTCAATATGAATATACCATTCTGTTATAATAATTAAAATATAATCAACTAGCTTTCCGCGTTGAGTTCGGTTATATCGCGTTTCCAAGAGAACCTTTCAAAAGTCTGGGATAAAAACTTTCCTATGTTCTTTCTCAAGGTCAACTCCATCTCTGTACCAAATTTCATTAAAATCAGTTTAGTGGTTTAGTCGTGAAAGCGTAACAGACAGACAGACAGAGTTACTTAGCTTAATTTACAAGGCTATCAGACACTATATCTCAAGGTTAACAGGTTCCAATCCTGATTGTATATTTTTACTTGTATAATATATACTATACTTGTAATAATTTCAGTTACCGTTATCGCTCACCTACCATTAGTGTCGACCGAAATACCGAATGGACTCCACCAACATACGCCACTCCTAAAGGTAAAATATTTAACAACTACCCTCTGACAAAGCCCCCTAGACAAATTTCTTCTTTAAATACAAAAAAAATACTTAATGAACATAATTTTTGGTGAGATACTATTATATTATAAAATATTCACATTATTTTCATTTTTTTTCTTTATTTGTAAAATATCTGCATTCGGCATAGGCAGTAAGCACGTCGTATGGCGAAGGAAGTAAATTGTTCTGAACATTACCCAACAAATTGTTAATCTTATGACATATTACATAACTTAAAATAACTCTCATTAGAGCGTCAATAAATACAAAGTATTGAATACATAGAAACGTCCATGAGCCAATGTATGTATATTCATATATGTTTAAAATTAAGATAGTGTTGAGTTAATACTTAAATGAGATAGTAAATCAGAAGATATAGAATGAAAAACTAGTGACATTCATAATGACGCGTTCCAATCACTTACATTTTACTCAATGCAATATATTAAACAAGAGAACTTTATATATGGCGCATATATTCAAATACTGCTCGTGTAGACTTTTATGTTCTAGATTGTGTAATAAATATGTTTATATACCAAAAATAAGCTGAATTTATATATGGGTACATTGACAAGACCGGAAATGATAGTATTGTTTTTATCTATGTAGGTGTTTGGCGCGGATCACTACCGGATGTGCGTCACGATGACACAGACGAACTACTGCGAGACACAGAAGTATATCTACGACGGTCTATCGATAACTTGCGGTCTACTTCACTTGAAGGTATTTCTCTATTTAAAATAAAAAGGAATACTGTAAGCGAATTAATTGGTTATTGGATTCTTGCTTTCTTCTAGCAGATGAGTTCTATAATTGTATTTCATTTTATAATTTCTGGAAGAATCGTAACATACAATTAATATACCGCTCCAATAAATATATCAACGAATTCACCCATGGTTTTGACTTTATCTGATTCTAATTCGTAAGTTAGGCAATTATTACTGGTTTTAGGACAAAATTTACTCAAGACATGGTCCATTGTAGTCCTTATTTCTCTTTAGCTTTAAAATTTTTCGACAAATCCTATTAAGCATCACAATTCTATTATCCTTCTTCAGCCATCAACTCTAAGGAAACTCCGGGTCAACCTTACATCCCATCAGAAGCTCGACACCTTCGTTTAGGACATGCCGTCAAATTAATCACCAGCACTGGCCGGCTGGCCGTGGGAAGGGTTAGGTAAGGACGTGCCTAATATATCATGTATCTTGGCATTTAGCTTCTGGCATTCTGTCATTTGGCATTCGGCTTTCTGGCATTTGAATGGTTTATCATATAAAAACAAAAGAATTGCCTTGCAAGAATGTTCAAATGTCTGAAGAAGTGTCAGAAAAATCTGTTAATCGTACGACGTTGTAAACTTTATTTTTTTTTAAATTAATAGTATGAGAATTAAAACATATAAATTTATTGAAATATATCCAGTAGTTTTGCCAAGATATGTACAATTGCGAATAGATATACCTAATAATTTAAATATATATAATGATTTTCATTATTTTTGGTCATAATTAAAGGTATATTATACTTATTTTGATGTCTGTAATTGTTTTTTAAGATACGTCGGCCTGGCTGGTGGCACTGCCGCTAACAGTAGTGTAGTGGTGGGGGCGGAGTTTGCACTCAATCAATACCCGGGGATTCCCCTCAACGACGGTACCTACAATGGCCGTAAATATTTCGTGCCACAAGCTCATCATACTGCGTTGTTCGTACCGTTCTCTAAAGTTGTCATGGCATGGGCGAATTGAACTACCCAAGAATCTGTTGGATGTTAAAATGGTTATAAAGAAATTAAATTTTCCTGTCGTTAATTAAGGCCTAAAATGTATATTATTAATGTCAAAAATTTTGTGTGAAATTTGGCTCTAAAATAGTCATAATTGACGTGTCTACTGCCGGTGTATTTAAAGATATTTTTAATAACTTATAAGGCTTATTTGATTTAATTGTATACTATTTTCTGATTACATGTGTATATGCAAAATTTATTTTCGGTATACTTATAAATTGATACGTCAAAATTCTTTATTAGACAAGAAAACGTGTGTTCAATGTTAATACAGGCTGTTTATATGCGTTTGTGTGTAATATACGCCTAGTAATTCTCGGAGTAGCCTCAAAATATCTCTTTCCTTCATATTCATTTAATATAAAGGTATTAAGAGATAATTTTAATTTTTCTTGTTGGACGTATCGTGGAAAATATTTGCTCATTTCAAAGTTATGGTGCTCTGTTTTGACACTGACAGTAATTTTGGAGGTTGTTTTTTTTTTGTATATTTTGCTATTTATTTTTCTATCTCTTACAGTTATCTTGACGTCAAGAAAAAAAATATTATTAATTTTACATACCAAAGTATATTTTCATAATACTTTTTCTTATGCTATGTAAATATATATAACATATATATAAGGAGTGATTGACGTTTTAATATATGTCGTAGTTTATTTGTATAGTGTATAGTAGCTTCACATCGAGATGTAGTAGATGAAATCTTTTCCCAATTAAAAGGAATTGAAGCATAAAGCTTTTAAAATTGATTGTAGTTTTAAAATAGCTGTGTGTGCTCATAGCCTTATTATTTATCTGTGTAAATGTTTGTGAGGGAATTGAAATGGTAAATGAAAGTGTCTTACTAGTTCTATATTAATGGCTTGTTATGTATACGGACGGTTGTGTACACAGAGAGTGGAATGAATAATATATAATTTAAAGTTGCAACCATTATAATTGGACCCATTGGGTTCTGTAAAGCGTAAACTTTCTCAAGTAGGTTCCGTACAATATAACTATCATATCTGACATAGTTTAGGGATGAATGTATATTGTATTGTGTCATCTGATTTGCATTAGGATGTAATTATTCGCGCAAAACCCCAAAAGTAAAGTAAGGTGTTAAGTGATGTATATATATTGACAATGGATGCGTTCCTCTCAAAAACGTAGAATGTTAATTACTTAGGCGATCCTGTCTTATATAGAGGAGAAAATGTCAATATTTCTTTACATTGACATAGATTTTTACCGCGCTGCTTGCCTCACTACCTTCAACAGGCTACAGGTAGTGATTCCTTACCATGAGTTCCCATCATTACATAATACAGACAGTATTTAGTTTTTCATTCATATATATCATATTCGCACACTATAGTATAGAAAACTCAACAATCTCTGTTTTGTTTGACGATGAGAACTCGTGATAAGAATACTGAGGTGTCTTTGCAAAACAGCTAACTTAATGATGTTCGTAGTTTTGAAATGTACGTAATGAATGCAAATTAATATTATAATGTCTGTTAATGGAAAGTTAAATTCGAATATTTGTAGTGATTACGTAGTACAAAACATTTCTTCTTGTACAAATGTGTATTAAACACATTAAATTTAATATAAGGTCATTACAAAACAACCGTGTTCAGATTATGGTGCCAAAGCATTGGCTTATTGCATTTTATTCGTGAATATTAGAGTTTTTTAATCTGTGAAGTTTATGGCCTCTTTAGACTTTGACAGATTTCGTTAGGTTTCAAATCTTTAGACGGTTCTAATTAACTGTTATTTATAACAATATTTGTTGATAAGTATCGAAAACAATTATGAATGTGCAGTGAATATAATTACAAATGAGGTCGTGGCGACATTATTGTATTTTTAATCCCTATAGACATTTCATGTATCCTTTAATCTGGTTATAGACCTCTGTAACATCGGTATGTTATTTATATGAAGAAATATATTTTAAATATCATTGTATTAAATTATATGTTAACTGTAATATAATAAAATAAAACATGAATATATTTGTTTTTTATTTTTTAAATATTACTAGAAAACTGCGAGGGAAATAAAAGCATTTTTAAAGAAGATTTTTTTTAATAACGTAACAAATAACAAATCGTGCTTTTCCTTAAGAATTATAAAAATCACCAGGTTGTTCCATGTTCTTAGAAAGTACAGAAAGTAGATAAGAACTTATGCATAATAGTATAGAAGAATAGATAAGACGTAATAGATATCCCTACTAATATTATAAATGCGAAAGTAACTCTGTCTGTCTGTCTGTCTGTCTGTCTGTCTGCTACGCTTTCACGCCTAAACCACTGAACTGATTTTAATGAAATTCGGTACAGAGATAGAGTTGACCTTGAGAAAGAACATAGGATAGTTTTTATCCCAGACTTTTGAAAGGTTCTCTTGGAAACGCGATATAACCGAACTCCACGCGGCGAAGCTGCGGGCGGAAAGCTAGTAGTTCTATAAGAATAAAATAGAAAGTGAAAACACATAAATATAAAAGCAGGAAAAGATAATTTTTAAAAGCAAAATAGTTTGTATAAGAAGATTAGATGTAAAGATAAATAAATAAGAAGAATACATAATATATGAATAAAATACAAGGAAAGAAGTATAAAGAATGAAAATAAGATAAATAGATGAAAAGTAAGACTAAGATAAATAGATAATTAATAGATGAATAGATTTAAAGAAGAAAAGAAATTATGAAAATATATAATATTATCCATAATATTTATATAAATTATGAATAATATTTATTAAATATAAATATATGTTTAATAAATATAATGATAAATACAATAAAAAATTGAAGACTTAAAAAGGAGAGATAAAGGAAGAATTAAATAGAAGAATTGATAATAATGTTTCAAGCCCACTTAGTAGTAGTAAAGGCTCATAGAAATGATATGATGTATGAAGATCAAGAGGATTGAGAGAAAAACACATAAAAACAGATTCATGAAGAAATGAAGAATAATGAAGATGAAAACTTGAGTCAAGACAAGAAAAAGATACAAGAAAATATAGAGGAAGTAAATAGTTTGAGAGTGAAACAAAAACAGATGGAAAATAGATTAGATGTGGAGAGTAAAGATATTATGATATGAAGTAAAGTTGTATGAAAGAAAATAGTCTTATATATAGAAAAATAAGTAAATTGTAATGAAAATGAGAAGTGAAGTTTAAGATTAGAAAATAGACATGAAATAAGATATAAAACAAGTCAGGAATTAAAGAGAAGAAAGAAAAATTAAGATGTTGAAGTAAAAGACAGAATTGAAAGACGATTTTTAAGAATATGAGGAAAAGTTTTCAAGAAATAGACAATAAGAGTAGAGTAGAATGAGAGTGATAGAAGTAAGTGAAAGAGAAGATATAAAGAATGAAATAGAAAATGATAGAAGATTATATTGGAAATGATACAGAATGAAGTTAATAAGAGAAGTATTTGAAAAGAAGAAGTAAATCATGAAGATAGTATATGGAGTAGAATTTTATAAAAATATTCTGCTTAAATACTCCAATAACAGAAGTTAAATAAAGAAGTAGAAGAAAATTGATATGAGATTAGAAAAGATATTTTGTGTCATAAAAAGTATTAAAGGAAAAAGAAAATAAAAGATAAAAGAAGATGGAATAGATGTAAAGAAAAGTTAAATGAAATATGATCAACACATATGTATGGTGATTCTTGAAAATGGTTAAGATGACTCATTTTATACGTATGAGACAGTAGTGGTATAGAAACGTAGTAAGATTTAAGATAGATTTACGATAGATATACAAAGAATACAATAAATATGAAAGAAGTGGTATAGATTAAAATAAGATTAGAAAAAAGAAAGGAAAAGAAAAGAAATAAATTAATAAGAAAAGTATTAGAAGCAGATTGGAGTAAAGAGTAATCCTAAGTAAAGAGTGAGGAAGCGTGAAATTGAAATTTTTATACATTATATGTATAGTATGTATTTTAAAAATACACTGAGTTGTTTTTTGAAATCCAGTGTTTCCATTTCCTCTTTGAGTGAATCATTAAAAAATCGCTTAATTTTTAAGTCATACAACTTATGCATAATAGTAAAGAAGAATAGATAAGATATAAAGGTATAGTAATAGGTAAAAAAAATAAGATTTAAAGTGAAATATAAGTACTATAAAGAATTAAAGCAAAAAATATTAAGCAAAGAAAAAGTATAGGAAAAATTTTTAAAGCTTTGTATAAGTGAATAAAAAGCGTGTATGAAGCATAGAGAAGAAGCGGCATAGATAAAAAGATAGATAAGAAAAGATAAAAGATAAAAACATTTCTAATAATAGATTGAACTACCTTGGTGCTATCACAGTATACTTTGTCAACTTATAACATTTTAGGAACTTAAATAGAGTGAGCGGAATTAGACCGTCTAAAACAAATGTGCGGTAATTCAGCATAAAATCATCACTCGAAATACTGTCTTTGGTAACTTAAATTAACATCGGCAAGATATAAAATCTACCACAAACAAACAAAACAATGTGTCCTAGTGTCCTACATAACAACGTGGTATCAAAACAAGAAAACAAATACTATAAATAGTAATTTAAGTATCTTAAATCGAATGAACTATTTCCTAAATCCATGTCCTTGATTATTGATGGGGTAGTCAGCGTACCACCCAAATGCTCCGTTATCCCCAGTATGAGCCCCAAAATCTACGTATTCTCCGAAATCTGGTGGCCTTTCAGCATACTGAGATATTCCATCATTGGTTGCAGCTTGTTCTTGAGCTTGTACCTTCACTGGTAAAGGAGGCGGTGCCAGGGCTACAGCTATATAAAAATATTAACAATTCAACTACAAAATATATGTATTTTTTATATTACAACTAAATATATATATGGGAATGAGGGTAGTTGCAACTACTCTAATTGTCCTCTGATAGGTCGCGTTAATTTTTATTTATTATAATAATTATAATGAGATTTAAGACAAAATAAATTGTTACGTACAAAATGAACTTAACTCGCGGAAGGCTAATGCTACAAGTTATGTATAAATTGAAAGTGGTTTACCATTGCTACTTTGCATAACATAAAATTGTGAGTTACGTAACGGACAATAGATGAAAGTTGCCACACAAATAGAGTACCGAGTACTAGAAAGTAAATCCTTTGTGCTCGTGAAAGTGAATGGTACCGTGATTGATTGTAACGATTGTCAAATTCATTGACATTTAAATATATACTCAAAACTTTGTAAAGCTTATAGATAGTACATGTAATTATATACGTACTTTCTAATCGTTACTTACGTGTTCAACTCTTATAACTTGTGACATATGTTTAATAAATCTTCAATAACACAAATATTATTGAAAAATAGTCAAATTATGCATAATAAATATCAGTTTAATATATAGTAGTACCAGATTTATCGTTAAAGTGTATTTCTAATGAAATTAAACTTACTTCCTTGCTGGTAATTCTGTAGCGGTATTGGCTGGTAGTTATCTGTATACAATGGTTCCGGCAACGGCGGTTCAAGGGTCTGTCTGGGAACCCGCCTCGCTCGTAACGTACTGAGGTCGACGAAAGCTATCTGATCCGCTGGAACCGCTATGTACGAGGGCATTGCGCTTACAACAGCCAAACATGTTGCGAAGATTAAAGGAAACTGTTAACAAACGTAAATAAATGAGCATTAAAAACTCTAATTCAATTAAATATACATATATTGTTGGTTTGCTTCAATAAAATAATCATATGGCTAGGATATATACATAAAAAAGCCTACCAAAAGTATATGACTCGAAATGAATTAGCCATAAAAATGTTTATTGAATTCCGAAATAAAATTAAAAGTCACTGTTTATTGATAGATAAAACTCTATTGCTCTTAAAATACCCAATGTTTGCTATTTCGCATTTTAAAAAAGGACTAGTATTTATAAATTGTCTCTTATAAAGTACCTTGTTTTATCTATGTAGCAACTTAAACAGAAAACGCGACTAATTTATTCTAAATACATTATAATTGAGTTGTTTTTTATTTTATCGTTACACTATTGACGGGAAACAGCTGTCGGATCTGGAGAGATCTTGTTCCGGGAAATGTCTATCTATCTTTTTATTCTAAAACATATGGCTTAGTATAATAAACTTTAAATGTTTTTAATAGCGCCTAGAGCTACCAATCAAATTAATTTGAGTGCTGTCTTGCACACGATATGCTTGTCATGATAAGCCATATAGAAAGTATAGCATGTGTTCATGTTGTGTCATGGGCTGTCTATGGAGTACCATAAAAGTACCTTGCCGCATGGCGTCTATAGAAAGCGTGATTGCTGTATGTGTGTCAGTTTAGTAAGAGTGGTCACGGGCCGCTGCGCTTGCGCAACAACCGTAATTGGAGCTTGTACGTTGGTCGCTATTGTAATATATTAAAAAACATTGTGAATTAAATTATGTTACTGTTATTACGGTTCTATAAATTGTATATTGAATTCATTATGCATGTACAATTCATTTTCCAGTTGAATTTTTTGCTAATTACGGTTTTTTTTTACTCCACGTTAAGAAATATTTAATAGATATAATGGCTGATGCCATAACTTATGTGTTTGAAAGGATGATTGAGCAAGCGGAAATGCCTTTCCTTTGATACCGGCAGTCATGAAATAGAGTTAAATTAATTATAGTTCTTTATTACAATTTATTGTATATATATTTGCTTCAATATAAATGTTTATTCATCAATTTATTAAATGTTAACAACTGTTATCGTAGGTGTATTTATAAATGTAGGTATTTGATAGTCGTTTCTAAAACCACCCACTCTATCCTACAATACTGCATATATCTACGCTATTGAAAACATTATGAAGAGCTTCAACAGAAACAAGTTTTGAATTAAAAAAAATAACCTAATAAAAAAGTAACTTGAATTTGTAAATAATAATCCTACCATATTTTTTTGTTTATTTGATGCATTCTTTTTTAAATTATGAAAAAATAGGAAATAAGTAAAGAATGGAATAATAAATGAAATAAAATGAATTGTAAAACTGTAATCGTTTTGTTAAAATGGCGCCAAACAACTTTATAAACTGTCATCTTTTATGGACGTTGCAATCGCTTTTTACAGTTTTATAATAACTGTCAAAAGTAACGTATCGAAAGTAATGAAAGTTTTATCGAAATGATTGTTATTAATTTTATTCTCACTCTATTTTTGTAATTGTTGTAAAAAAAAAAACAAAATTACAAAGAGTTTTATGTTTACAGCTGTACAGCCAATATGAAACCTCTGTGCTCTAAAAACATGATCTGTAAAATTCCCGTTAACCTTCATGAGTTCCGTGTCGAGTGAAAGGCTGCATTACCAGTGCTTTGTGGACCGATTGAAGTATTAAACTTCCGAAACAATATCAAGGTCTCGTTGCCAAATCACTTTTACTTCGACCGGACAACGCGATCTACAATATTACTTTCAACAAAAGCTCGTTTACAGCAAGAACATGTAATTTTAAAATATTTTTTAATCACTCTCCATTTCCGTTCAAGAGACATCATTCATCGAGATTTTTTATATGCGGGTGAGGCGATATTTAACTTTCTCTGTTGCAAATGATGACAAAATGTCGGAACATTATATATTATTTATATTATTTTAATATTTATTACATACAAGTTGTATACTATTTCAGTTAAAATAAGGTGACATTATTAACTTGTATATAAAGTAATAACAAAATAAATTTAAGCCATAATTTACACCGAGTTTTGAGCGTCATTATAATTCGATCAGAAATGTACATTTATTTACAGTTCGCGGTAATTTATTTCAAATTTCACAACAGGGTTGTCATTACTAGCCAAGGTTGTTGTGAAATAATTTTGTATAATTTCAGTAAATCCTTTTTATAAATTTTTTTCATGGTCTAAATAATAAATAGTACCATTACTTATTGTTATTGTTGAAACAAGTGACAGTGAATGATTTTTAAAATATTTAATTTTTTCTTTGTATATTAGAGTTGTTTGTATAGAAATTGTTTTTATAAATTTTTATGTTCAAAAATATTATTTTATTAATATTTTTTTAATTTTATCAGCACTCACGTTTATATGTATTAGGGTTGTTTTTTTTCCTTTGTTTACACAAAATTTGTAACATAAACCTTGTAATAGTTTTTATGCTCAATTACTTTGCGTCGATCAGTTTAATTTACGAAAAAAATGTAACAATTTACAATCCCCTTAATTTTATCTACAGAAATTCTAAAAACCTACACAGATTTTAATTATTTAGTTAGCTAAATAAGACAAAATTGACTAGTAATTGTTTAAATTAATAAAGCATGCTCTACATTTATATAATATAAATACATAAACAAATATTATAATAATTATAATATTAATAATGATATAACTTACAAATAAAATAAATAAAAATCCATTAAATTAATACACAAAAATCCACTGACCATTATTTCACACAGCGCCCGCTATCTCACTGAGCTCGAATCGCTGTTGCTACAATTTTTATAGCTCTTAGTTTCACTTTCTACTCGGCCCAGTAAAACTTGATCTACCTTTTAACAGTCGTCGAAGGTACGAAGACAACCCTCGCATACAAACGTGTATTTAACCGGGGTTCGAAAGGTTGGCATTATAGTTTACGATTAAGTATTACTTTCTTAATATTTTTTTTTAATTTTTACATGACAGCTGTCAATTTTTATTTACGAATATTTGAAGTTTCGTTTTGACATTTCCGAAACTTGTAAGGAAATGTCAATATCTATAAGAGAAAAGAAGTTTAGTTTATGGCTTTTTTACTTTTTTTATTTACAAATATTGGAAGTTTCTTTTATGGCACAGGATATATGTCTTCTACTTTCTTTGACTAACCACAAGCCATATGGTGTTCATTACAATGGCTTTTTATTATTTTTTCACACATAATTTAAATATGGCTATTGTTAAAAAAGATAATAGCGGGTTGATTGATCGATTGACCATATATTTAGTATCGCATAGCCTTATTGATAACTTTGGATGTTTTGATACTTCTATAGAACATATAATTATCCATATAATTTTAAGAGAAATAATTTTTAGAAAAACTAATTTTAAATCAAAACTCAGAAATTTAATAATAATAGTAAAAACGAAGTTTTATTTTTTAAATTTAGTTTAAGTAACTTTCTTAAAAATCAATAATAAATTAAAAAAATATATATTATTTAATTGTATTAAAAACTTGTGTAAAAGTAATGTTTTTTTTATTCTGTAATATGTAGTAGTTTAAATAAAATTAAACTAGATCTGTCGTAAAATACTTGTTTAAATATAAACTGTACCTATGTATGTAAATAACAAACAATATTGTATTATTAATGTCACCTTAGTGTGACATTTGTACTTTTTAAAAGTACGCAACCTTGACTGAGTAAGAACAGCTGAATTTATACTTCCTTGTACTTTATACAAGCCAGGACACTGTATTATTAATTGTAATTTTATTATTATCATGGATATAAATTACAAAAAAATGTTCCTTTATGATTTTATATCTCATACTTTATTGTTAGCTGCTTAATTTAATGTTTCTTTCGGGATATGAATTTTTTTCAGTAAGAACAGATGGTGTGTGATTAAAATGCTTTTATAGAGTTATAAAGAGTAACTAAGATTTGCTATCAATGAGAAACATATTTATTAATTAAAGTTAACTAAAAACGTAACATTTCCGAGCCGTATTCCAGAAACTTCCCGCTAAAATCCGATTACGCCGCCATATTGCAACCTCAATGCCGATCAAACATCTGTCATCTGTTACTTTCCTTGACATGTATGTACGGGATGTAATTACTAAAATGTATATTTATTTATACTATAAGAACTATTTAAACATAGATTTTTTTTATTTCATAAGCGAAAGTATACTGTGAAACGTTTAAGTAAATGAGATAGCACTAGAAAGATATAGTTAGTGTATTTGTTTTTTGACTGTACTCAATATCTTTGCATATCAACTGTTAAGAACTTCGAAGAAATATTTTTATAATTATTAGACATTTAAATCTTTAAGAACTTACTTATATTGCATACTTACCTCTTTTAATAGTTTTCATATAAATATGTTTGCAATATTGACAAAATATTTTATCCATACCCACGCGAGGCCGTGACAGAATTTCGTGGGAAGTATTAACGCCTACTTTAAAAATATTTATGGTTGAATAAACAATGCAAGAAAATCACTTTTAAACTACCTGAAGTTACATAAAGAAACAGTTTAAAATATCTCTAGAATATTAACCGCTGAAAAAATTTAGAATGCATGACGTCAAAGTTTAAGATACCGAATACAATAAATGCCTTAAAAATATTTATCTTATTGTTTTATTATTTTATATATAACCACGAATAAGTTTAGTACTTAAGAAAAATGTTTTTAATTTTAGATCTATGTTAGGCGTAATATATAAAACGGTTTCGGCTTTATAACTAAGGCAAGTTGTTTACCTAGTTAGTAATAAAGTAGCGTTTGACTGGAGTCACGATTTAGACGTTCTAAAACATTCAGGTTAATAAATCAGTAAATTAAACCATTATAATTTAAAATAACTCGATTCGTTATTGAGATATGCTAAATTATTATCTAACAAAACATCTAGAACGCTAAATATTATAACTAATACAACCTTCTTTTCATTTCAATGAAAGCTGAGATCAATGACGTTGGCATTATTGTTTTAAACCTTGATGTTGACCTCTTAAATGAAAAAAAATCTAAGTACCTATTTTCAGTTTTACTTCGATTACAAGTCAACATATCAGAATTACAAATTATATTTATTGTGACAGTTGAAAATAATCGTAAATAAACGTGTTTAGTTGCTTATTCTAAACACAGTT